AAACCAATGGTCTGTAACATTTTTGCTCCCAGATGCATCAATGTGGAGAATTTTTCAAAAATGTGAAAATTACAAGAGTTTTGAAAAAAAAACGGTATCGGGAGCATAATACAGAAAGTCTTTTACTACAAAAGTTGTAGCAAATTGTACCCTTAACACAATGGTCTGTAACATTTTTGCTCCCAGATGCATCAAATAACATAACAACCCAAATTTAAAGATGCTCACAAACTATCCCAAAGTAAGCCTACATAACGTCACAGCAACTCAGCCACAAGTGAACTTCATCCCAAAATAAGCTAAGCAAATTCAAAGGAACCCATAATAAGTTAACCACAACACAAGTAACTTGTTTGTAACTTTTATTATATTTTATGCAACATGGATGTTTCCAATAACCCAAAGTAAGCCAACGCAACTCAAACCAAAAACAAGCCAAGCAAACTCAAAGCAACCCATAAAAAGTAATCCAACTAGAAACCACCTAAATCCAACCCAATTCTACAAGAACCCAAGTCATTCCAAATACAAAACAAGCAACTCAATCTTATAGCAACTCAGCCACAAAGCAACCTAACCCGAAATCAAGCAAAGTAAACCTCAAAATTGTAATTCAAACTTCACACGTAGTTGGATTAAGTTTCTCTAAACCATCTAATTTGTCTAAACGTCTATCTCTAAACCAGTCAGGCCAAATCCAAAGAAAGCCAACCTTAAAACAACTTAATCAGTAGCAATCAATTTCAAAGGAAGCCAATCTAACTTCAAAGTGACTCAACTACAAAGGAAGTTAGTTAAACATGTAAAGCTATACTCCAGCTCCTCGCAAGGTACTCCAAAGTACCAAACAACCCAAGCCATCTCCAAACGAACCCAACAAAACTCCAAAATAAATCATCTCAATCTTAAAATAAATTCAACCTCATAGCAACTCAGCCACAAAGTAACCCCAATCTAGCTGAATCAAAAAGTAACCCAATCCGAAAGCAAGACAATCGAAAGTAATCTTAAAATTACTTTAGAAAATCTAACACCACAGCAAGTCAAGCAAATTAACACATGGCGCTTCCATCTCCGATCGTCAGAAACAATTCCCTGCCACTCCTTGGAAATCGTTCATTAAGGCATCACTTCGGGGCATTGCAAATGTTGGAATTTCTCTTAAACTTCTCTTGCACATTTGCTAGACACCTGCTTTCATAACTATTTCAAGTGCAATATCTACTGGTGTTTCTTTCTTTCTAAACTAATGTTGCAAATCGGCGTACTGCAAATGTTGTTGGATTTTGGACCGATTTTTAAAGGTGCCCCAAACCTTTCTGCTCCTTCCACCATACACACCAGTCATACCCAATGAACATACTTGGCTCCATATCACGCCCTCGGCATCTTCTTCACTGTTCTTACTATTTCGTCCGTCTATAATCTATTTAGTCTTCTACCAAGATGAGGTGAAATCTCTGTCCAAAGACATATTTAAAGATGTCCATCATTCCGGCATACCTTCAGAAGTAAAGCTAAGGTTTGTTCCAGTTTCATCGTTTCAGTTTTAAATGTTAATCAAAAATCTGTAATACAGCTTAAACGTCGTGCCTGTAGATGCCTATTTAGGCGAAACACGTGTAGCACCGATACTAAAAAACATTTAAAATAAAACATCGTTTAAGCTGTAATACAGATTTTTGATTAACATACCTTCAGAAAGTTAAGGCTCCTTAACCGCTTGATGAGAATATGTTTGACGACAGAGAAACGAAAGTTCAAAAAAGGATAGCATNTGATGCCGTTTTATCGCAAAATCACTATCCGTTCCATCACTAGTTCCAACCTTGACGCTGATCGATCTAACTCCTAAACTTTCAGAAAAAAAAAATCAAAACTTCGTTTACTTTTCTTACACATTTTCTACACACCTGCTTTCATAACTATTTCAAGTATATCTTGAGGTGTCTTCTGATGTTTCTTCACCAAAAACTGAACTAATATTGCCTTTCTGATATATACTCCGTGATGCTATTTATGCAATAGTGAATCTAGCAAATCAATCAAAATGCTAAACAACAAAACCACAAAGTATTTCAAATTCAACGAATTTTAATCAAACCTCAATGTAATTTAAACTAGTTACGTAGTTAGGTTAAGTTGCTATGTGAGTCCAACTTCAAACCAGATGGTCTGTAACATTTTTGCTCCCAAATGCATCAATGTGGAGAATTTTTCAAAAATGTGAAAATTACAAGAGTTTTGAAAAAAAAAACGGTATCCGGAGCATAATACAGAAAAACTTTTACCACAAAAGTTGTAGCAAATTAAGCCCTTAACAGAATTGTCTGTAACATTTTTGCTCCCAGATGCATCAATGTGGAGATTTTTTCAAAAATATGAAAATTACAAGAGTTTTGAAAAAAAACGGTATCCGGAGCATAATACAAAAAGACTTTTACTACAAAAGTTGTAGCAAATTGTATCCTTAACATAATGGTCTGTAACATTTTTGCTCCCAGATGCATCAAAATACCATAACAACCCAAATTTAAAGATGCTCACAAACTATCCCAAAGTAAGCCTACATAACGTCACAGCAACTCAGCCACAAGTCAACTTAATCCCAAAATAAGCCAAGCAAATTCAAAGGAACCCATAATAAGTTAACCACAACACAAGTAACTTGTTTGTAACTTTTATTATATTTTATGCAACATGGATGTTTCCAATAACCCAAAGTAAGCCAACGCAACTCAAACCAAAAACAAGCCAAGCAAACTCAAAGCAACCCATAAAAAGTAATCCAACTAGAAACCACCTAAATCCAACCCAATTCTACAAGAACCCAAGTCATTCCAAATACAAAACAAGCAACTCAATCTTATAGCAACTCAGCCACAAAGCAACCTAACCCGAAATCAAGCAAAGTAAACCTCAAAATTGTAATTCAAACTTCACACGTAGTTGGATTAAGTTTCTCTAAACCATCTAATTTGCCTAAATGTCTATCTCTAAACCAGTCAGACCCTATGCAAAAAAAGCCAACCCTAAAGCAACTCAACCAGTAGCAATCAATTCCAAAGTAAACCAATCTAACTTCAAAGTGACTCAACTGCAAAGGAAGTTAGTTAAACATGTAAAGCTATACTCTAGTTCCTCGCAAGGTGCTCCAAAGCACCAAGCCACCTCCAAACGAACCTAACAAAACTCCAAAACAAATCATCTCAATCTTAAAATAAATTCAATCCCATAGCAACTCAACCCCAATCTAGCTGAATCAAAAAGTAACCCAATCCGAAAGCAAGACAATCGAAAGTAATCTTAAAATTACTTTAGAAAATCTAACTCCATAGCAAGTCAAGCAAATTAACACATGGCGCTTCCATCTCCGATCGTCAGAAACAATTCCCTGCCACTCCTTGGAAATCGTTCATTAAGGCATTACTTCGGGGCATTGCAAATGTTGGAATTTCTCTTAAACTTCTCTTGCACATTTGCTAGACACCTGCTTTCATAACTATTTCAAGTACAATATCTACTGGTGTTTCTTCCTTTCTAAACTAATGTTGCAAGTCGGGGTACTGCAAATGTTGTTGGATTTTGGACCGATTTTTAAAGGTGCCCCAAACCTTTCTGCTCCTTCCACCATACACACCAGTCATACCCAATGAACTCACTTGGCTCCATATCACGCCCATAATCTATTCAGGCTTCTATCAAGCTGAGGTGAAATCTCTGTCCAAGGACATATTTAAAGATGTCCATCATTCCGGCATACCTTCAGAAAGTTAAAAATCGACTCTGGAGATGTCCCCTGTTTCAAACTTTCTCCATTTACCATCGGCGTGTATTTCAACTTCGTTCTTATAACTTTTGAAGGTTATTTATGTTAGATAGGTAATCCCACTTCGATTATAGATATTATTCTCCGCCCCATTTTTCCTCCACTATCACTCCTTAACGCATATAGTAGTCCCTTAAGTAATTATCGTGTTTTAATTACGTCCCTCCTCTGTACCGTCCACATTGCGTCTAACGTGGGCTGATCCGCTGCTGCACAGTTCGTGATATCACATCATATTACGAAAATTTAGAGAGTTTTCCATTTATTTGGTGAAAATTTCACATTTCTATCTTGCTTTGTCTATTCTATGACCTGTTAAAAGTGCACCATGACTCTATGGACACACTATTATAGAATGGCCAAAATGGAAAAACGTTGAACCAAGATAAATAGATAGAGATAAAGAGACTTGTAACTTTTTTAAACCCTTCAATACACCAACTAAGAAAATATTCATTAAAAAAAATTATTTATATCGCTATAGGAATTATCCCACTACAGTTTTAAATATGGTTATGTCACCCACACCAACCAAAGAGGCTTGTACAAACTTGATTTAGTCAACTTAAGATATACAAGATCGGTGGATTTAACTCCATACAATTGCGTCCCTGAACAAATCCAATTTTCAGCACTATGTAAAACGATAAATCTTAACTATTAATTTTATTTTTAATAAAAACTTTATTGTAGACGGTTTGGTTATTATGGAATGTTTAGAACCAGTTACAAACAGACCCACGGGACAGTTACTTCTCGATTATTTAACAGACACGGTTATTGCTACAAAACCAACTTTACCAGGAGTTCCTTTCATATCTCCTGATTCGCGTAAATTGGTCACTTTAGATCGAACGAAGAATGGAGCAACTTTAATTGTACAAGAGATAACTCGTAAGGTTTAATTAAAAATATGAATCGTAAAAATAAATTTTAATTTAATTACAGCTACTGGGTTATTGTTTTCGTTTGATGTTAAAACCACTTTAAATATTTCTGATATTACATTTTATCCAAGTCAAACTACGCACAGTTACGATATTTATGCCACGGCTCAAGATAAAGAAGACATTTTATTCTTAAATTTATTAACGGGAAAAGTTGAAATTATAACGGGGGTCGGAAAACCAGTCCCTTCAGAACTCACAAAGTGGGGAAATGCTAATCGCCCCATAAGTGGTTCAGGTAATAAAAAAATTTGAAATTAATTAAAATTGATTAAATGTTTTTCTTTTTTTAGGGTTATTCGGACAATACATGGTAACACCCGCAAGTGAAGCCCTATTTGTAATAAATGGTAGATCGAGAACGGTAAATTGCGAAATTGGAGCGTTGGTTCATCCTAATGCCATAGTATGGACTTCGCTTAAATTTCATTAAGATAATAAAATACACTAACGATCACAAAAGATGGAAGAAAAAGCCGACAGCTTTGTTCTGCGGATTGTTTCACTTAGATAGGGCCCCATTGAAAGTAAAATAGGTGTATATTGTAACTATTATTAATTGTACGGTAATCGTTGTACATATTCCCATATTTTGAAGAGATGACGATTAACGCTTTACGTGTGAAGGAAAAATGATTTATGTGGGGGAGACGAGAGGACAGAGACAACAATAAAATAGTACATATTTTTTACTAAGCGACGCTTTCGCAGACGTTTTCTTAAGGGACATATCTAAAAAAAATCCACTCGATGAAAAAAAAGTCATGTGTAAAATATCAAGAATAAAAAAATATTGGGTGAGGGTTGAAAACAAAAAAAGATAACAGATGAATTTATAATCCAAAAAAATTAAAAAGAACTAAAAATATATAAGTTTTGTTGAATTTTTTGTAGTGTATTGTGATAAATGAATTTTTATAAGTATGTGTACATTTCGAAAAATGTTGCCGAAAATTCTTAAAAAATTTCCTTTCTCACCAGTGGAACCTCTTCACCGTCGCGACCTTTGTACATTGTTTCTGCGTTCTCGTAGTGTATAGTTAGAACTACTTCGTAAGCTAGATGTCTTTATAACCTTAAGCGAAAAGGTTTTTTAGCTAAGCCGCTCTGTAATCACCCACTTCGATGATAAGCTTTCAGAAAAAATAAATCGGGCGAACAGATCGTCTAATGAACGTGTTATTGTATCACAGATGCTTATTATTGTACGATATTAAATAGTATATTAATTATAAGTATATAAGTAACGACTGTGCGATATTGTTTATACAGAAAGAATATTACGATGAACAACAAAACCAAATAAATATATTGAAATATATGTTGCGAATTTTTATCCTTCAATTTATATAATTTTTTAGAAAACTATTTACGCCATCTGTTATAATCTATTACTACTAGATATTTAAATTTGTGTCGAAGGTATGTAACTACTGTGGAAGTGTAAGTTAAGAATGAGTTGTTAGTGCAGATCATAACTCATATACAATTTCTGTAATATTGAGTAAATATACTTAATAAACTACAGAGAAGATTTGCGGAGACTTGAAGAAATGAAGATTCGTGTAAAAAATTTTGAAGAAAATAATCTAGATCTAGAATTTGATTTTGTACATTTAAACTGGTTTTTATTTTATATAGAATTTAAATCAAACCAGTTATAAATAAATTAACAGCTTCAAGTTTCTTAATTAAAGTTTAAAAAGTTGTAAAATGAAATTAAGGACGAAGTGTTACAAATTTACAGGTTAAAATTTAAGAACACTCTTTTTTAACAAAAATATTAAGAAACTTGGGAAAAATTCAAGAATCATCATGTGGCCTAAAAATCGACGATTTTTTTTTAATCAATGTGAAATTACCCAAAAAACACGTTAAAATAAAAAGAAAGTGCGGAAAAGTGACTAACACCAGATTAACTTCAGTTATAAAACTTCTATTACATCATAACTAACTTCAGGTTTAAAATGTCAACCTCAATTTTGACATATTTGTAATCTTCATTAAAAATCCTTTAAAATGAGTACAAACACGACATATTTATCTTCAATATTAATGAAGTTATGGTGAACTTCCGGTTAAGGATGTCAACGTCAATTTTGACATATTTGTAATCTTCATTAAAAATCCTTTAAAATGAGTACAAACACGACATATTTATCTTCAATATTAATGGAGTTATGGTCAACTTCCGGTTAAGAATGTCAACGTCAATTTTGACATATTTGTAATCGTCGTGGAAAATCGTCGTGGAAACTTTTTGGTTTTTTGAGATAAATGCGTCAAGTTTAGACTCACTTTAAAGGTTATTTTATGAAGATTACGAATATAATAATAAAATTAAAGTTGACATTGACAACTGAAAGTTTTTTTCACGACTAAACCCTTTAAAACTTTTTCATTACCTCATAGACCATTAAATTTTCCAACTGATTCTAAAAGCCTATTTTATTTTAAAATTTTTTCACTCTTAGAAATTTTTGATCAGAGATATTTGCAAAAAGATACAACCTTGATTTTGTAATGTTTTCATTAAAGGTAATCATCATGTGGCTTAAATCGACGATTTTTTTTAATCAATGTGTTAAACCCAAGAAACACGTTAAAATAAAAAGAAAGTGCGGAAAAGTGACTAACACCAGATTAACTTCAGCTATAAAACTTCTATTACATCATAACTAACTTCAGGTTTAAAATGTCAACCTCAATTTTGACATATTTGTAATCTTCATTAAAAATCCTTTAAAATGAGTACAAACACGACATATTTATCTTCAATATTAATGAANTAAAAGACAAACTTTTAATTTTATACTAACATCTAGAAAAAGACACTGGCCCGAAATTGTTCATCTATTTTTTCTATTGTAGAATTTCTTGATGTATCTAAGTGTCGTATCTAAGTCAGTATCAGACAACACCGAATACACTTTTTTTTTATTACAAAAAATTCTTTACAGCATAATAATAAATGTATCTGAAAAGAATCTTTTTTATGTAGAAAAAAATCAAGTTCAAAATAAACTCTATGACGGGGTATTATACAGGATGCTTCTGTAAGTCGTGACGTAATTTTAATCACAAATACTAGAGTGAAAATGATGACGATTTGTGTAAACATTTTTGATCTAAACCCGTAAATGGCTAAGATATGGGCCTTCAAAGTTAAGAAATTTTCAAACATTTTCTTAAATATTTTCAATATGGTTTGTTTTAGAAAGACTAAATTTGGCAAACAGTGCAATATTACCATAAGAAATCGTTTAAGACTACTGTTGGACATATCAAACCACAGGATCAATACTACACAGGTGTTCACAAAGGTTATTTTTCATTTCCTCATAAACCCTCCCAATTGCTGTTCATGTAGGACATAGGGTATGTATTGGATATCACCTCTTCAAAATTCACATTTTTTCGCACGATAGTCTTCGAGAAAAAAAATCGCAAAGTAGACAAAGTTGCTAGCACTCTCAAAAATCGGGTACTTTTTTCACTTAACTCGCGATGAAAGAAAAACCGCGGACCCGAAAATTTCCAAATTAACATGTGATACGCAGAGATCAATTTCTTCCATCGAGCGGTTACGAAGATATCGATCTCTAAAGTGAGGGGTCTTGACTTTTTGCACGGATAGTAGTGCTTTACAAGTATCTAGCAATCTATCACCAGTTTCTAGACATTCATTAACAGTATCTAGTCCTTTATCAGCTGTATTTAGACTTCTATAAACAAAATTTAGANTAAATTTTATATAAAATAAAAGACAAACTTTTAATTTTATACTAACATCTAGAAAAAGACACTGGCCCGAAATTGTTCATCTATTTTTTCTATTGTAGAATTTCTTGATGTATCTAAGTGTCGTATCTAAGTCAGTATCAGACAACACCGAATACACTTTTTTTTTATTACAAAAAATTCTTTACAGCATAATAATAAATGTATCTGAAAAGAATCTTTTTTATGTAGAAAAAAATCAAGTTCAAAATAAACTCTATGACGGGGTATTATACAGGATGCTTCTGTAAGTCGTGACGTAATTTTAATCACAAATACTAGAGTGAAAATGATGACGATTTGTGTAAACATTTTTGATCTAAACCCGTAAATGGCTAAGATATGGGCCTTCAAAGTTAAGAAATTTTCAAACATTTTCTTAAATATTTTCAATATGGTTTGTTTTAGAAAGACTAAATTTGGCAAACAGTGCAATATTACCATAAGAAATCGTTTAAGACTACTGTTGGACATATCAAACCACAGGATCAATACTACACAGGTGTTCACAAAGGTTATTTTTCATTTCCTCATAAACCCTCCCAATTGCTGTTCATGTAGGACATAGGGTATGTATTGGATATCACCTCTTCAAAATTCACATTTTTTCGCACGATAGTCTTCGAGAAAAAAAATCGCAAAGTAGACAAAGTTGCTAGCACTCTCAAAAATCGGGTACTTTTTTCACTTAACTCGCGATGAAAGAAAAACCGCGGACCCGAAAATTTCCAAATTAACATGTGATACGCAGAGATCAATTTCTTCCATCGAGCGGTTACGAAGATATCGATCTCTAAAGTGAGGGGTCTTGACTTTTTGCACGGATAGTAGTGCTTTACAAGTATCTAGCAATCTATCACCAGTTTCTAGACATTCATTAACAGTATCTAGTCCTTTATCAGCTGTATTTAGACTTCTATAAACAAAATTTAGACATTTTCAAGCAAAATCTATACTTTCGCAAACACTAAGTAGATTTCTAACAACTGCATGAAGTCTTTTTCAAATTCTCTTATCAGAGTCTCCTCTCCTAATAGTCTACACTTTCATTAACATTAACTAACCTTCTGCAAAGAATATTAAATCTTTTGTAAATAGTTTTCTAATCTTCTGGAAATAGTATTTAGTCTTCTATTAACAATTTCTCGAAATTCATTCTTTTGTAAGCACTAATTAGTCTTCTGCAAGCACTATCTAGTTTTTTTACAAATAGCTTCTAAACATTAACTAACAGCAACTATTCTTCCGTAAACAATAGTCTTTTGTAAACAGTATCTAGTCATTTATAACTAGTTTGTGGACATTCATCAACAGTAACTAATCTTCTGCGAAGAGTATTTAGACTTTTACGAATAGATTTAATCTGTTGGAAGCAGTATCTAGTGTTCTGCAAATAGCATTTCGTCTTCCATTAGCACTTCCTAGGCATGCATTAACAGAATTTACTCTTCTGCAAATAGTGTCTAGCCTTCTATTGGTAGTATCTAGGTTCTTCAATTAGTATCTAATCTTCTGCAAGCAATACGCAGTGTCTAGTCTTTTTTTAGCAATTTCTAGACATTCATGAACAGTATCCCACCTTCCACAAGCAGTACCTGATCTTCTTCTTAACAGTAACTAAACTTCCGCTAATAATGGTCTTTTACAAACAGTATCCAGCAATCTATAACTAGTTTTTAGACACTCATTAACAGTATCTAGTCTTCTGCACGGAGTATCTGGTCTTCTATTAGCAATATCAAGCTACTTCAAGCAGTATCTAGTCTTCCACAAATAGTACGCAGTATTATTATAACAAATATTACAATTATTCTGGACTTCTGGAATCATTTAGAATTTGCAACATTAATAACTGATGCATGTCTTACATCATGGCAAGCATAATAAATAGATCTATAGTTATTGTTTCAAGTTCTAGAATCATTTTATCATAAATTTATGTTTGAGTTCTTTCAAGAAATTAATTCTACAAGTTGTGTGGCAATTTTAGAACCTTTCAAGTATAAACTTTATTATTTCGATAATTTCTTTTACAAAATAGTAATCATCTCAAGTGCAATTCTTATGTTTGCTTTGATTAATTTTTTTTAGATAAACTATAATTAAAAACATGTTTTTCCACCTTTTTTTGATAAGAATTTTGAAATACTATACGGTGATTTCAAAAATCAAAGCGTAATATATCGAGGTTATCGATAGTTTATCGTCACTAAACGACTATTAAGGATAAATCACTTAATATGTTTACTTATTTATCAATAAAGATTTTAGAACCTAATCTGAAATATAAGAAAGTACGATACTTTTTTTTAATCGGATATCGTTCCGACACATTTTTGATATATAATCGGATTCTATACATTTATCTTGCTCTTGTTTGACCTTGTTCCTCGATTACTCGTGATCATTTTTAAAGCGATTAAACCAATCAACTGATATAATATATACTCACGCGTTTAAAACTTTTATTGTTATTATTCCTAATTACTAATTGTTATAATAATAGAATTATATTGTATAATCAACAAAACATTTAAAGAATTATTTAATTTTTAGATATATTAATTCTTTAAAAGATTTTCGCAGTTGACCCTGATTATCTTTCCTTATCTTTTTAACCGTAATCGTTCAATAACCGTAACTATGTAACTGGGGAAAGCGACCAACAGTACGTTTTTAACACTCAACTAGAGCGAGAGTTCATTTAAAACTTTTTTTACTTTGTTTTATAACATTATAACTCGTGGTTCAGGGTCAGAGTGCTTTACCATGAGTAAAATTAGTGTAGATATCCCAGATATTGAAGTAAGTAATTTTTTAATATTATTTTTTTAAGGTAAACGAATGTAATAATTGTTTAGAACCTCTTGGCCTTGAATCCAAGAGTTGCGACGCACTCAACCGTCCTCCCATCAAGTGTTACGAAATCGGCGAAAAAGCAATGGAAAAGGAATGCGGATAAACATTGTTCGGTGACTAATTTAACATAACAATTAAATAATAATAATTAAATTATATCGAATTATTTAGAAATGTCCCAGTTTGGAGAACGACTTCTCAGACATCAAACCAACCACTTTATCCGAAAGGGGTGCATTAAAAGAAGCGGCGAGGTGTCTTAAATGCGCAGATGCGCCGTGTCAAAAATCATGCCCCACACAACTCGATATCAAATCGTTTATAACCAGCATAGCTAACAAAAATTATTATGGAGCTGCTAAAGCGATTTTTTCGGATAACCCATTGGGGATAACTTGCGGGATGGTTTGCCCAACAAGCGATCTTTGCGTCGGAGGCTGTAATCTTCAAGCAAGCGAAGAAGGACCAATTAACATTGGGGGATTACAACAATTTGCAACAGAAGTTTTTAGTAAAATGAACATCAAACAAATCAGAAACCCAAAAACACCTCCACCAAAAAATCCAAAAGCAAAAATTGTTCTTTTAGGTGGTGGACCAGCGTCTTTATCATGCGCGACATTTTTAGGGAGATTAGGTTACGAAAATATAACGATTTACGAAAAAAATAATTACATAGGAGGTCTTAGCACCTCAGAAATCCCCCAATATCGCCTCCCAATGAACGTAATCAACTTTGAAGTAAAACTCGTCGAAGATCTCGGCGTTAAAATCGAAACGAAACGTTCCCTCTCAACTCGAGATATAACAATAGAAAAGCTTCTCCAAGAAAAAACCGACGCAATCTTCTTAGGAATCGGCCTACCCGAACCAAAAACCGACAAAGTTTTCGAAAATTTAACCCCAGAACACGGTTATTACACCTCAAAATCCTTCCTACCCAAAGTAACGGAAGCCAGCAAACCCAACATGTGTAGATGCGCCTCTTTAATGGAACCAACACTTCCAAAATTACACGGAATCGTTGTTGTAATCGGCTCGGGGGATACCGCGTTTGATTGTGCCACTTCCGCGTTGAGATGCGGGGCTAAAAAGGTTTATGTCATCTTTAGAGCTGGTTTTACAAACATTCGGGCTGTTCCCGAAGAAGTTTCTTTGGCAATTGAAGAAAAATGCGAATTAGTCGGGTTCCAATCGCCCCACAGCGTTGAAGTTAAAGGAGGAAAGATCAAATCAATTACTTTTGCGAGAAACGAAGAAGAAAACGGGGTTTGGAAACGGGATGAAACTCAATTAACCACCGTTAAAACTAACTTTATTATTACTGCTTTTGGATCGAAAATACAAAGCAAAGAAAGTAAGAATTAAATTAATAAGTTAAAATTTAATTAATACAGTATTACCTCAATAATCTATTTATAATTATCTATTTAATACATTGATGTATTTAAATATAAATGTTAGTGCTCGAAGATAGAATCTGACTTGGGTTGTTCCTCAACTTGCTCTATTTCATAGTCATAGATAAATTCGGGTTATTCCCCGAGTTGTGTATACAATTTATAAATCAAGGACGGTAGTTCTACCACTAAACTTAGAATTAGAAACATTCGGGTTTAGCCGTCTTAAGAAACGTTAGGCTAAATCCGAATGTCTCAAGTTCTAGGTCTAGTGTTAGATCTAGTGCTAGTGTTAGCTCTACTTTTAGTTGTTATTGAGCGGTAAATTGTTGTATATTTTTATTGAACTAAAACTAAGACTAACACTAGAACTAGAAACATTCGGGTTTAGCCTCACGTCTCTCAAGACGGCTAAATCCAAATGATTCTAGATCTAGGTCTTGTGTTAGTTCTAGTGATAGTGCAAAACTAGAACTAACACTAGACCTAGAACTAGAAACAGTCTCCAGACGCGCGGCTAAACCCGATACTTTCTAATTCTAGGTCTAGTGTTAGTTCTAGTTTTAGTGCAATAAAAATAGCAAAAATAGTAACATAGTAATCTTATGCCAAACTAATAATATCTTATGCCAACTAGTGCTACTTATCCCTGGCACTAAAACTAACATTAGACCTAGAACTAGAAACATTCGGATTTAGCCGCACGTCTCGCAAGACGGCTAAACCCGAATGTTTCTAGTTCTAGGTCTAGTGTTAGTTCTATTTTTACACTAGCACTATCACTAGATAGTGCTAGTTCTAGGTCTTGTGTTAGTTCTAGTGATAGTGTAAAAATAGAACTAACACTAGACCTAGAACTANTTTGCGAGAAACGAAGAAGAAAACGGGGTTTGGAAACGGGATGAAACTCAATTAACCACCGTTAAAACTAACTTTATTATTACTGCTTTTGGATCGAAAATACAAAGCAAAGAAAGTAAGAATTAAATTAATAAGTTAAAATTTAATTAATACATTATTACCTCAATAATCTATTTATAATTATATATTTAATACATTGATGTATTTAAATATAAATGTTAGAGCTCAAAGATAAAATCTAACTTGGGTTGTTCCTCAACTTGCTCTATTTCATGGTCATAGATAAATTCGGGTTATTCCCCGAGTTGTGTAGACAATATATAAATCGAGGACGGTAGTTCTAACACTAAAGCTAGAAAACGCAAGGCTAAACCCGAATGTCTCAAGTTCTAGTGCTAGTGTTAGCTCTACTTGTAGTTATTATTCAGCGTTAAATTGTTGTATATTTTATTGAACTGAAACTAGTACTAACACTAGACCTAGAAACATTCGGGGTTAGCCTCGCGTCTCGATTCTAGATCTAGGTCTTGTGTTAGTTCTAGTGATAGTGCAAAACTAGAACTAACATTAGACCTAGAACTAGAAAGTATCTAGTTCTAGTATCTTAGTTCTAGTTTTAGTGCAACAAAAATATGTAACATAGTGATATCTTGTGCTAACTAGCTCTGCTTATCACTGTCACTAAAACTAACATTAGACCTAGAACTAGAAACATTCGGATTTAGTCGCACGTCTCTCAAGACGGCTAAACCCGAATGATTCTAGTTCTAGGTCTTGTGTTAGTTCTAGTGATAGTGTTAGTGCAATACTAGAACTGACACTAGATCGAGAACTAGAAGCATTCGGGTTTAGCCGCACGTCTCTCAAAACGGCTAAACGCGAATGATTCTAGTTCTAGGTCTAATGTTAGTTCTAGTTTTCGTGCAATAAAAATATGCAACATAGTGACATCTTATGCTAGCTAGCGCTACTTACCACTGTCACTAAAACTAACATTAGGCCTAGAACTAGAAACATTCGGATTTAGCCGCACGTCTCTCAAGACGGCTAAACCCGAATGATTCTAGTTCTAGGTCTTGTGTTAGTTCTAGTGATAGTGCTAGTACAATACTAGAACTAGCACTAGACGGAGAACTAGAAACATTCGGATTTAGCCGCACGTCTCTCAAGACGGCTAAACCCGAATGATTCTAGTTCTAGGTCTTGTGTTAGATCTAATGATAGTGCTAGTGTAATAGTAGAACTAAAACTAGACTTAGAACTAGAAACTTTCGGGTTTAGTCGCACGTCTCTCAAGACGGCTAAACCCGAATGATTCTAGTTCTAGGTCTTGTGTTAGTTCTAGTGATAGTGCTAGTGTTAGTTCTAGTTTTATCTGTTATTCAGCGCTAGATTGTTGTACATTTTTATTGAACTAAATCATTCATTAGCGGTATGAAGTCTTCCGCAAATAGTGTATTGCATTCCATTAGCAATGTCTAATCTTTTACAAATAGTATCAAGTATTCTGCCAGCAGGATATGATCTTCTGTCATTAGTATCTAGTCTTGAATAAACACTATCTGTCGTCTGGCAGCAGTATCTGGTCTTCTAGTAGCAGTGACTAATCTTGAATTAATAATGTCTAGCCTTCTGCTAGCAGTATCTGGTCTTCTTCTTATCAGAACATTCTATTTTTAGGTTTAGTATTAATATATTAGTTAATTATTATTCTGCACTAGAATTATATTAATAAGTTAAAATTTATTTAACACAGTATAACCTCAATAATCTATTTATAATTATCTATTTAATATATCAGTGTATTTCAATATAAATGATAGTGCTCATAGATAAAATCTAACTTGGGTTGTTCCTTAACTTGCTCCATTTCGATAAACTCGGGGTATTCCCCGAGTTGTTTATACAATGTATAAATCAAGGGCAGTAGTTCTAACACTAAACCTAGAATTAAAAACATTCGGGTTTTGCCGTCTTAAGAAACACAAGGCTAAATGCGAATGTCTCAAGTTCTAGGTATAGTGTTAGTTCTAGTGCTAGTGTTAATTCTACTTTTAGTTGTTATTCAGCGTTAAATTGTTCTATACTTTTATTGAACTAAAACTAGAACTAACACTAGACCTAGAAACATTAGGGATAGTGCTTGTGCAATACTAGAACTAACACTAGACCGAGAACTAGAAGTATTCGGGTTTAGTCGCACGTCTCTCAAGACGGCTAAACCCGAATGATTCTAGTTGTATGTCTAGTGTTGGTTCTAGTTTTAGTGCAATAAAAATATGCAACATAGTGATATCTTATGCTAGCCAGCGCTACTTACCACTGTCACTAAAACTAACATTAGACCTAGAACTAGAAACATTCGGATTTAGCCGCACGTCTTTCAAGACGGCTAAACCCGAATGATTCTAATTCTAGGTCTTGTGTTAATTCTAGTGATAGTGCTGGCAAACCGATGTTAAAAATTAAGTCAGTTATTTTCCATGTTTCATTACTTTCATTAGTTACCAAAATGTTGTTATTATTATTATTATTCTTTGACAACCAAAATAAAAAACTAGTCAATCGATAAACTTTTATCTATAAGTATCACTAGAATTAACACAAGACCTAGAATTAGAATCATTCGGGTTTAGCCGTCTTGAGAGACGTGCGGCTAAATCCAAATGCTTCTAGTTCTCGGTCTAGTGCTAGTTCTAGTATTGCACTAGCACTATCACTAGAACTAACAGAAGACCTAGAACTAGAATCATTCGGATTTAGCCGTCTTGAGAGACGTGCGGCTAAATCTGAATGTTTCTAGTTCTAGGTCTAATGTTAGTTTTAGTGACAGTGGTAAGTAGCGCTAGCTAGGATAAGATGTCACTATGTTCCATATTTTTATTGCACGAAACGTAGAACTAACACTAGACCTAGAATCATTCGGGTTTAACCATCTTGATAGACGTGCGGCTAAACCCGAATGCTTGTAGTTCTCGGTCTAGGTGTTGTGTTACTTCTAGTGATAGTGCTAGTGTAAAACTAGAACTAACACTAGACCTAGAACTAGTAACATTCGCGTTTAGCCGTCTTGAGAGACGTGCGGCTAAACCCGACACTTTCTAGGTCTAGTGTTAGTTCTAGTTTTATCTGTTATTCAGCGCTAGATTGTTGTACATTTTTATTGAACTAAAAGTAGAACTCTTACAGTATGTGGTTATTCATTAGCGGTATGAAGTCCTTTGCAAATAGTGTATTGCATTCCATTAGCAATGTCTAATCTTTTGTAAATAGTATCAAGTATTCTGCCAGCAGGATATGATCTTCTGTCATTAGTATCTAGCCTTGAATAAACAATATCTAGTCTTCTGCCGGCACTATCTGGTCGTCTGGCAGCAGTATCTGGTCTTCTACTAGTAGTGTCTAGTCTTGGATTAATAATGTCTAGTCTTTTGCAAATAGTATCAAGTCTTCTGCTAGCAGTATTTGGTCTTCTTCTTATCAGAACATTCTATTTTTAGGTTTAGTATTAATATATTAGTTAATTATTATTCAGCGTTAGATTGTTGTACATTTTTATTGAACTAAAAGTAAAACTAACACCAGACCGAGAACCAGAAAATTTTGGGTTTAAGAGACGCACGCCTAAACTCTATCAAAATCTTTATTTTATATTATGAACCAGAAGTCTCAAACTAACAACAATAAATGAAGCATTTGCTAATTCAAAGTATAAAATAGTAATTACGTGACGTCACGAATGGGCCTTCGAGCTGTGCATTTGTTCCTGTGATATAGCACTCCTCTTAGATTCTACCGTCCTTGGTATAAATATAAAATATCGAGGTTTTGCTGTAACTAACTTTACTGTACTTATTAACTGTTACTACTTTTTTTTAATTTTAGTTATTGAAGCATTAAACCCATTAAAACTCGATGCAAACTCAAATTTACCTGAAGTTAATAAAGTTACAATGCAAACATCGCACCCAAAAGTATGGTGTGGTGGTGATATGGCTGGGGTGGCTGAAACAACCGTGGAATCGGTGAATGATGGCAAAACAGCAGCTTGGTACATCCATGCCTCTTTAGAAGGACTCCCAAAAGAATCAAAACCCAAATTACCACTTTTCCACACAGAAATAGACGATGTAGACATTTCCGTTGAAATGTGTGGAATTAAATTTGAAAATCCTTTTGGATTAGCGTCTGCGCCACCAACAACCAGTTTACCGATGATAAGAAGAGCTTTCGAACAAGGTTGGGGTTTTGTAGTAACAAAAACGTTCTCGTTAGAAAAAGATTTAGTCACGAACGTTTCGCCGAGAATTGTAAGGGGTACAACTTCCGGGGAAAATAATTATGGCCCGCAACAAGGATCCTTTTTAAATATCGAATTGATTTCGGAAAAACACGAAAGTTACTGGTTGAAAGGAATCGAAGAGTTAAAAAAAGATTTTCCCGAGAAGATTATAATCGCGAGTATTATGTGTAGTTATAACGAAAATGATTGGAAAGAACTCGCGGTTAAAACGGTAAAAAGTGGCGCGGATGCTTTAGAGTTGAATTTGTCGTGTCCTCATGGGATGGGTGAATCGGGAATGGGGTTAGCTTGCGGGCAAAAACCCGAATTGGTTGAGGGAATTTCAAAATGGGTTAAATCGGTTGTCGATATTCCATTTTTCATTAAATTAACACCCAACATCACGAATATCGTCGATATAGCTTTAGCTGCTAAACGTGGGGGAGCATGGGGAGTTTCAGCGATTAATACAATTTCCGGTTTAATGACAATTAATCCAAACGGAGAACCTTGGCCGGGAGTTGGATACGAAAAACGCACCACTTACGGTGGTGTTAGCGGAAACGCCACCCGCCCAGTTGGATTAAGAGCTGTATCCGCAATTTCTAACGCAATCCCAGGATTTCCTATTTTAGGAATCGGGGGTATTGACTCAGCCGATGTGGCGTTACAATTCCTTCAATGCGGAGCTACCATTCTTCAAGTTTGCAGTGCGGTACAAAATCAAGATTTTACCCTCATTAATGATTATTGCACGGGGTTAAAAACGTTGTTATATTTAGACCAACGTTTACCGAATTGGAAAGGTCAAAGTCCACCAAGTCTAAAACATCAAAAAGGAAAATTAGTTGAAAGTGTTTATGATAAAAATGGAATGAAATTACCACATTTCGGTGAATATAAATTACAGCGGGAAGAACAACTTGAAATTTTACGCCAAAAGGGGACGATTACGACAGAATCGGGAGTTAATTTGCCTCAATCGCAATCCAAAGCGGAAACACTCAGCGTTAAAGATGTCATTGGGAGGAGTTTACCGAAAATTGGAACATATAAAGCTTTGGATAACTCAAAGCAAGTCGTTGCTTTAATAGATGATGTAATATTAATTTCGTTTTTTATGATTTTGTATTAATTTTTTACTTTTTAGGATATGTGTATAAACTGTGGAAAATGTTACATGGCGTGTAATGACTCTGGGTATCAAGCAATTCGATTTGATGCTAAAACACACATTCCCAAAGTTACCGATGATTGTACGGGATGTACGATGTGTTTATCTGTTTGTCCCATCATCGATTGTATATCGTAAGTTGGTTTATTAATCGATTTTGATATTGTTGATTAATAAAAAATTTTTTGTTATAGAATGGTTCCAAAAACTATACCACATGTAGTCAAACGAGGTGTTCCTTTAAATCAAATAAATAAATAATTAGATTAATAAATAAATTAATGATGTAATATGGTTAAATAAAGGTTTCATATAGTTCTTAATAAATTTGAGATGAAATTGAATATGATGCTGAAATTTGAGGTTTTTGGGATATTGTTGAATCTATTGTTCCATCCTCCTCCTCAGCCTTTCTACCTAGCCTAGTTTTTGTGATATTAGTTGTTTACTGTTCTTCCCCATTCCTCTCTATATGGGGTTACACTCTAGTTTTGAGATTAGCACTCTCAGGAACACACTGTTAGACCAATCACACAAGAGGGCTAGTATCATTATTATCACATGATAGGATCCCTAAACTTTTACGTTATATTGCCAGAACTAATCCTGAAGTCGCAGCAAATAATGTTCTAACGAACTACCTCGCTGAAACTGCTTCATATACTTTTCCCGATATAAAAATTAAATCTAACAATAAGAATAAAAGCAGAAACATATCCTGGGTTACTCAGGACCTACACATTATGCGTGCAAATTTACAACTCATTAATGAGGCTTATCTGGCCAATGTGAATCCCCATAGGAAAGTATTAAGAGACGACTACTACAAGAAATACAGACAACCTCTAATCGACGGAAAAAGGGCCGCTCACGATGGTTATGTTGAAAATCACAAAAATTTACAGTCTGCCATCTGGAGCATCTTGAATAAGCATAGAAAAGACGAGCGACACGCCACCTCGAGTAACATAACTGCTAATAATAATAATAATAATATATAATTATTGTGCCTTCCACAAATACAAATAACATTCTAGTAGTACATATTTCTATTTCATAATATTAAATTAAAGAAGGAACACAATGGGCGGGTTCCAGACAATGTCTGTTCATACCAACCCAGTTGATTGCAAAAAAGAACAAAAATTAAGCAAAAAAGAAAACACGAGAAAGAAAATAAAAGAAAAAAAACATATAAAATGAATTATAAAATACTTAATCAACTAAAACAAAAAAAATTTATACTGCCTTCACAAATCCCAACATGCCAACGGTAAATATGCTGAAACCCCAGCCGCATCAAACTCTTCCTGAATGTACCTAAGCTCAGAATTCGCATGTCATTTGGCAATTTACTATAAGATATGTAAATGTGATAGCTGAAGCTTCTTTCAAATAGACGCGTTTTGGTGGATATATAGGATTGTTTAATCTCGTAACATATGGGTTTGTCGCCAGTTTGAACTTAATTTTCTTATACAGATATTCGGGCTTACATGAGATTATAGTTTTACGGAAAAGACATAATCTATGAAAATCTCTTCTTTGTTTCATTGACAACCATTTTATATCTTTCAGCTTATGAGTAAATCTATCAAATTTTCTGATATCATAAATATACCTCAGACAACTGTTTTGCACTCTCTGTATGCGGTTAGAAGTCACCACATCAACAGCCGAGTGGTAGAGTGGCGCCATGTAATTAAACTGGGATAGAACAAGACAAACATTGTTGCTTTTTCAGATCCACCGTAAGGTAGGCTCGATGAGGATAAACTCCACGCAAATAAGAATAAGCATTTTTGATGTAATAGCCAATCTGCGATCTGTATCTAAATGTATTATCTATTCTTAACCCATTCTTTTATTATTATTTCACCATTCATTTGTATATTTAACACAGGTCTGCTACTAGTCCTGGCATTACCGAGACACATATACCTGGATTTACTTGGGTTGACTCTCAATTGATAGTTCTATTTAAGTCAAGCTATTTAAGTCACTATTTATTTTAGCTTCAGCATCATGATAATTAATACCTGGGAACGAAAAATTAACTGTAAATCGTCAGCATACATATTAATTTAATAATTAATTTCTGGAAATTCTAGCTATCTTGTCAAATTCAATACAAACTAACATTCATCCATTAACCCTCTTCAAGAGCGATAACCACCCTGCGTCACATGAATACTTCCAGTTCAATGTCTTTTCCAAGGTTGAGGTGAGAGATGTGAATAAAAAATGGCAAATCCTATGATTGTTTTGGTCTGAATGCGCAATTTGCTAATTACTCTGCTAACTAAGCTACTAAACCATTGTGTTCGTGAATCTATTTCCGGCCGCTTTTAAAACTGCTTGTATCCAGTGATGGGCGCTGCGTAAATATCCGGCGGGTAGGTATTTCTAAAATGGGTATTTATCCGGGTATTTACCCCGGCCCAGGGTAAATACTCAAACAGTGGGTATAAAAGTGATACCAGTAAAAATATATCAGATTCCAAAAAATAATGAAGAGGAAGATGATGAGGACGTTGAAAACGAGGAATTCAACAATCAAANAAAAGCATTAAGATGAATTTTATTATCTAATGTTTGTTGAAATAAATTCCAATTAGTGAGTTTATTAGTTAGTGATAAAAAGGGTTCTTTGTTACATACTTTGTTATTTAGAGTAATAATTACTGGTGAGTGATCTGAGTCCAGCCCTAGCTCTTCTTCAATGTTTACGAACTTCCTCTCGGTCCTATGCCATCTATATGGAGTTACACACTAGTTTTGAGATTCGCACTCTTAGGAAAGCACTGTTAGACCCATCACACAAGAGGGCTTGTATCATTATTATCACACGATAGGATCCATAAACTTTTACGTTATATTGCCAGAACGAATGATATGGTGAATCCTGAAGTCGCAGCAAATGTCCTAACGAACTACCTTCCTGAAACTGCTTCCTATACTTTTCCCGATATAAAAATTAAATCTAATAATAAAAGCAGAAATATATCCTGGTTTACTCAGGACCTTCACGTTATGTGTGCAAATTTACAACTCATTAATGAGGCTTATCTGGCCAATATGAATCCCCATATGAAAATATTAAGAGACGACTACTGCAAAAAATACAGACAACCTCTAATCGACGGAAAGAGGGCCGCTCACGATGGTTATGGTGAAAATCACAAAAATTCAGTCAAAGCAAACAAATTTATACTGCCTTCACAAATCCTAACATGCCAACGGTAAATATCCTAGCATTAGATATTATTCTCCCCCTTGCTGCTGACACCTCAGCCGCATCAAACACTTCCTGAATGTATCTAAGCTCAGAGTTCGCATGTCATTTGGCAATTTCCTATAAGATTTGTAAATGTGATAGCTAAAGCTTCTTTCAAATAGACACGTCCGATGATTTGGTGGATATATAGGATTGTTTAATCTAGTAACATATGGGTTTGTCGCCGGTTTGAACTTAATTTTCTTATACAGATATTCGGGCTTACATGAGATTATAATTTTATGAAAAAGACATAAGCTATGAAGATCTCTTCTTTGTTTCATTGACAACCATTTTATATCTTTCAGCTTATGAGTAATTCTATCAAATTTTCTGATACCATAAATATACCTCAGACAACTGTTTTGCACTCTCTGTATGCGGTTAGAAGTCACCACATCAACAGCCGAGTGGTAGAGTGGCGCCATGTAATTAAACTGGGATAAAACTGTTGCTTTTTCAGATCCACCGTAAGATAGGCTCGATGAGAATAAAGTCCACGCAAATAAGAATAAGCATTTTTGATATAATAGCCAATCTGCGATCTACATATTATCTATTCTTAACCCTAAGCATTTGGATTCCTGAACTAAACTGATTATTTCACCATTCATTTGTATATTTAACACAGGTCTGCTACTAGTCCTGGCATTACCGAGACACATATACATGGATTTACTTGGGTTGACTCTCAATTGATAGTTCTATTTAAGTTAAGCTATTTAAGTCACTATTTATTTTAGCTTCAGCATCATGATAATCAATACCTGGGAACGAAAAATTAACTGTAAATCGTCAGCATACATATTAATTTAGTAATTAATTTCAGGAGATTCCAGCTATCTTATCTAATTCAATACAAACTAACATTGATCCATTAACCCTCTGCAAGAGCGATAACCACCCTGCGTCACATGGATACTTCCAGTTCAATGTCTTTTCCGAGGTTGAGGTGAGAAATGTGATCGATAAAATAAAAAATGGCAAATCCTATAATTGTTTTGATCTGAATGCACAATTTGCTAATTACTCTATTAACTAAACTACTAAACCTGTTCGTGTATTTCCGGTCGCTTTCTATCTTCTACTTAGAAGGGTGACCGTAATGTTGCCGGGAATTTTAGACCGATAAACATATTGCCCGTACTGTCAAAAATCTTCGAACACCTACTTAAAAATGAATTAGTACAGTATTTTGTATGTAAAAATTTGTTTAGCAATACCCAGAGAAGTGCGATATTGAAATCATTGGATAATATTGTGTACTGTTTCGAGAAATTGGAATTTTGCAGTGTCTCTTTTGTTGACTTAACAAAGGCTTTTGACTGTGTTTCTCACATCACTCTTTTAAGGAAATTATACATTTACAACATATCTCCTAAAGCTTGCGGCTTAATATCGTTCTATTTGTCCAACCGTAAACAGTATGTCAAATTTAATTCACAGTTTTCTTCTGACCTTGGTTCCATATTGGACCCTATTTTATTTCTCATTTATATCAATGACCTACCTAATGTACTAGGTGAAGATGTTTATTTGTTGTATGCTGGTGATACTATATTTATTAGTCGAAGTTCTGTTTTAAATGCGGCTACAGTGGTACAAAGTAATACATTTGAATTAGCTAAGGTTAGCTAATGCAAGTAAGACACTTAACCTGGTCTTCACCTTACCCACAGATGACCAGGTGAAACCTGTTCCTGATTGCAAGTTCCTGGGTTTATATCTGGATTCGGTCCTTATATGGGCTGAGCATGGGGTTAAGCTAGCCGGTAGACTGAGTTCAGCTGCTTTTTTGCTGAGACAACTATCTGTCACTGTCTCCGCTCATGCGAACGGTATACTTCTCACTGCTACAATCTCACATCAGTTATGGACTAATAGCCTGGAGCAATTCTAGTATAGCTAAGCGAATCTGCAGGATACCAAGAAGAGCAATAAGAATAGTTGGAAGTCTGGGATATAATTATGCTGATCTTTCCCGTGTTCTTTTACCCTCCATTTTCCTTCTAAAACAAGGTTTTCCTTCTCTCTGGTTTGCCTCGCTAGCTGTCCAAACTAACTGTGCTCCGCTCATCACACTCTGAGTATCCGACTGTAGATTCACATCTGAAAAGCTTCAATCTTTTTTGAAGTTTTGGTGAATGTTCTTTAGAATATTCTTTTTGTGATATTCTTTCCAGCTGATTTTGCAACAACTCTCTGCATTTTCACTACATCAACTGCATTTTTTGTTTGCTTCTTGGGCGTTTGTAGTTTTAGAGCTAAAGTTGTTAGTAGGAGCTGTTAGTGTTAATAGTAAGTATTGAGACAATAAGGCCGACCCTATATTTTTTAATTTCTCTTCTTTCTAAGTCTTCTTTCTATACATTCCTCAGAACGTTCTTACTATACATTATTATTTAATTACCTCATGAGATCCAGAAACATAAAATTAATGCGGATCAGCGGACGCAACATGTACAATTCACGCCAGAGACATGTGGCACAAAGAAAGTGTTTCTAAGACAACCAGGAGGATGACGCATGGCAAGATAAGGAGATAACATGACCAGGAGCGCTCAGGAGGTTCTTGAGATAGGGAGCTGGAAGAGAGGGACCTAAAATCTAGTTGGAGGCGACGCATCAAGGAAATTGTTGACTACACATTCCGTCTCTAATGTGAAATATGCTATATTATTATATTATATAGGATAAAAAACAAATAAATAAAATTAATCTCCTTTACTTTATTGCTTTTATATTTAATTTTTTTAATCAATTAAACTAAAAAACACCTTATTTAACCGTACAATCATCGATTCCATAATCAATTAATATTTTACGGGTACTTTCAAATGCAATACCATTCCTCATAATTTTAAAATAACCTACTTTAGATAAATCAACAACTGTAGATGCGCCGCGATTTGAATCACCAACACCTAAAATCCCTCCATCAAAAATCCCCCCTATTTTCGCCCATAAACCTTTAAACTCCTCAATCCTCACCGAACTAGGATCCCCACTAAAATTAGCGCTTGTTAAAGCAATTGGCGAATTTAATCCGTCACAAACGTTCCTAATAAAATCGTAATCAGGGATTCTAACGCCGATTTTTCCATCGAAATTTAAGGATTTATCTAGTTTTCTAGCACAATTTAAAACTAACGTAACCGGACCGGGAAGTAATGATTTTAATAATCCACTTGGTAAATGTGAAACTTCCGCCCATTTTTTAACATCTTTTTCACGTCCAACGCAAATTGCGACAGGTTTATTTTCGTTTCGAGCTTTAATTTCGTACAGTTTATTAACGGCTTCAATGTTTGTGGCACAACAAGCTAAACCATAAACTGTATCAGTCGGTAAAGCGATTACTTCACCCGATTTTAAAATTTCTATCGCCGTTTGAACAGCATCAATATCATTAACGGAAACTATTTGCGCCATTTTTAATTTTAAATTTAAATCGACGCTTTTAATTAAATTATACAAAAATGTTGTACTTCTCATGTTTAATCCCTCCAATTGTGCGAACACTCTTGATTACAACACCTATAGAATGTTGTCATAGGTTCATCAGCTGAGCGGGTTTGAACTTGCATAAAATAAGCCCTTCCGTGGCTACACTTTGGACATGTTATGTCGGTTGAATCAACGTTCTTCCAAGCTTCTTCTCCACCGATTATATCATCAATTTCCTATTTAATATAAAGCAATTAAATAATGAATATCTAATTATGAAACTTATCTTTGGTGTAATTCAAGAATGATCATGTCGCTTAAAAATCGACAATTTTTTTTTTAATCGATGGGAAATTACTCGAGGAAGCCCTTATAAATAAAAAGAAAGTGCGGAAAAGTGTAAAACTTACCGAAAAAAAAAAGTTTCGACGTGACGTTGTTTTTTATGGTTAGCCATCTTGAAAGTCGTGCAGCTAAACCCGAATGTTTCTAGTTCTAGGTCTAGTGTTAGTTATAGTTTTACACTAGCACTATTACTAGAACTAACACAAGACCTAGAACTAGAATCATTCGAGTTTAGCCGTCGTGAGAGACGTGGGGCTAAACCCGAATGTTTCTAGTTTTCGGCCTAGTGTTAGTTTTAGTTTTGAACTAGAACTAACACAAAATCTAGAACTAGAACCATTCGGGTTTAGCCGTCTTGACAGACGTGCGGCTAAATCCAAATGTTTCTAGTTCTAGGTTTAGTGTTAGTTCTAGTGACAGTGGTAAATAGCTCTACTTAGCATAAGATATCACTATGTTGCAGTTTTTTATTGCAGTAAAATTGGAACTAACACTAGACCTAGAACTAGAATCATTCGGGTTTAGCCGTCTTGAGAGACGTGCGGCTAAACCCGAATGTTTCTTGTTCTCAGTCTAGTNCATATTGGACCCTATTTTATTTCTCATTTATATCAATGACCTACCTAATGTACTAGGTGAAGATGTTTATTTGTTGTATGCTGGTGATACTATATTTATTAGTCGAAGCTCTGTTTTGAATGCGGCTACAGCGGTACAAAGTAATACATTTGAATTAGCTAAGGTTAGCTAATGCAAGTAAGACACTTAACCTGGTCTTCACCTTACCCACAGATGACCAGGTGGAACCTGTTCCTGATTGCAAGTTCCTGGGTTTATATCTGGATTCGGTCCTTACATGGGCTGAGCATGGGGTTAAGCTAGCCGGTAGACTGAGTTCTGCTGCTTTTTTGCTGAGATAACTATCTGTCACTGTCTCCACTCATGCGCTGCGAACCCAATAGCCTGGGGCAATTCTAGTATGGCTAAGCGAATCTGCGGGATACCAAGAAGAGCAATAAGAATAGTTGGAAGTCTGGGATATAATTATGCTGATCTTTCCCGTGTTCTTTTACCCTCCATTTTCCTTCTAAAACAAGGTTTTCCTTCTCTCTGGTTTGCCTCGCTAGCTGTCCAAACTAACTGTGCTCCGCTCATCACACTCTGAGTATCCGACTGTAGATTCACATCTGAAAAGCTTCAATCTTTTTTGAAGTTTTGGTGAATGTTCTTTAGAATATTCTTTTTGTGATATTCTTTCCAGCTGATTTTGCAACAACTCTCTGCATTTTCACTACATCAACTGCATTTTTTGTTTGCTTCTTGGGCGTTTGTAGTTTTAGAGCTAAAGTTGTTAGTAGGAGCTGTTAGTGTTAATAGTAAGTATTGAGACAATAAGGCCGACCCTATATTTTTTAATTTCTCTTCTTTCTAAGTCTTCTTTCTATACATTCCTCAGAACGTTCTTACTATACATTATTATTTAATTACCTCATGAGATCCAGAAACATAAAATTAATGCGGATCAGCGGACGCAACATGTACAATTCACGCCAGAGACATGTGGCACAAAGAAAGTGTTTCTAAGACAACCAGGAGGATGACGCATGGCAAGATAAGGAGATAACATGACCAGGAGCGCTCAGGAGGTTCTTGAGATAGGGAGCTGGAAGAGAGGGACCTAAAATCTAGTTGGAGGCGACGCATCAAGGAAATTGTTGACTACACATTCCGTCTCTAATGTGAAATATGCTATATTATTATATTATATAGGATAAAAAACAAATAAATAAAATTAATCTCCTTTACTTTATTGCTTTTATATTTAATTTTTTTAATCAATTAAACTAAAAAACACCTTATTTAACCGTACAATCATCGATTCCATAATCAATTAATATTTTACGGGTACTTTCAAATGCAATACCATTCCTCATAATTTTAAAATAACCTACTTTAGATAAATCAACAACTGTAGATGCGCCGCGATTTGAATCACCAACACCTAAAATCCCTCCATCAAAAATCCCCCCTATTTTCGCCCATAAACCTTTAAACTCCTCAATCCTCACCGAACTAGGATCCCCACTAAAATTAGCGCTTGTTAAAGCAATTGGCGAATTTAATCCGTCACAAACGTTCCTAATAAAATCGTAATCAGGGATTCTAACGCCGATTTTTCCATCGAAATTTAAGGATTTATCTAGTTTTCTAGCACAATTTAAAACTAACGTAACCGGACCGGGAAGTAATGATTTTAATAATCCACTTGGTAAATGTGAAACTTCCGCCCATTTTTTAACATCTTTTTCACGTCCAACGCAAATTGCGACAGGTTTATTTTCGTTTCGAGCTTTAATTTCGTACAGTTTATTAACGGCTTCAATGTTTGTGGCACAACAAGCTAAACCATAAACTGTATCAGTCGGTAAAGCGATTACTTCACCCGATTTTAAAATTTCTATCGCCGTTTGAACAGCATCAATATCATTAACGGAAACTATTTGCGCCATTTTTAATTTTAAATTTAAATCGACGCTTTTAATTAAATTATACAAAAATGTTGTACTTCTCATGTTTAATCCCTCCAATTGTGCGAACACTCTTGATTACAACACCTATAGAATGTTGTCATAGGTTCATCAGCTGAGCGGGTTTGAACTTGCATAAAATAAGCCCTTCCGTGGCTACACTTTGGACATGTTATGTCGGTTGAATCAACGTTCTTCCAAGCTTCTTCTCCACCGATTATATCATCAATTTCCTATTTAATATAAAGCAATTAAATAATGAATATCTAATTATGAAACTTATCTTTGGTGTAATTCAAGAATGATCATGTCGCTTAAAAATCGACAATTTTTTTTTTAATCGATGGGAAATTACTCGAGGAAGCCCTTATAAATAAAAAGAAAGTGCGGAAAAGTGTAAAACTTACCGAAAAAAAAAAGTTTCGACGTGACGTTGTTTTTTATGGTTAGCCATCTTGAAAGTCGTGCAGCTAAACCCGAATGTTTCTAGTTCTAGTGACAGTGGTAGGTAGCTCTAGTTAGCATAAGATATCACTATGTTGCATTTTTTTATTGCAGTAAAACTAGAACTAACACAAGACCTAGAACTAGAATCATTCGGGTTTAGCCGTCTTGAGAGACGTGCGGCTAAACCCGAATGTTTCTTGTTCTCGGTCTAGTGTTAGTTCTAGTTTTACACTAGCACTATTACTAGAACTAACACAAGACCTAGAACTAGAATCATTCGGGTTTAGCCGTCGTGAGAGACGTGGGGCTAAATCCAAATCTTTCTAGTTTTCGGTCTAATGTTAATTTTAATTTTGCACTAGAACTAACACAAGACCTAGAACTAGAATCATTCGTGTTTAGGCGTCTTGAGACGTGCGGCTAATCCCGAATGTTTCTAGTTCTAACGTTACTTCTAGTGACAGTGGTAGGTAGCGCTAGTTAGCATAAGATATCACTAAGTTGCATATTTTTATTGCACTAAAACTAACACTAGACCTAGAAATTCGGGTTTAGACTTGCGTCACAAAACGTGACGTCACATCGAAACTTTGATGTGATTTTTCGGTATGTTCAACACTTTTCCGCACTTTCGTTTTATTTTTAACGTATCTTTTGAGTCATTTCACATTGATTAATTTTAAGGCACATGATGATTCTCGAATTTTTCTCTCACCTTTTTCTTGTAATAAGTCGAACTGACGATTGTTTTACTGATGTTTTGAATTATTGGGCAGGTACTGCACGCAATTTGTAGTCGATATTGTGCCCCTTCTTGAACGTACATTAAATTACCACATATTGGACAAAAAGGGAGCATTACTTTCGTGGTTTTACTAACTTTAAGGTGTAAAAATAACGCATTAACAGATTTAAAGACAGCACGACTTTTTGACGTTTAATTTGAGGTTATGTTCGTTACGATGAAATTAAATGTTAGGTTATGAAATCTAAAAATTGAAATATTAATTTATAAATTTTGTTTTAGTAATGAAAGATTACTATTTATAAGATATAATAATAATATATACCTTTTTATAAGAATAAAATTAATTTGAAAAAGAATTTTTTTTATATAGGCAACCCAAACGACATTATTTTCTAGAAATGTCATTAATCATTATCAAGGTTATGTTATTAGGTAATTTTTGAATCATTTTCATTAACATCTTTTATAAAATTTATTTCCACCGTTTTTCTTGGTACATATACATATAAACGATTATTTATATAAAATGGTAAAGAACCAAATTATTTAAGACAATCGATTAATAATTCGGAAAATTAACTTATTCTTCCAAAAAGAAATATTGTCCAGCCCTTTTTTGTTCCACATCCTTAACGGATTCCTGTTTATTAATCCTGGGTCTAAAGTTATTAGGATCTCTTCTAAAAGTAATTCCCAACAATTCCAGGAACCTATTCATGCCAGCTAATAACGTTTGAGGGGTATGAGCCTCAGTGCTAACAGATGGCGTTCCTTCAAAAACAATTACACGATCCGCCAAATACGTAGCCATAATAAAATCGTGCTCAACAACAAACCCGGTTTTTTTAGCATGCAAAATAAAACGTTTTATAACTTTAGCAGCTACTAAACGTTGCTCAGAATCTAAGTAAGCGCTTGGTTCATCAATTAGATAAACGTCGGCTGGTTTTCCAAGACACAGAGTCATTGCAACTCTTTGTAATTCACCACCAGACAAGTTTTGAACCTCTTGATCGATTATATCATCAATTTTTAACGGCTTCATTACGTCAGCAATAAATTGCTGGTGAATATAAGCATCCCTGATTTTTTCATGAAGTAATTGCCTAACTAAACCTTGTGATTTTGGACTTATCTTTTGGGGTTTGTAACTAATATGTAATTGCGGTAATTCGCCTAAAAATAAAGCTTTTAATAATAAATAATTACTAATTATTATTGATATTACCTGAGCCGGAATCAGCTTCTAAATTACCAGCAAGTAAACGAATAAAAGTAGTTTTACCCGTACCATTTTCTCCAAGCAAAACTAAAATTTCTGAATCCGAAAATTGCCCTTTATGCACCTCCAATCTAAAACTACCCATCGTTTTTACCATATGTGGGTATTCATAGTGATTGATGCGTTTCACTTCTTCTTCAGCGGCGGACTCAGAAACTTTAAAAACGAGCGAATCTTCACGAAATCGTAAATTTTCCGTTGGTACAAAACCGTCCAAGAAAATATTGATGCCTTCCCTTACCGAAAAAGGCATAGTTACCACCCCATACGCTCCTGGGACACCATATAAACAACAAATAAAATCAGAAAGATAATCTAGAACACTCAAATCGTGTTCAACAACAATTATAAACCTAAAAAGAAATTGAATAAGAATTTTTGTTTATAAAGTCTTTCTTATCAAGAGAAACATGAAAAACTCATCACTAAAAACTAAAATAACATTTGGACTTGTTTTGTTCTTGTAACTTAATGTATTATGAAGATATTGAAGTTTTTAAAAATTTAAGAGCCAACTTTGAAGGTCTATAACTCCTCAAGTGTACAACTTAATATAGAGGTAAGTTACTTTAAATCATCTTAATTTATTGTCCTCTACATGTCCCTGTTCTGTGTCGGTTCTTATGTGAATCACTCTGTATATTAAAATAATTCTATTACATTATTTTAAAAATTTGAAAATTTTCCGTGTATTATTTGTAGCCAATGACGTAATGCGAAGTATGGTTGCCTATAATCCTAGACAACCTCTTATACAGGGTTTCCCAAAACTCCCTGGACGGAGCTATAAGTTTTGAACGAGTGAAGAAAGGGATCACTAAGGAATCATAAAAACTACATTTCTAGATAGTTTAGAACATCCATGCAATGTAAAGTTTTTTTAGGGGATGAGCACCCCTACATTTTTAAATAGCAACCCCTATCGAGTTTTACCTTTTTGTAAAGGTAATGGAAAAAGAAACACAACCCCATCAACCAAAACTCATTATCTTAATTCTTTCAAGAATTATGAGGGGTTGACCACTAAATGGGAAAATGTAAATTGAACGAAGGTGACTTCGAAAGAAGGTTGGAATTCTGTGAAATAGTACATGAAAAATGTGATGTTGACAGAAATTTTCTTTTGAATGTTTTTTTCTCTGATGAGGCTACTTTCTACTTGAATGGTTAGGTTAATAGGCACAATTGTCGGTATTGGAGTGACGAAAATGCGCGTGTAATAAGATAAGGTCATACTCAAAGACCGCAGAAAATTAATGTATGGGCTGGTATTATGGGAGAGAATGTAATTAGTCCATTTTTTATTAATGGAAATTTGGACGGAGACAAATATCTGCATCTGTTAGAAAATCAAGTGGTTCCAAGCGCTGTATGCCCTAATGGTATTGACAATAAGTGGTTCCAACAAGATGGTAGTCCTCCACATTTTAGACTCGGACGGCTAAAAAAAGCCGTACGTTTCCAAACCCTTGTATTTGTAGTAGAGGTGACATTGAGTGGCCACCACGATCTCCTGATCTAACACCATTCGATTTTTTCTTTTGGGGATTTCTGAAAAGTAGAGTGTATGCAACAATACCAGAATCAATTAATGATTTGGAAAAGCGCATACTTGAAGAACTACCAATATCACTTGGGATATGCTCCTGATGGTTCAAAATTCCATCTATGAGCGTTTGGGGTATTGCGAGATCAAAGAAGGGTGACAATTTGAACATTTGTTATAAAAATCGTAATAAAAGTGCAAAAAAGCATGAAAACATTTTATTTTCCCATTTGGTAGTCAACCCCTCATAATTCTTGAATTAATAATTCGGGTTTTGGTTTATGGGGTTGTGTTTCTTTTTTCATTACCTTTAAAATAAGGTAAAACTCTACAGGGATTGCTATTTAATAATGTAGGGGTGGTCATCCCCTAAAAAAACTCCATATTGCATGGAAGTTTTAAACTACCTAAGAATATGGCTTTTATGACTCTTTAGTGATTCCCAAATTTTCAAATTTTGTTCTTCACTTGTTCAAAACTTATAGCTCTGTCCCGGGCGTTTTGGGAAACCCTGCATACAAACCTTGAGAACGCCCTGGTTTTTATTATGTTTAAACAAATAAATAATTAGATTCGTAACTACAGTTTACTTAAATCCTCTCGTTTTAAAACTCTCGCTAAAAAATAGCTTTGAAAAATTACACTGTGTAAACGTGACTTTTCATTTTACTCCTCCAAATTAAAAATAGAGTATAGTAGGAAAGGACAAATTTTTTCGCGCGTGCATTTACTTTATATGTTGAAATGAAATAAGTAATAATAAGTAGGCCTCTTGACCTCTAAAGTTTTTTATTAATTAAGTTTATGTACTTTGTACTAGTTTCGACATATTATGATGTCATCATCAGCCAAATCTACAAAAGGATATAATAACTATAATGATCTTAAAAAATATATAAAAAACAGTAAAATATGGTCAATCTATACACAAATGTTGATACCACTTACACTTTAAAGGCGATTGAAGACATATTCTTTTAACATTTTAAAAATAAAATCATCACTGCTGACTTGAATTGAAATACTTAATCACATAATTCAACAAAACTATTGTCGCTTTGATAATAAAATTTACAAACTTGAACGTGGACTTCCTATGGGTCTTTCCATTTCTGGATTATTAGCTGATTTGTAGTTAGATAATATTGAAAAGAACTTCATTGTTAACTCAAAAAATCCATTCTTTAAGAATATCATAAAATGGTATAGATACGTCGACGACATTATATGTGTATGGAATGGAAATAAATTCGATTTTGATAGTATGCTATCTTACATGTACAACATCCACAAGAATCTTAAATTCACCTTAGAGATAGAAAAGGACAACTGCTTAAATTTCCTACACTTAAAAATACAAAAAATTGACAATTATTTTAAGTTTGACATTTTTAGGAAGCCCTCATCTTTAAATACTGTCATCCCTTATGATTTGTTCCATCCCAACAACTTCAAATTAGCTGCTTTCCAGGCTTTTATTGTCAGACTATTGAAATATCCTCTAGACTATACATCCAGACCAAAAGAACTAAATTTTATTAACAGATTAGCAAGAGAAAATAGTTATCCAAGTTGTACCATCCACCAATTACTGTATAAAAACCTCATAAAACTAGACCCTTTATACTCTACGAATAAAAATAACTTTGACAATTATAAGACAATAAACTGCAAAATTAAAACCATACTACAAACCTATGGTGTATTTGTCAGCTTTAAATGTAAAGGACAACTAGGTGATTCCATTTCTAACTACAAACAAAAAGAAAACGCTTTGGATTGTAGTGGTATCTATTCTGTTAAGTGCTTTTTGTAACCGGTTTTAAATTTAGTTCGATGTTGATTTAACAGTCGTCTTTGGAGTTCAATTGTGTACGGTATTGTAATTTCTTGTTTAGAATAGTTATTTTCGTGTTTCTTTTAAATAATGTTTTATTTTAACGTGGAAATTTGTTTGTTCAGCGTGATTTTTTAACTATTTGACTGTAAGTTGAGATATATTTATGCAATTTTATTGTTTTTTATATATTTTTTAAGATCATTATAGTTATTATATCCTTTTGTAGATTTGGCTGATGATGACATCATAATATGTCGAAACTAGTACCAAGTACATAAACTTAATTAATAAAAAACTTTAGAGGTCAAGAGGCCTACTTATTATTACTTATTTCATTCATTTCATCCATATAATATAATGGATCTTTTAAAATTTACTTTATACAACAAATATATTCATTAGAAACTATTTTCCTCTAACACACGCCAATTTATGGGCATAATATCTGCATGTATGCGGAAAATAATAATGAAAATCAATTAGTTATTCATGTTTCTCATGCTAAAGAGTGTAATTAAAAATGTATTAATACTTGTCAGGGCCAAGTAGCGATCGAATAGTTTGTGCAGCATTCAATCTTTGTTTAACATCCAAATAAGAAGAGGGTTCATCAAACATGAAGATATCCCCGTTTTGAATGCACACCATGGCACAAGCGAAACGTTGCAATTCCCCTCCGGATAAAGCGGAAAGTTCGCGATCTTTTAAATTGGTCAAATCCAACATGGCGCAAATTTCATCTTGGTTATCAAGTTCAGATTTTTTATCTAATAGTTGCTGAACGGTTCCTTTTACAGCTTTTGGGATTTGATCAACGTATTGGGGTTTTATTAACGCTTTTAAATCGTCCTCTAAAATCTTGGTAAAATAATTTTGAAGTTCAGAACCTCGGAAATGACTCAAAATTTCCGTCCAATCTGGAGGGTCCTATTTGAAATTAAAGATTATTTATGTTATTTAAAAATAATTATTTGTTAATAAATTTTTATATTTACCGTGTATCTTCCAAGATTAGGCTTTTGCTTTCCTGCTAAAATCTTTAAAGCAGTTGATTTTCCAATACCGTTGGTCCCAACCAATCCTAAAACTTCCCCTGGTCTTGGAATGGGGAGTCGATGTAATTTAAATGCATTTTTCCCATATCGATGTGTAGTATCCCTCTCTAAATTACTAGGTAAGTTAATAATGGAAATTGCTTCAAATGGGCATTTCTAAAAAATTCTTTTTATATTTAAATCATCTAATTTATAAATTAGCTCTACCTTAACACAAATACCACAACCAATACACAACTCCTCCGATATAGAAGCTTTTTTATCATTTGGAGTGACCTCGATACACAGTTTTCCCATTCGAACAACCGGACATGATTTCTTGCATTCTTGACGACACCGTTTTGGTTTACACTTGTCGGTGTTGATGATAGCGATACGAGTCAACTTGTCGGTTTCTTCGGTTCCCTTTCGTCGGGACATCTATACAAATTAATAAAGCAATATGTTAGATGAGGTGACACCTTTCAAACTTAACCTCAAAATTAGTTTTAAAACTGTTTTTATGAACATTTTGGGTTTGTAACTAACGGAAATAATGCAAAAATGATTTTAATGGGGATTAAAATTGCAAACAAGTTAAGAAAATATGAACTACCTTATTAATTTGATGATTTTAGGTTGAGATATCGCCAGCACGGTCAACGCGGACCGGCCATGAGCAAAGAGACCGATGTGAAGTTAGTTGTAGAAAATTTCCTTTTAATTTACCTTTTTCCATAAATTTTATTCTTTAATTAATTATATAATTGTGATTATTTTTAATATTCTTGATTTAGACTGCGAAATTTTAAAAAAAATAAAAAATTTTTTTGAATAACGTTATCTAATTTCATTTATGTCGGTAAATTAGATTGTATTCTTAATTTCTAACCAAATTTGGGGTTGTCGAGTGAAAAAATGTCGCACGCAGTTGATTTGGAATTAAAACAGGTTTATTTATTGCTATTACCCTTTACGTTTTATTAATTTAGTATTTCAGGCTTTCACCGAGTTACAAGCCAAACAACAAATGACTAAAGAGGTTATTCAAAATTGCCAAAGAAACATCGAAGTTGCTCGAAGGTGCAAGCAAATAGCCACATTAACTCACTTGTAAGTATTTTAATCTAATTAATTCATTTTGTTTTATTTTATTTCTTTATTAAAATAGGGAGGTGAAGAATTTAGACGAAAACGTTAAAATATATGAATCATTAGGACGTTGCTTTGTAATGACACCCAGAGAAGAAGTAATCGAAAACCTTCAAACAAAAATAGATGAATACACAAAAGAAGGTAAACAGGAAACGGAAAAAATTCAACTTGCAGAAGGGAAATTAAAGGAGGCTGAAAATAGTCTTAGGGAATTGGTTCAACAGAAGAAAACAAGATCTTAAAAAATCTTATTTATTTATAACAATCTTTTAAATATCAAAATTAACTTTATTCTAAAGCGCTTTCAAAAAGTAGGGGTAATGATTCTGGGTTTTCGTCTACATCTAAAGGTTTATGTAAAAGCTTAAATAAACCTGTTCCAATAGGAGCAGGCATTCCCATTATAATGTTTTCTGAAACACCATTAATTTTATCAGTTTGACCATGATATGCAGCATCAAAAAGATGATCTGCAGTTTTTTCAAACTAAAATTAAAAAATTATTAAAATCAAATACGAAAATAACAAAAAAAAAAGCATTACCGAAGCTAAATTCAATACTGATTGTTTCATTTTGGCTAAACCCTGTCTTGTAATACCCAATACTTCTCCAGTATGCGTCATTTGAGCCGCCAATAACATTATGTGACGAAAATCCACACTCATACCATGATTTTCCATAACAGTTTTAATTTCAGTCATTATAGTTTGTCTACAAAAACAATAAAATTAGCTTCTTTTATTTAAAAATCTTCATTTAATTACCTCGCCGCTTCTATACCAAGCGTATGAAACACCTCAATGATATTATTAGACACCGTTTTTGTACCAACAACCCCATAAGTAGCCATAACCTCCCTTAAATTATCACCTTCAATACATAGATGATAACGTGTTACACCATCTTTTACTTCTGGTTCAATAACAGCTCGGCTTACGTTTGGTAACCCTTTTATTACGACACTTGGAATCGAGGCGTTTAATTCGTAGAGATTAATATTCATTTTTTGTTGACTTTTACTGTTGGGGTTTACTGTTATTACGGAAGATGAACGTATATTTACGTCTGACGGTTTTATTTTTAATTTTGAAGTGCATAAACTGTATTTTATAGTGTCTACATCTACTTCTAATTGGAGTTCTCTTATTTTATCAAGGGAAAGGACTATTTTTAAGTAAGCGTCACCTCCTTCATATACTGTATGAATTGCATCGCATATCTGTTAAAAAAAAATTAAATTATCTTAATAAAAAATATCTTATTTACAATTTGATTTGGGGTTCATAAATAAAATCTGAAGATTTAATTCTAAAAATTGAATTTAATAAAACGAATAAATAAAACGAAAAATTAAAAATATATTCAGAAACATAAAGGAACAGCTGATCGACATCAGAAGGGGATGAATGGATACAAAAGGGAAAATGAGGAACTTCAGGGGAAGATTGTGGAATAGGAGAAACGTATAGATATGCTGGAAAGAGAGGTAAGACATAAAAATGTGGTAATAAAGGTTTCGAAAGGAGAGAGAATAAGGTGATTAACTTGATGAGGAATATCACAAGTAGAATAGAAGCATATAAAGAGAACAACAATAGGCTGATATTAGTAAAACTAACAAAGGAAAGCAGAAGGATGAATATCCTAAAAAACGCTAAAGAGTTGAAAGGCACAAACATATGGATAGATGAGGACCATGCTAAAAAAATTCAGAGAGAGAGATATGATTTGATGACTGAACTAAGGGAACTCGGGAGAAATGGAGTTAAAGCTCATTGACAATACAACAAAATAATTGTAAAGGATCAAGATAGCGGATGAATAAGCAGGAATAATAAACGTACAGTTTATTACAGAAAAAAAGAGACGCCCTATAAATTCAAAAAACTAAGTGTAGAAAGAAGAGGAGACTTTACTGAGGATAAATAGAAATAGGAATAGGAAAGTTGGTTGAGAAGAAGTGAAGAAGGTGGGGACGTGGAATATTACAACTTTAACGGGAAAGGAAAGGGAATGGAGATCAAAGGAAACAAATAAAAGCAGTCAAAGATAAAAACAAGGAGATAAAGACAACTACAAGGGAAATTCTGGACATATGAGAGGATTTTTATGCAGAAAAGTTCAAGGATGGAAAACGGACACAAACAATGGAGGAGGGAACAGAAGATGAGATAAGGGAAGAGACTACAGACAAGCAGCTGAAGAGATAACAATGGAGGAAATAGAAGAGGCAATGATGAAGATGAAAACAGACAAGGCTTGGAAAGACAAGATAGATCCAGAGATGATAAAATATTTAGGATTAAAAGTGAAACAATCCCGAATGATTGGGAAGATAATATCATCTTACCAATACATAAAAGAGGAAGCTACTCAAACTATGAAAATTACAGAGCTATATGCCTATCATCTACAAGTTACAAATTATACAGAAAGATAATAGAAAAAAGATTAAGAAGAGTAGTGTTAGTTCTAGTGACAGTAGGAAGCGCTAGTTAGCATAAGATATCACTATGTTGCATATTTTTGTTGCATTAAAAGTAGAACTAACACTAGACTTAGAACTAGAAAGTATCGGGTTTGTCTAGGTATCTAGTTCTAGTGTTAGTTCTAGTTTTACACTGTCACTAGAACTAACACAAGACCTAGAACCAGAATCATTCGGGTTTAGCCGTCTTGGGAGACGTGCGGCTAAACCCGAATGTTTCTAGATCTAGGTCTGGTGTTAGTTCTAGTTTTAATTGTTATTTAGCGTTAGATTGTGGTACATTTTTATTGAAAAGTAGAACTAACACTAGACCTAGAACCAGAAACATTGAGAAAAAAAGGTTATGAAGAGTAGTGGAAAATAAACTAGAAGATGAACAAGCAGCATACAGAGCAAGCAAACAAACGAACGATAACATACCTACATGTATCTGAAGTATCTAACTATAACTAATATTCTTGGGCCTAAAAGCAGCTTTTGACACGGTTGACAATAGTATTACAGTACCGCTCAAAAGTATATGATAATTTGGTTTTTCACACATAACTTTTTTGAAACTTTATGAAAGCAGACCATTTTTTCACCATATTTTTTGCTTTCACCTTACTTTTTAATGTATTTCACATGACATAGATTTGTGTAGAAGAATCCGCTTCAACTTTGAGTTATTAAAAAATTATTTTTATTAAAATACGAAAATACGCTATAAAACGATGTCAACAAAAATAAATCATAACTCAAGAAATATCAACATAACAATCATGAACGGCAATCAGCCATGTAGAGCAACCTAGTACTTGGTTGGGTAACCCATCCTGTTGATCACAGCCTGACAGCTGGGCATGGAATCTATCATAGTGGACTGGTCGATCTTCACCCACTTCGCCTGCAGGTGTTGGAGCTTTTCGTCGGCGGAAGTGGTCCGAATGCCCGTCAACTTGTGTCAAAGAGTGTCCCACAGTGATTTGAAGATGTTGAAATCCGGGCTCTGGCTACACCTGTCCATTATCGCCACTCAACGCTGCGCGATCCAGTTGGACATTCCTGGATGTGTGCTTGGGATCATTGTCTTGCTGAAACAGCCAACACCGACCCATGTTTTTGCGTGGCCAAGGAAGCATGTTACTTCTGGCGGTCCTTGGTGCCCGTAATGCGCACCAGAGGGCCGGTGATAGCAGCGCTGAAGCACCCCCACACCATGATGGAACCACCGACATGCTACATCGTGGGAAGCAGGTACTTGGGATCGAAGCGAGTGCCCGAAAGATGCAAATACCGCGGTTTGACGCCATTTTGGCTCGAAAGTCAAGCGGGAAATATAAAAAAATAAGTGGTGAGATGCAGTGACAAGCTGTCAAACCCAGCCAAACCGCCATTTTGGCTCAAAAACAGGCTTCATGAACCGCGGTACTTTGTAAATCTAGAGACTTTAGTCATCATTTCCGAATAGCAGGAACTTGCTCTTGTCGCTCCACAGGGACGTTCTCCTACTGCTGCCGGGTCGCCTACTCCACACGCCTCTTCCTGTTCGTAGCTGAAACGAGTGGTTTCTTTACCGGACGTCGACCAATGAATCCTGCATCCTTCAGCCTCCTCTTGACCGTCGATGTAGACGGTTGGCGCTCTGCACAGCATCACGCCGTTCCTGTCCTCCAGCCGGGTGGTGATTTGAGGTCTATCATTTTAGTTTCTTCGTCACGAAGCAACCAAGTGTCCTCCACGTCTTCAATACCGATGATATCTGCGTGGTGAGCTACATCTGTGTGCATCCTTGTCGAGCACCCTATATGATGGCCTTCTGCGTCAATTCCGAGAAATCTCGAACTCCTTTCTTTTTACTCATTCTTAAGAATAATATTTCATAACTTTCAGAAAATATAACGCGAAACAAAAAAATAAAATTAAAGTTATTTCTAGGCTTAACATCGATTTTCAAAAGAAATTTGTCACGCCTCTATGCTTTGGCATATATTGTATCCTCTGGAATATAATATAATTGTATTCACTCGTTATGCCTGAAAATTGTGTGAAGATTCGTCCAGTATTAGAAAAGTTATGTAGGAAAAACCAAATTATCATATACTTCTGAGCGGTACTGTATATCGAAGTGTGTAGAACAACTAATGGTACCACAAAAACTAACAAAAATATCTGAAAACCTGTACAAGATAGTCAAGGGCATAGTACAAATGAAGGGAGAAACATCAAAAACATTTGAAATGAGCAAGGGAATAAAACAAGTCGATAGGCCTAAGCCCCTTGTTATTTGTAATATTAATGGACAGAGTGATAAAAATACAAGAACAAATAAATATCAAACAGTAATATGTTATAAAAGTTTGGAACCAGTAAAAATAGATAATTTGGCCTAGAATTGGACGTAAATAAATGTAAAATTGTGATAATAAATAAAAAAATTATTATTTAAAATTATTAACGAATTATTTATTAAGGAACAAAAGAATGAGAAAATAAGATCAAGATGACATAAGCAGCAAAATTGAGAGAAAGCAACTAAACTGGTACGCCCACATATTTAGAATAGAACATAACACAATAGTAAAAAAGGTATTTGAAGCAAAGAATAAGGATAAGAAAAAGAGGAGAAGACCTAGGAAGGAGAGGGAGGAAAGAATGGCAGAAGTTGGGAAGAAAAGAGGGGATATATCTGATAGAATATAAAGGAAATAGTGGGAAGAAGTGGATGGAGGAATAGAAAAATGATTTATCCGACGCCATCAGGCGTGAGGTAAAATTTGGTTGGATGAAGTTATCAAACTCATACTATAAAGTGTGATTAGCAATTTTACTTACATCCTCTAAAGTTGTCCTTTCAATTCTACATTTAACACGCCTCGCAAATTCTTTATCATAAGGACTCGTTAAAGAAGCTCTTATTATTGGTGTACTAATCGATTTACTTGCATTGATAATTTCTTTAACCCTTTAAATAAAAAACATTAACATTTTAATTGATTAAATGTAAAAAAAATACCTTGGAACTCCTTGAGTGATATTCATACTTGCAACACCAGCGAAATGAAACGTTTTTAACGTCATTTGAGTCCCTGGTTCCCCAATGCTTTGCGCGGCCAAAGCCCCAACGGCTGTTCCAGGTTCAATAATCGATCTTACATATTTTTGTCCGCACGTTTCCAAAAATGTTACTAATTGGCTACAAGTTAATCGCATCACTTCTTTTCCTACCTGAGCTTTTCCGTAATTTTTTAAAGCTTTCTCCACATCTTGCGCGACTTTTTCCATAAACGATCGTAATTCATTTTGAAATTCTTGGCTGGTTTCTTTTAAGCTGTTTGTACAAATGAAGGCTTGAGTCGCCTTTCTGATTTGATTGGCGTCTAAAGCCGTTTCATCCCTGTAAGGGCATTTAGCTTGAATGTGTTTTAGGACTCTATCAAAATCGACCGGGCAATCTTTTCCTTCCATGTAAGTTGGATCTAAACCATCACAACCATAAGTTAATTGAACGATATCTCCTTCTGCGTTACGAACCGAACCATCGTAATGAACAACTAAATCTTCTAGAGACTAAAAAAGAAATTTTTTTAAATTGTTAATTAAATTGTTGGGAATTAAATACTTTAACTAAACGTCGTTGCATGTACCCAGTTTCAGCGGTTTTTACCGCTGTATCAACTAAACCTTCTCTTCCTCCCATTGTGTGGAAGAAAAATTCTGTTGGGGTTAATCCTGAGTAAAAACTATTTTCTACGAAGCCTTTAGCAGCGGGAGTTTTTGCTGGAATTAATTAATTTAATTTTAAAATTTTATTTTTTAATTAAAACTTACATTCAAATTCAAAGTGTGGTAATGATCGGTTATAAAATCCATTTGGGACTCGTTTTCCATTTAAAGCTTGTTGTCCAACACAAGCAATCATCTGGGAAATATTAATAACCGATCCTTTCGAACCGGATAACGCCATAATTAACGGGCTATTAGTTGGAACTAACTCCGCAACGCAAGCTTTTCCTGCGTGATCACGAATAACAGATAATTCTTTTAAGATAACGGCCTCTAATGATTGTTCAACGCTAAATCCAGCTTCGGGTTTTAAAGTTCCATTTGCCATTTGTTGGATGTAATCGTCACATTTTGAATAACCATCTTTAAGTAAACCGTATTTTCGGTTTAATAAGATCGCAGAAGGGGTTACATCTCCGATTCCTATTGAAAAGCCCGTATTCATGAGGAGATAAGAGGCCATTTTCGCCAATCTCCACATGGATCGTATCGCGAATTCTTGACCAAAATCTCTTAGGATTATGTAAAAAATGTTTCCAGCTTTTCCCCCAGAACCTAAATGTTTTTTATCCAACCTTCCAGCTATTAATTGGGAGTTACGGATTATTATGTAAGAATCGTTCACGCAAAGTTCTTGATTTCTTGTGTACGCGTTTCCTTTTACTTCTAAATTGGCTTTAACTGGGTTGGCTTTGTTCGGTTTAAAAATTAAACTTATTATTTGTTTTCCAGTCCATAAACGGCGAGGCTATTAATTTAAAGTAAATTAATACAAGAAAAAGATTTAAATTAAAAGCTTTACTTTTAAAATAGCCGGTTTTGGAAGCTCAACAGTTGCAGCGGAATCATTTCCGGCCAATAAAGTTGCAGCTAATTGCACGGCGTGAGCTTTATCTAAAAAGGTGTCTTTAGAAGATAAAATATAAGCGCCAGTTAAAAAATCTTGAGTAGCGGCGATTAATAATTCCCCGTTTCGAGCAGTCACCAAATTACTTTTATTCTAAAAATTTCAAATAAAATATTAATTAGAAAAAAATTAGTACAAATTACTAACTCCCATTAAAATTAAAGCTTCAGCTTTTGCCTCTTCAGTTTGGGGTAAATGCAAATTCATTTCATCGCCGTCAAAATCAGCGTTGTATGGATTACAAACACATTCATTAAATCTAAAACGAATTTCTATGTTTATTTAATCTTTAAGAATTAATAGAAACCAACCGAAACGTTCGATTAAAATGAATTTTAGCCCGATGAGCCATAATCGATAATTTATGTAAACTCGGTTGTCTGTTAAATAAAACAACATCATCGTTGTGGAGATGCCTTTCAACCAAATCGCCCAATTTTAATTCTTGAGCTAATCTTTCGCGATTTCCATATTTTAGATATTTTTTAAATAACGATCCTTTTTGTTGTACGTAATTTGCGCCGGGCCAAACATCGGGGCCGTTAATAACTAATTGTTTTAATAGATTAATGTTGGCGTGAATAACTCGTTCTGGATACGTTAGGGTCATCGCTACATGGACGGGAACTCCAACTTGGTCTATTTCTAAGTTTGGATCTGGTGAAATTACGGTTCTTGATGAAAAATCAACTCGCTTTCCGGATAAATTCCCGCGAAAACGACCTTGTTTCCCTTTTAAACGTTGTACTAATCCTCGACCAGGTTTTTTTGGCTGCCAAAAAAAAATTCATCACATTAAATTTATTATTATCTCGGTCTCAAACAACCACGAAGAACATATCAATTCTAAGTGTATTTACAGTTTGGTATTCCAATGTTATGGTCACAGATATCAGATCATTCCGACTGCTATTTTTGTAATATAAACTTATTGTTAGATGGCATAAACAAAAAACAAAGAATAGTTTGGTTAATCCTAATGTAAGATCAGCCAAAAAGCCGATTCTGCACAGCGAAACTTTACCAAGACCAAATCGTTCTGACCGATTAGCGCAATCCAGTGAAAGTGATCAGAATAAAGGGAAAAAAAACCAAAATAAACCATAAAATGTCACAGAAAGAACTACATGACTTAGCTAGAGACCTGAAGTTGTCGAAGATTGATAGCGAAGTATTGGCATCCCGCTTACAGCAATGGAATTATTTACACCTTACATCCCGTGTAACTGTATATCGAATTTGCAGAATTTTTCACGAAAAAGCAAAGTATTTGTTATTGTAATCAGAGTTGAGCTACTTGCAATAAAAATTTACTGCAAGTAAAGTATTCAGTACTTTTTTACTGCCAGTACTTTCAAATTGTATGTACTTAATACTTGTACTTTCAGTATTTAGCTTAAAATGTACTGGATACTTGTTACTTGTTTGACATAAGAAGTACTTGAAGAACTATTTGTTTACTCCAAGTAGTTTATCTACTTCCAGTACTTTCAATAATAAGTAAAACAATTTTTTAAAGTTTTCTTCAAAATCCTAGATAATCTTAGAAATTCTATGAAATCTTCATGGTATGCTTGAAAAATCAGTTGAAATCTTCTGGAAATACTAAAAAATGCCTACATAAATCTTTGGGAATAACTAAAAATCGTGGACATTCGTAATAACCCCTAGATATCCTTAGAAATCCTTCCAAAAAATCATTCTAACACCATAGATACACTCAAAAATCTATAGATATCCATAAAAATCGATGGCTATCTTTAAAAATGTGTCTTAATTCCTTAAAATTTTTAGAAATACCCAGTTGACTATGAAAATTATTGGAAATCGTTTCAAAATCCCTAGATATGTTTAGAAATTCCTATAAAATCTTTTAAAAACTTGAAATTCTATAGAAATCTCTGCAAAATCCTAGATAACCTTAGGTATTGAGAAATTTTTATGGTATACTTGAAAGCTCGTTGAAATCTTTTGAAAATTTCGTGGAAATAATAAGACATGCTTACATAAGTGTCTGGGAAGAATTAAAAATCCTTGATATTCGTAATAATCCATAGAAATCCATGGAAATCCTTCCAATTTTTCTAAAAATCATTCAAAAACCTTGGATATATTCAAAAATCCTAAGAAATTTGTAAAAATCTGTAGATATTCCTTGAAATCTCTAGAAATATTTGGTTATCTTTGAAAATTTTAGGAAATTGGTACAAAATCCTTGGATGTATTTGGAAATTTTCATAAAACCTTTTAGAAAACCTGAATATCTACAGAAATCTCTGGAAACTCGTTGGATTCCTCAAAAAATCTGAGAAATTCGGATGGTATCTTTGAAAATTTTATGGGAACACTTGGAAATGCTTATATGAATTTTTGAGAATCGTTAAAATCCTAGATATTATTAATGGATATCCTTTTTTCTTGGATATTCTTGGAAAATCGTACAATTTCTGTAAAAATCCTTTAAAAGCTTTCGATTCACTCAGAAATAACGAGATGTCTTTGAACATTTAAGGAAATTGTTGCAAAATCTCTAGATATATTTGGAAAATTTTGCAAAATGTTATAAAAATCGAAATATGTGTAGAAATTTCTGGAAAATGATAAGTTTCAATAACACTGTTCTACCGCGTGTGATTACTCAGTACAGGAGAATTACAGGAGAACCTAATGATAGTTTCACGAAAAAAAACGTCAGAGAAAACTTCTAGTTGTGTCATGACATTTTTCATAAAAAGTTGCCTTAAGAATGTTTTTCCAGATTCATGAAAAAACGAAAACTACAGGAGTTATAGGCAAAAAACGAAAAAGTGCCTAGAAGAGTTAAAACACCTCTTTATTAAAAAAAAATTGTTCGTAATATTTCAACAATGCAGTTAAAATGGCAAAAAATGAAATTTTGCATGATTCTTGTAAATTAACGATATCTCCGGTAAAATACGTTCGACATGGTGTCCAATGCTTCAATATTTAGAGAATTAAATGTCCTACAGGATAGAATAGCTAACTTTTTTGTTCATATACAGGATATTTCTAAATTGATGCGAAAGATTTCAAGGGGTGATTTTTCAGCAAAAATTAAGGGGTGTCTTTCATATAACTTTTTGTTCTCCTTCAAGTTATAGCCCTCTAAAGTTAAGGGAAAAAATCTAAAAGTTTTCTTATCTCTTGATATTTTACAACTAACAAATTGTTAGTTTGATCACAAAAAATAAAATAATACTGAGATCAATTTGACATAACTTCATTTTTTTGACTTATCAAATAACCAATCTCTGAATTAATTCACTTATTTTATTTTTTTGTGATCAAACTAACAATTTTAGGGGAAAATGTTAAGAGACAAATAAGTTGCGTATTGAATTATAACATTAAAAAGTTCTGATGCAAAATATTATAGGGGTTGATTTTTTTAGCCCCTTGTAATAACATTTTCCGGTTATAAAAATCGTCAAAAAGTGTCATTTTATTAGCAGCAGTTATCTCCTAATTTCATTCTTCTAAATTCCTCCATAGTGGATTTATTAAATAAAAACAATTTTTTCCCCTAACTTTAGAGTGTTGTAACTCGGTGGGGAATGGGTTTTGAACAAAAAGTTATATGAAAGACCTCTTGAAATCTTTCGCATCAATTTAGAAACATCCTGTATATGAACAAAAAAGTTAGCTATAGACACCTATAGTCACCTAAGTGTTGACGTCACAGAGATGGGCGGAGCTTATATCGACTCCAAACATTTTCGTTGCTAACTGTGTTGCTAACGGTAAATCACTATAATATGCAGTTTTTCAATTAGTGTTAAAATAAAATAAACTAAGTAACTTTTTAAATGACATTTCCAACGACATTTTTATGGCGATTTATCGTTAGCAACGAAATTGTTTGGAGTCGGTATAAGTTCCGCCCATCTCTGTGACGTCAGACTTAGGCAGTCTATTCTATCCTGTAGTACATTTAATTCTCAACAATTCTCTAACAATGTGTAAAATGTCAAGAGATAAGAAAATTGCAGATTTTTTCCCTTAACTTTAGAGGGCTATAACTTGGAGGAGAAGGGGTTTTGAACAAAAAGTTATATGAAAGACACCCCCTAATTTTTGCTGAAAAATCACCTCTTGAAATCTTTCGCATCAATTTAGAAACAGCCTGTATATGAATAAAAAAGTTAGCTATTCTATCCTGTAGGACATTTAATTCTCTAAATATCAGTGCGATTAAGTGAAAAAAAAATGATTTTGTCGAGTTGTTTTAGGCTATAGCAAAATAACGAAAACTCTGATTTATGCCATCAATACCTCAAAATGTTCGTCTGGATCTCTACTTTCATGCCCATATGGTTACAGAAGCACGCTATGCAAAATAAAAAAGATACTGAACATGAACCGTTGCTATGTTTTTTAATTTACAATTTTCCACATTTTTGATTATATCTCGAAAACTGGAAGTGATGGAGAAAAACTGAAGACAGTTTCAGAATCAGCTCAACAGTCTATGTTATAAAAAAAATATCGCAGTCTTTGAGGAAAAAATTAATTAAAATTTGTAAACTAGTATAGTATTTAGTTAAAATTTGAAATTACCATCATTGCTAAAGGAATTCCAGAGAGATCTGAATTTATATATAAAGCTGTTTGTAGTTGCAAAAAATCCCAACCTTCTTGGTAAATATTAACATTCGCTCCAGATAATTTATGTTTTTTAATAACATCATTTATAAAAATAATTTCTGATTGCTTCATTGTCAAATCATCTTCATTTCTAAACATTGCAAAAATAAATTAAATCAATTTAAAGGGTCAACCTCTATCAATATTTTATTACTTACGTTCCTGATTTTAAATCAGAAATAACTGAGGGTCTTATACAAACAGGTGGTACCAAGATTCGTGTTAAAATTAAATCTTTTGGGGTGGCTCTACAACAAAAACATTTATTATAAACCTAAAATTATAATTTTAAAAGATACCTTCCCTGATCCATAGCCAACAAAGGAATATCTTGATTAGGAATTCTTTGAAACAATTTTAAAACGTCTATAGGTGTTAAAATCTCCAAAATAGGACCGGATGTTAATGAAACTTGAATATCTGGATTCATTTCAATAGCTTTAGCAAATTCCTCTAAAAAAATAAATTTATAAATTAAAATCATCAAAATGATTTATATTTTTACCCATTTGTTCCTGCACAACGGGATCTTTTTCTTTTTTCCCCCTAAATTTTTCATGAACAATTTTTAAAACCGAACCGGACGCTGAAGATTTAGTGGCCCCCATTTTTTTAACAACCCCATTAATATCCTTACAATGTGGGCATTTATGCACTTTTTTGCATTTATCGGTAATCTTTTTTCGTAAATTTCTTTTTGTCATGTAACATAAATTAGGATTAATCAATTTGAATCGAAATAAATCTCTATCGGAATCGCTCAATAAAACTCTCGAACATTTCTTGCAAATTGTTTGAAGTATATTTATGATGCTACGAAAATAACCTGTATGGAACACAGGGAGCTCTAAGTCTATGTATCCAAAGTGACCAACACATTCGTTTAGGTGTTTTCCACATGTTAAACAAGGCGAATCCTTTGAATTTGTACCCTATAAATATAAATAATTAAAAAGGAGTATTTTAAATTAAAATTTTTAATTACAAGTCGTTTATCTAAGACTCCATAAGGAATTGGGGTTCGTTGTAAATCTTGGTTGTATAAATTTTTTGCAACAACATGTATATGGGCTTGTTGTTGCATACTTTCGGAGCTTTCAACCCCAAAACTAACATGGGATCTATAACAATAATAAATAAAGTTAAACTACTTTATAAGAAGATTAAAACGTACATTTTTCGGACTACATCCGCTTCTCTATATTGTTCTTTCGGCATTTTAAATATAACCACATAAAAATCTTTTTATATTTGACACATGTAAATAATAAATATAGGTTATGTTGTCGTTTCATTAACCTCAAAAAATATTTACTTTATAAATTAATTTAATGTAAAACTAAATAAATTCTTACAATAATAATTAATTTATTCTAAAATAAGCCACAAAAAAAGTTTTTTATCTTAATAAGATTTTTATTTTTTTTTAATAATTAAATAAATTAAGCCCAATCAAAAATTTAGGTTGGTACAATTGAATATTCAAAATTTAAATTCAAATAATTTTAATTTCATTATCAAAATCGATTTAAATCTTATAAACGACTAATTCTTCGTTGAAAGTTACGCATTTATGATCGGGTTGTTGTGTGACAACAACCTCAGGAATGACGCGGTTTTGAAAAAACGATAATCTTCGCAAACTGCTTCTAAAACTGGACATTCTAGAAAGATTTGCTTTCGTAATGATGTTCGATGTGTCTTGTTGTTCTAAGAATTTAACGCATATTTCGGGGATTTTTGTAGTCGCGGACTTTGGATGTTCCTCCAACCACTTTACAAGCTGCTTCAAAACTTTTAATCTTTGATCTTCATCCACCTAAAAATTAATAATCACATTCTTAATTAATAAATTAATTAATGTTTTAATTATATTTTTACTTTTGTTAAAGCTTTTCTGATTTTATATTCATCGGTTACGGAAATCCACAGAATCGATGGTCGCTTATTTGATAACCATCGATAATTTCGAGAGTTTTGTAAATGATCTTCAGCAATTCTCATTTGTTGCCATTGCATTAATAATTCAATCTTAAAATGAAATATAAAGAATTAGTTGGTTTTGTGATTATTTTGTGAAATTTCTTACCTGTTCGAGAAAATGCTGTGCCATTTTCGCCGATCGAAACCAAATGTGGAGGAATTAAGAGCCTCCGTATCATCATTTAATTTGTTTGCTTCGATTAACGCGCGAAGAGATAAATAATAATTAATATTTTAGGTAAATATTCATATCTGGGAGGTTAATTGATTTATCTTTTTATGAAATCGTCCAATATTAAAAACTTTATTAGGTAATAAGAGATTTCATAACAAAATCATTAACGAGATTTTTGAGTATTATATTATTGGTTTATGATAGTAAGAAAAACTAACTTATTTGAGGAGGAATTTTGGTAAATTCAAGCTTAATTGAATTTGGTGAAAGGATCAAATTATAAAAACATAACGATTTAATGAGAAAGTAATCAGTTTTTAGAAAGGATTTATAAGAAATATTAGAAAGTTATCTTTTTTCTTGATACGATAAATACTTTATTATGGTTTTATTAAGAAATTAGTTTGATTCGAAGAGATAACAAAAATAACAAGTTCCACATATGCGCCCATATCAGATGTGATACCTAAAACAGTTTCATTAACCAGATACCTAAAGAAGGATGCGTTGGTTCAACAAACTGAACACTTTGATTATTACAGACATATTACTTGTCGACATTTTTAGATCCCCACTATAAAAACTATTTCTTTGACGCTGTCCAAGTTGAACGGGTCCGTAGAGTTGCGCTCAGAGAAGGTCTTACAATTAAGCTTTCTTTAGACGACAAAAATAATGATTCGGATACACAAATGGTGTTCAAAAGACCTCGTTTAGACAAGGAAAGTGGGAATGTCGATTCAGAAACTTATAAACTATTTTGGGCATGTTGTGAAGAATCTACGACAGAGCAGCCTTCTGAAGAGCAACCCAAGAATGTGGCTGCTGAAGAAATCGCCCATTACATAGCGTTAGCAAAGGCTGACAGAAGTATAAACCCATATGAGTTAGTTAACATTAAAACTATTAAATCAACAAAGTGTTTTTTCTGTACTATAACATAGTCTTTTGGATAATTTCTTTCTATACACATTTAAAGATTCATAAATGATAAATATCAGCCTTCTCATTCCATATTCTCTCCATAAACGCATACACATCCCTACCCGCCTCACATGCTATCTACGTAACTCCGTCATATCACATATATACATTCATTAAATTTTTCAAAATCAAATTTCTATATGAAATCAAACTCAAATAACAGGGTGATATATATTGTTTTAAAGAGCATAGTTTAAGCTTCAATTTGATACAAAAATATTTTCTATATCATTAAAAACAAATCAGATATGATTCTTTAAAGTTTGGCAAATATCTTTGATTGAGGTTAGATTAAAACCAAAAATGTAATGTTTTCGAAAAACATTTTTTAGAACAAAAATTAAAATCCGTTAACAAAGTGAGATATGCTTTAAAGAGGATGATTTTAGCTTTAATTTGGTATAAAAATCGTTTATTTATCACGAAAAATGAATCAGGTAGGATTATTTAAAGTTTGACAATATGTTTTGACAAGTTAGGATAAAACCCAAATTGCAAAATTTTCAAAAACAAATTTCTACACGAATATTAAATCCAAATTACAGGGTGCTATATCATTTTAAAGAGGATACTTTTAGCTTTAATGTGATATAAAAATCATTTCTCTATCATTAAAAATAAATTAGATATGATTCTTTAAAGATTGACAAATATTCTTGATAGGTTAGGTTAAAATCAAAAATGCAATGTTTTCTAAAAAAATTAAAATCTGACAACAATGTGATATATGCTTTTTTGAAGAGGATGATTTTAGCTTTAATTTGGTATAAAAATCGTTTATTTATCGCGAAAAATGAATCAGGTAGGATTATTTAAAGTTTGACAATATGTTTTGACAAGTTAGGATAAAACCCAAATTGCAAAATTTTCAAAAACAAATTTCTACACGAATATTAAATCCAAATTACAGGGTGCTATATCATTTTAAAGAGGATACTTTTAGCTTTAATGTGATATAAAAATCATTTCTCTATCATTAAAAATAAATTAGATATGATTCTTTAAAGATTGACAAATATTCTTGATAGGTTAGGTTAAAATCAAAAATGCAATGTTTTCTAAAAAAATTAAAATCTGACAACAATGTGATATATGCTTTTTTGAAGAGGATGATTTTAGCTTTAATTTGGTATAAAAATCGTTTATTTATCGCGAAAAATGAATCAGGTAGGATTATTTAAAGTTTGACAATATGTTTTGACAAGTTAGGATAAAACCCAAATTGCAAAATTTTCAAAAACAAATTTCTACACGAATATTAAATCCAAATTACAGGGTGCTATATCATTTTAAAGAGTATACTTTTAGCTTTAATGTGATATAAAAATCATTTTTCTATCATTAAAAATAAATTAGATATAATTCTTTAAAGTTTGACAAATATTCTTGATAGGTTAGGTTAAAATCGAAAATGTAATGTTTTCGAAAAAACTTAAATTGTGATAACAATGTGATATATGCTTTTTTAAAGAGGGTGCTTTTAGCTTTAATGTGATATAAAAATCATTTCTCTATCATTAAAAATAAATTAGATATAATTCTTTAAAGTTTGACAAATATTCTTGATAGGTTAGGTTAAAATCAAAAATATAATGTTTTCGAAAAAAATTAAAATCCCATAACAATGTGATATACGCTTTTTTAAAGAGGATGATTTTAGCTTTAATTTAGTATAAAAATCGTATATTTATCTTGAAAAATAAATCAGGTGGGATTCTTTAAAGTTTGACAATATTCCTTGTTGAGTTAGGACAAAACTGAAATTGCAACATTTTCAAAAACAAATTTCTACACGAAAATTAAATCCGAATTACAGGGTGCTATATCTTTTAAAGAGGATACTTTTAGCTTTAATGTGATATAAAAATCATTTCTCTATCATGAAAAATAAATTAGATATGATTCTTTAAAGTTTGACAAATATTGTTGAGAGGTTAGGTTAAAATCAAAAATGCAATGTTTTCGAAAAAAATTAAAATCCCATAACAATGTGATATATGTTTTTTTAAAAAGGATGATTTTAGCTTTAATTTGGTATAAAAATAGTTTATTTATCATGAAAAATAAATCAGGTAGGATTATTTAAAGTTTGACAATATTTCTTAATGGGTTAAAATAAAACGGAAATTGCAACATTTCCAAAATCAAATTTCTACACGAAAATTAAATCCGAATTACAGAGTGCTATATCATTTTAAAGAGGATACTTTTAGCTTTAATGTGATATAAAAATCATTTCTCTATCATTAAAAATAAATTAGATATGATTCTTTAAAGTTTGACAAATATTCTTGAGAGGTTAGGTTAAAATCAAAAATGCAATGTTTTCGGAAAATATTAAAATCCCATAACAATATGATATACGCTTTTTTAAAGAGGATGATTTTAGCTTTAATTTGATATAAAAATCGTTTATTTATCATGAAAAATAAATCAGGTAGGATTATTTAAAGTTTGACGATATGTTTTGACAGGTTAGGATAAAACCCAAATTGCAAAATTTTCAAAAACAAATTTCTACGTGAATATTAAATCCAAATTACACGTGCTATATCATTTTAAAGAGGATACTTTTAGCTTTAATGTGATATAAAGCCATTTCTCTATCATTAAAAATAAATTAGATATAATTCTTTAAAGTTTGACAAATATTCTTGATAGGTTAGGTTAAAATAAAAAATGTAAAGTTTTCGAAAAAAATTAAAATGTGATAACAATATGATATATGCTTTTTTGAAGAGGATGATTTTAGCTTTAATGTAATATAAAAATTATTTCTCTATCATTAAAAATAAAGCAGATATAATTTTATAAAGTTTGACAAATATTCTTGATAGGTAGGTTAAAATCAAAAATGCAATGTTTTCGAAAAAAATTAAAATCTGATAACAATGTGATATATGCTTTTTTAAAGAGGATACTTTTAGCTTTAATGTGATATAAAAGCCATTTCTCTATCATTAAAAATAAATTAGATATGATTCTTTAAAGTTTGACAAATATTCTTGATAGGTTAGGTTAAAATCAAAAATGCAATGTTTTCGAAAAAAATTAAAATCTGATAACAATGTGATATATGCTTTTTTAAAGAGGATACTTTTAGCTTTAATGTGATATAAAAGCCATTTCTCTATCATTAAAAATAAATTAGATATGATTCTTTAAAGTTTGACAAATATTCTTGATAGGTTAGGTTAAAATCAAAAATGCAATGTTTTCGAAAAAAATTAAAATGTGATAATAATGTGATATATGCTTTTTTAAAGAGGATACTTTTAGCTTTAATGTGATATAAAAATCATTTCTCTATCATTAAAAATAAATTAGATATGATTCTTTAAAGTTTGACAAATATTCTTGATAGGTTAGGTTAAAATCAAAAATGCAATGTTTTCGAAAAAAATTAAAATGTGATAATAATGTGATATATGCTTTTTTAAAGAGGATACTTTTAGCTTTAATGTGATATAAAAATCATTTCTCTATCATTAAAAATAAATTAGATATGATTCTTTAAAGTTTGAAAAATATTCTTGATAGGTTAGGTTAAAATCAAAAATGTAATGTTTTCGAAAAAAATTAAAATCCCATAACAATGTGATATATGCTTTTTTAAAGAGGATGCTTTTAGCTTTAATTTGATATAAAAATCATTTCTCTATCATTAAAAATAAATTAGATATAATTCTTTAAAGTTTGACAAATATTCTTGATAGGTTAGGTTAAAATCAAAAATGTAAAGTTTTCGAAAAAAATTAAAATGTGATAACAATATGATATATGCTTTTTTGAAGAGGATGATTTTAGCTTTAATGTAATATAAAAATTATTTCTCTATCATTAAAAATAAAGCAGATATAATGTTATAAAGTTTGACAAATATTCTTGATAGGTAGGTTAAAATCAAAAATGCAATGTTTTCGAAAAAAATTAAAATCTGATAACAATGTGATATATGCTTTTTTAAAGAGGATACTTTTAGCTTTAATGTGATATAAAAGCCATTTCTCTATCATTAAAAATAAATTAGATATGATTCTTTAAAGTTTGACAAATATTCTTGATAGGTTAGGTTAAAATCAAAAATGCAAGTTTTTGAAAAACATTTGTCAAAACAAAAATTGGTATCAAATAACAAAGTGATATATATGTTTTTAAAGAGGATAATATCAGCTTTAATTTGGTGTAAAAATCATTTATTTATCATTAAAAATAAATCAGATATGATTGTTTAAAGTTTGACAAAAATATTCTTGATAAGTTAAGATCATAAATGCAAAGCTTTCAAAAAAAACTTCTTAGAATAAAAATTAAAATCAAATAACAAAGTGAAATATGTTTTTTAAAGAGGATAATTTATAAAATAATGTATCACATACAATAAAACACTGTAATTATCTTGTAAAATATTTATTTTATTTCATTGTAAAACATTCATATCCCACAAAATTTCTAACAAAGAAACGCTTGGAATGCAGCTGAGATTTTCCACACTTTTTAATATTTTAAAAATCACGGTTCTGTGGCATCTTTATTACTTGAAATTATTGTATTTCTGTTATCGAACAGAATGAAAAAAAGTGAGCTTTGTACAGACTTATAAGTATTAAATTAAATGCAATGAATTGAAGACAAAATTAATAAATCCCATTATTACAGCGAATGTACACGCAACAAAATGATAAAAAAAAAATTAATTGCACACGGGGATGAAGTCGTTTGAGGCTTCGATCTTGGTATGTAATAAAAAGTTGAGTAGATATACTTTTATACACATATACATATAAGGAGTTAACAAAAATAAATTACATCTGGTTCTTATTGAGGGGGGTTGTTTCTCCTTCGTTTTAGTCTTCATTATTATGCCATACGGATCGACTGAATTATCTGGAATATTGCTGAACCACAAACCACGAATATGAATAACGCCAACAACCATGGTCCGACGGGATAATTATCCTTTTCTGGTTTCTAAAATAATAAAAATTAAATCACAAACTTTTTTCATCTAAATTTACTTATGCATATTGAAAAAAAAACTTAATTTTAAAGATAAATTAAGATAACTAAAACAATATGTTTGACTTACCTGCGACTTGGGTACATTTCCTCTAAGCACAACGTTCTTCATGGCTTTTTCGTTGGCGATACGCATTCTTTGTTTTGGGGCCATCGTTTCTGTTTCTAATTAGCGTTGTTAATCGAAGAAATCGAAAGAAGAAATACTACGTAAAAACAGAAAAACGATTACACTAACCGAGAAGCCACGTCTTAAACGCACAGCTGGTTGTGTCAAAAGTGATCGCAGAAGGGAATTTGTGTACGGTTTTTTTTTTTTTTGATAGGAGACACACGTCAACGATCATGCGCAGTTATAGTACACGTTGGAACTTTCTGTATAGATACAAAAGTTACGGAACCGACCGGAATTTTCGATGCTATGTGCATTTTTGCTGACACAAGTATATAGATAAAGGAAATTGCGTTTTTGTTCGTTTCGAGACGTTTTTCTCATTTTTTCTTTGATAATTATTGCGTCTGTTTTGTTAACTGCGTTGTAGAGAAATTTTTATCAATTTTTAGTTGATGGTTATTTAAGATTATGAAGTTATAAAGGTAAATAATAATGTTGTGGGGTAAATTTCTTTTTATTTCTTGATTCATAACCATTCTTTTTTCATTTTCATTATAAAATCTTATCAAATAATATTAAGATTGTAACTTAAACATAAAAAAAATTAATATTCATCATCAGAATCTAAGGCAGCTCTTCTCCTATCAAACTTTACGGTCGATTTATTCTGAGGCAACTGGGAATTTACACTCTCCAATAAACCTACGAGATCTTTTTCCCCAATCTTATTTCTAATCTGTCCACTTTGAGCCATTTGGACCAACATAGACTCGACCATTTTTCCCTTTTCTGGTTTTCCTAACATGAGTGTATTCACTACAACACATAAACAAACGAGTTTAAATCGTAACAATTAAAATCATTACATCTTGCTCTCGCTGGTTGATCCAAAATTTGGGACAAAATAGAATTTTTCATATCCTCTATTTGTTTCGCTTTTTCTTCTTGGACTTTTTGATTCGATCCATCACCAGCCTAAAACACAATTTCTAAATTAAAAGGGGGCCACATAACCTAAAAAAAACTCACATTGAATTGAGATTGCATCTGGGCGAGACGCTGTTTCCGAATTTCTTCTAATTCCGGATCGGACATTATAAATTGACCGTTTTTTAATGAAAAAGACTTCTAAATTATTATATATTTAGAATTATAAATACATTTGGTGGTTGTTCTATAAATAATCTGACATTTGACAGTTAATTTTTTTTTCCGGCTCTTTTAAGTTGGTAATAAACGATTATTAATACACACCATAGATGGAGCTAATTCAAATAAAGTAAAATAATTTAATTTATTTATTAATAATTTAAGTACACACTCCAAAGTACACAATTTTATTAATAAAAATTACCTAATCTTAAAATTTTATATAAGTACTTATCCATAAAATGTATAAAACACGGAATGTCTTGACTAGAAATTAATAAAATTAATCTTTCTTCTCATGAGTTTCTAAAAATAAATACACAAATCAATTAATTTAATTAATTCGATATAAACAATACTTACCTTCCTCTTCCTCATCAGCATCCAAGATATCAGCACAACAAATATTATAAACAATAAGAGAAAGGAACGTTAGAGGTAACCCAAAAATAACAACTGTCAAAACGGCGTTTCCCTTCCATAATTCAGCTAATGTGGTCTTCGCCTCAAAATAAATCTTATACAATTTAACAAAGATTCCGTTTCCTCCATAAGCAGGCACGCTTTGGTTGCGGACACCCTCCAAAAACAAATCTAAGGCTTCAACAGTTAAATGTAGAGGATCATCATCCGGGATATAATGATGATAAGTCGTTGAATTAAGCACGATGACGCTTGGAACAGGAAGAATCATCATGGCAATGCTATTAGCGATATCGGGAGTGGCAACCCAACCAAATTGAAAGTCTTTGTGGTATTTATCGCGTTTTTTGCGAATTACGCTTTCAACCATATCTCGAAATTCCAACATATCAGGGGGGATATGTTCTAATCTATTTTCTTGGAGAACTGCTATCACTATATACTTTTTAGTTTGGATTAATTCATTGATATTGCCTTTGGTTATTTTAGGAAACGTTTCGAAACGTTCTTCATTAATCCATTTATACATTGTTGTATTTAAATGTTCTGCATCGTCTATTAATGTTCCAGATTCAACTGCAAATAAATAAATAAATTATAAAAAGATTTTTATTTTTTTTAATATTCTCTCCGTCCAGAAATAATCGATTTTTTTCAAAAATTAAGAAAACACTTATTAAAAGTAAGTAAAGGTTGTAATTTTTCCTACAGTATAAGTTTTTAATCCAAAAAAAAACGCGACTTTTCAAGATCTCATATAAAGATTTAAGAAAATAATGGGAGAGAGGTAAAACATTTTGACAAGAAATGGTCGCAAAAGACTAAACTTAAGTCCCAACACAAAGCAAGCCGTTTATCACGCGTTATAGGCCCTATACACCAGCAAACAAATTGTGCAAACTGACGTTGCACAATACACAATTTTATACAAACTTCAGTTGCTTGTGGTGTGTACGCACGGAAACATATCGTCTGACGAAGCAGCCTGTTTAGCTATAATAATTGCTGTTGCGTCGGAAGATTTTGTTAGAAAAAAAAAAGGAAGCAGAAAGTATGGATGAGAGAGTGGTTAAAAAAAAGATCACTTTTTAGCCACACATATCTCCTCAAAGAACTTAAGTTGAGGTCACCATTAGACTATAAAAAAATTATTTACGAGTGGATCACACTACTTGTGGTGAATTATTGGTCATGGTAACACCACTTATATAAAAACAAGACACAATATTGAGAGAAGCAATATCGCCCAAGCAAAGTTTATTTGCTACTTTAAGGTACCTTGCATCTGGACTGAGCTATGAGGGTTTAAAGTTTGAAACGGCCATAGCTGCTCAAACACTTGGAAAGATTATTAGCGAGGCCTGTGAAGCAATCATAAAGGTTTTGAAGAAATATACAGTGTGTCCCCGGATAGGTGAAACGACTCTTATAAAAGGTAAAAATTTTTCGATATTGATTGTTATTTTTTGGGGTTTAGCCCTGCTTGGTTAAAGACTAATTATGAACATATTTTTAATTTTTAAAAAACAAGTGAGACTTGACAGTGAAAGAAAAACTTCTTTTGTGGTAGGTAAAGTACCTTTTCTGTTTACAGTACGTGAAAGTGTTACTAAGAAGTTTTGTTCAGAATGAAAAACTATGGCCATATACAAATTTTCGGAATGATCGGCCTACTTTGATAAAACTCATTGTTTATTATTTGCGTCAATAGTACTTTATTACGATTTTTTGTTTTGAGATTCAAATTGTTCGGGAGAAATAAACAAAACGTTATTAAAATGTTCAAAACAAATTAAGTGTTTATTCGCCTACAAAAAAAACTACTTCAAATACTACTTTTTAGTACTCTCTCGGTTAAAGCAACAACCGATACAATTGAGAAGTACCACTAAAAAAGGTTCTTAGCAACTTTTAGTCGAACAAAAATATTGACGTGAACTCGTCGAACGTCTGCTCATCATCTCCGCTTTTTATATGAAAAATACAACAGAAAAGGAAAGAGGAAAAGGAAAGGAAAACATAATAAAAAAATCACACTTAATTATTACAAATGAAGTGATCGAACTGCCTGTGTTATTCTATTTTTTAGTATTTCGATATCATTCGGAATGTGTTCTTGGTAAACTATTTGTTTTACTCTTCCCCAAACAAAAAAATCCATTATTGTGAGATCTGGAGATCTGGCCGGCCAAGATATCTCGCTCATTCTCCCAAACCATCTTTCGCCAAATTGATTATTTAGCCAATTACTAATCATTTTTGTTGAATGGGCAGGGCAGCCATCATGTTGAAAGAAATGAGTCTGTCGAACATCTAATGGAAGTTCGTCAACAAACCTTGTCAGAATTTGTAAATAAGTTTGTTGGTTTAATGTTCCTTCAATAAAGAACGGTCCAATTATTCCTAGTTTGTATGACACGGCACACCACACATTAACTTTTTTAAAATACTGCCTGTTTGCATTAATTACATAATGGGGATTGTCTCTGCTCCAATACCGACAGTTTTGGGAAGATGGAATACCATTTGTGGTAAAAGTACATTCATCAGAAAAAATTATTAGTTTATGAAAACGTCTGTTTTCTAAAATTAATTCCCCCAAAGATAAACAGAAATGCAATCGCTTTGCGTCGTCACCTTCCTCCAAAGTGTGGCAAAATTTGGCTTTGTACGGATAAATTCTGTTTGCTTTATAAATTCTTTGTAAATGTGTTTTACTTATGTTTGTATTTATGCTTCGATTTCTTAGAGACATGGTAGGAAATGCATCCGTTGAATGTAAAGCAACTAAAGTACCTGTATCAGTTTCATCATAATTTTTTTTTCTTTTTTCTTATAGTGAACACTTCCTGTTGTACCAAATCTTTTGATTAAACGCCAACAAGTACTTTTGTTAATTCCACTGTTTGGAAATTTTTCATTAAATAGAGTAATAACCATATTCATTGATTTTTCCCCGGTTCCATAACACTGAATCACATAAACATTTTCGTCTAATGTTAACATTATATTCAAAACACACATTAAGTATACTAAATTACACTTTGACAGATTAACATAAACACGAAAGCAATTTTGTTTTTCCATGGCAGTCTTTGTTAGAAATAAAATTGTTTGATATGGATTTTTATCAAAGTAGGCCGATCATTCCGAAAATTTGCATATGGCCATAGTTTTTCATTCTAAACAAAACTGCTTAGTAACACTTTCACGTACTGTAAACAGAAAAGGTACTTTACCTACCACAAAAAAAGTTTTTCTTTCACTGTCAAGGCTCACTTGTTTTTTCCAAATTAAAAATATGTTCAAAATTAGTCTTTAACCAAGCAGGGCTAAACCCCAAAAAATGACAATCAATATCGAAAAATTTTTACCTTTTGATAAGAGTCGTTTCACCTATCCGGGGACACACTGTATAACATTTTAACATAAAATAACACGAATATTAACTAAACAATAACACAATAAAAAAGACGCACGACAAAACTCGAAACTTTCTAGAGTTAGTTCTAGTTTTAGTTCAATTAACACCGGCTGTGAAAGCTTTCGTACTTATACCATATACTTATTGAAATTCTGGGTCTAAGAATAACTCTGTTACTTTAGAATATTGCACTGGTCTGTTCTCTATTGTAGTTACCTGTACTGGGGTTGGTGGGTATGAATATAATTGGCATGAGTATATTATTTGAAGGTGATGAAGATGCGTAGTAGGTTGAATTCTCGAAGAGGGGGCGTAAAACTGATACATTTATAGATACAGTATTTATTTGCAGGGTATCCAAGCGTCCTTCATATAAAATATCATTTATACCTTGTTTCGCATGAATGTGCTGACCATGTTTCCTTTCAGCTTCCACAAAGCGAAAATGAATGGAGAATTGTAACTATACAGGGTGTTTCAGGTTTATGTAGCAGAACTTTGACGTTTTTAGTCGTTAGATCTTTTAAAATTAACACAAAAACTTCATATAAACATAGGTCGACAAACGCTTTGTTTTAAAGATACAGGGTGTTAAGTTAAATTTTTTAATTGATTTTTATTTAATATTACACGTGTATTTCAACCGATTCTATTCAAATTTGGTATACGGAGGTTTTTTGGCATGAGAAAGACGATTATGGAGTCCGTTTTACAGTAGCTCTGTAACGTATTCTTTACTGATTAAAATAACAATAACTTTTCTCACAGTATACTTTTTGGCTTTTTGAATAAAAATTCTTATTCTCGGTACTTTTTTAAGCAAAAACGGTACTCTTATCAAAATGCGCCAAAGTTGATCGTTTTCAAGATAATCCGCTTTTTATTAATCGATATGGACAAAGTTTTTTAGAGGATTGTTAAATAATAATGTTTGCTATTGAAATAAGGTACGTAAGTTTACTAATGTTTTAGTTTGTTGTATCAAGTGTCAAATCACCAGTAGTTGTTGATCAGTGTTAAATTAATTTTTCTTATTCGTTAACGTGTTAAATTCTATTTTGTTGTTTATTAACGTGCTAAATTCATTACTCTTTTTCCTAATCATGTTGTTTTTTTTTTCATTTTTTAAATTTTTGTTGTGGTTATTTTTCCTAACCATGAGTTAGCGGATATTCATTTTGTTAATAGGTTTGCAAACGGAAAATCAGCATAAGTAGCCCTAGAGTATAGCAGAAGATATCCAAATAGAAGACATCCGCATCCTTCTGCGTTTGTGAAAGTGCATAGACAAATACTTGAACAAGGGCTAAATAATAACGGGTAGATCGTAATAATGACAATATTAGACTGCAAAGAAACGTTAAAAGAAGAATTTTGCGTGAGGTCGTAATAATAAGAATTTTTATTCAAAAAGCCAAAAAGTATACTGCCAGAAAAGTTATTGTTATTTTAATCAGTAAAGAACACGTTACAGAGCGCCCTCTACCGGCTATAGTAAACCGGACTCCATAATCGTTTTTCTCATGCCAAAAAACCTCCGTATATCAAATTTGAAAAGAATCGGTTGAAATACACGTGTAATATTAAATAAAAATCAATTTAAAAAATTTAATTTGGACACCTGTATCTCCAAAACAAAGCGTTTGTCGACCTATATTTATATGCAGTTTTTGTGTTAACTTTAAAACATCTATCGACTGTTAAAGTCCTGCTACAAAAACCTGAAACACCTGTATAAAGATTTTAAGACGAAATGGAATTTTTCTCATTATCTATCAACAGATATCAAAATCTCATATGTTTTTATAGGGGATGATGCCTTCCCACTTATGGAAATTTTAATAAAACCATTTAGCAAGAGAAACCTCACCAACGAAGAAAAGATTTATAACTACAGGGTGTCATGGTGCATTATTGAAAATGCGTTTGGAATACTAGCTTCCCGGTTCAGAGTCATCATAGCATTGACATGTTGCTACTTGCGCAACTTTTTGCGATATAAAAAAGTGGAATGTTATTTCCAAGGCGGTGAAGATATTGAAAACATAAACACTACATAAGCTGCGATTGCTTTTTTTAATTCTCTTCGATAAACACTGCGCAAAACATTGATCTTTTTAAGCACCATCTTTCTATCGGGATTAAGTTCGATATCCTTTAATTTTTCATCACATTCTTCAAATTTCTGTTTTTGTATGTATAAATTAATAAAGTCACTTTAAAATTCTTTGTTATTGATAAAAGTGGCCAATTTACAATCACCACCTTTTACTAACAAACGTGAAAAGAAACTGTCGTTATTGCACAGTCTGTAGCACAAACCCCATACACAACGCAATTAGTTGCGCAACGAATTCCAAACAATTTTGAGTTCAGATACTTCGAATAAGGTTTTCCTTTCACACCAACAGTGTATGGTAGAAACCATGAAAGTAGATGGAGGCAATAATTACAAAGTGTGGCATATGAATAAAGATCATTTACAGAGAATGGGTAGACTTCCAGTTTCTTAAAATTTTGATTTTGGGCTTTATCAATATGTAAAAGACATCATCAATTCAATTTAAATACTTAAATGACTGTCAAAAGTTTCTTAGAAACGATATTTGTAGTTAAGTTTTCATAAATTAATTTTTAAGTAAATGGGAGTGAGTATTTAATTTTAATTTAATTTTTAAGTAAATTTGGACGGAGTGAGTCAAGGTCTGCCGAGTAAACATAATAAGGTTGTCCAACTCCTTATGAACGCTGTTTATGAACGTATCCCCCCCGCAAAGGCCTTGCTGTGACGTCATTGGAGGAATTGACATTTCTATATTTTCATTTATATACTTAAATCAACATAAACCCTATTTCTTGAGTTTAATAACACTTGTTTAGTGTTTAAATTTATAGAGATTATTATATTTTATATCAAAAGTTACGAGTTAAAAATGTTATAATTGCAGTAATTGTTTGTTTAGAAAATAGATGGCGGCACGATACATTATTTTTATCGAATTTTCTTTAAATAACTGTAAATACTTAAGCCAGTAATCGTTGAGAGAGTTAAAACGCCTTCATTAAATATTAAGTTAAATTGACCCTTCAAAAGGCCAATATTATATTTTTCCTCCAATGACGTCACGTTTCCCACCTCACCCCACCAACGTCAATTTGATTGAGTTGGATAACCTTATAAGGAGTGAGTATTTAATTTTTACCGGTATAAAAATGATGTAAATTTTCTTTATAAACAAAAACAGCCGGCAATTCATCTAAATCCACGTGTTGTTTGGCTACATCTTTCGGCGCGGCATAAAAAAATCCGTGAGGTTGAAAATGAGTGGCAACGGAATGATAAGCATTCCATAAATTGCCTTCTTGTTCCCCAACGAACATAAAAAACAAATCGTGTTGTCCTTTAATTGTATTCATGCTTTCCGATTTAGTTAATTCTTGAACTGGGGGCCCATTCATTCTCAAAGCGAAATTAACCATATCTTCCATCTTTCTATCACCGTTATAGGTGTGTTCTTCATCGCCTTTTACACTAAAATTATTAAATTTAAATATCTATACCATAGAAAAGTGAAATATCTTACAATTTTAAAGTTGGATATGCTGCAACCGCATATTGTGAAGCTAAATTTGCATATCTTGTACAATCAACTTTACCAACGCGAATATTAGTTTTTCGTAATGATTGCGCGACGTGCCCCCAAACAGGCTCAATTCTCTTGCAATGCCCACACCAGGGAGCGTAAAACATTAAAAACCATGGGCTACCATCTTTGCGAATCTCCAAGAACTTGTCTGTGAGTTCTATTACTTTGGACGCATAATTAAAACGTATTAACACTAAAATAAATAAATAAGAATTTGTAAATAATGAATCACCTGATTATAAGTAACTCACCGAATATAAACAAGATTACCCACTTCATTTTAACTTAAATTTTAGGTTATAAACTCACATGCGGATACAACTTTGATAAGTAATCGTTTTTGATAACAATTTTATTGGTAATTTTCGATTGGTGAGCATAATTTTCTTGGAAAATTTAACTAATCATTTTGTAATAGTGTTATTGAACGATTTGTAAGCAATTTTCGTTGATTCCGCATCCTTTAGAGGGCGCTGCTTGAAAATTTTTAAATTCAAATTAATATGATAGATGACGCCATTTATCAAAGTGATTGGCCAAATGTCAACGGTGGTATGTCAAGAAAAACTACATGCGTATTTTATCTATCTTCCTAATATGCATTTTAGTTGTCCGATGTAAAATTGTGATTGAGGTGAAACTATTTTAATATTAATTAACATTTTTGAAAATTTTTTCTCTTCATATTTATTTTTAGGATGCCAACATAGCCGCTCTAAGCCATGATGATATAGGAATGATTTTTTGTATGTTTCAAAACATTTTTTAATTAACTCAATTAACGCTTTATCGTTGTAGATGTAGCTATTAGAAACACGGATACTTGCTCATACACCATCCTTACGCGAATGGTAAAGTGCGTTGAGGAAATAGATTCTAATGATAAAGATTGCGAAATGATGCAGCTTATCGGCGGGGATATGGGAATTATTAAGCCACGTTGTGCTAAAAACATTACCCTAGTTTACCCAAATGTGGTAAAAAAATTACAGCACAAAAACTAAATGATCATTAACATTACTTTTGTTGCAGTATTTACTAAATAGAAAGGGATATTGTATAATTGCCATAAAATTTATAAGTGAAGACCAGCAAATGCTCGAAAAAAAGACCAATATAAGTTTTAACACTTATATAAAAGGAAATCATTGGAAACCTCTAAGATGTAACAGTAAGTTAATATTCAAAAACATCATTACCAACAAATAAACAAACGATTTTTTAGATTTTTTTGAAAAACACAGATCAACAATTTGCGAAAGTGTCGATTTAGACCCGTTGAATAATTGCGAACCCGTTGATTGTCACATGAAATATATTGGAACGAGAAATTATTTTAATAAGAGATGGAAACGGTGTCAAAAAGTACCTAAATGCGTTTACGACCCCGATAAAGAGCTTCCAGATGTGGTATGCACAAAAAAATCTCAAATTGGCTAATATTAAAACTTTTGATTTTCAAAGGGATATACCCCCATTACAAATAAATGTTTAGACTTGGAAAAATGTATAAAGCGAGCCGAGTTAACACCTTTAGAGAATAAATACGCCGAAATGAACGATCAAAATAAATATTCGATGATTTTGGTGAGGAAATTTGCTCATTTTAATGTTTGTTTAATTTTTTTTTAATAGACTACTATTCATTGTCATCATGGAAAGGCAAATAACAACACAGGATTATGCGATTGTGACCCCGGCTGGGGTTCAGCTCCGTTTGAACCTATTCCAAGTTTATTTACATTTCATATGTGTAATATAGAAAGGAATTCTTGGTACGATTCCAACCGGTCAATGGTTACGTTTATTGCATTTTTTATTTCCGTAAGTATACATGGAGAACAATTAATATATAGGTGTTTATTGTTACTGAATTTTTATCATTGGAAACATTTTTTTCTAATGCTCCTTATCCGTATTTTGGGCTTTATACGCAAATCTACGTCACCACTGCTATCGATATTCTGCAAAAACTTTTCTTAGTATCCTCTACCAGCATCAGTGTTTCAATGTACACTGTGTAAATTAATTATTGTAACCCACGTGATCTGTGTAATGTTGGCTGCATATCTCAATATGTAGTGGTAGCTTGGATAATTTTAAATTAGTAACCAAATGTTGACAACTAATCGTACGTTATTTTTTCTGTTCTTTAACCGTTTTTTGCTGCCTTTATATTTTTCGAAACAGTTCTTTTTAATACATCAAAATAAGTACTTTCAACATTAATTTCAATCTATGGGTACGCGAAAAATTATTTGAAATAAAAAGACAGAAAGTTAGACCTTTTTTTATATTTAAAATATGTTTTTAATTATTAAAATATATCTAATATCCATCGTTTTTAGGAACTTTCGTCACGTTGCAATACCAATCTGTGATATTGGTTGCATACTTTCGATGATGATGTCGGGTACGATAATTAATTAACACACTGTACAAGGATTCTATTATAAATTTTGGAAACATAGATATTTACAGTTAGATAATTTCACTTAACACAAAAATATATTTCCATAGAAACTAGGGCGTATCTACTTACTTTGCCCCACATAAAATGCAACATGTCAATACAGGGTCATCTACGACGACCGTACTATACGGGATTCTGGCCAAAATAAAAATTTGAAAATTCAGATTTAAGTATTATCAATTGCGTTCTCTTCGACTAAAATATTTTCAGATTTCGAATTAAGACTAGGTTAATTCTTGTAGTGATCTGTTCTCGAGAAGTCACATTGCTGCCACCAACACATTGCGTAAAATTCCTTGGTATCTGTCAGAATTTAAGTTTTCATCGTAACGAAGAGCGATAAAATTCCAGTTTTAATGTTTCTGATTCCAGAGAAAATGTTCCAAATTCCAGACAATTTTTTAATAGCTTGTGTAGAATACCCTTAGTTGGTACGGGATGAGTTGGAAATTCATGCAAATCTTTCCGCAAACAGCCGACAATTACGAAACGTACGACAATTATTTGGTTGCACTCTCTATAAATTATTATCAAATTCAAATAATCTTCATTACTAAATCCAAAACGTGGCATTGTTTGAGAACAGATCACTACAAAAAGTACCTAGTCATCACACCAACAGAAATAAACCATAGCTTTAGCAAATGTCAAACTGTTTATTTTTTCCTTGTTGATCCTCCTCAGATGATTTATAAATTATAGCAAGTAACGTTGTAGTTGACATTTTTGATTACAAAAAATTAAAATCTCAAAAATGACTCCACTTAGGTACAAGTGGCCTAAAATTGAACAAAAATTTCAAAAATCTAGTAAAATACAGGGTGTTCCGTTTGAAATATGAAAATTGTCACCTCTTCCGGTGTAACCACAAGTAACTTGAAAAAATGTTAGTTAAAAAGCTGGCATCGAACATCACAAGTCTGCAAATTTTCAAACCCCACTTGATTTGGTTATTCACTAGGTCACACTAGGCATTTCATTCATGGCACACTAGTTTAATTATCGATATGATATGTGTGCATTTTTCAAAGAACCTTAATTATTTCCCAAACTATAAATATTATGTATGGGACATATGGGATATAAAAGATGTAAAATGAGACGCCGAAGAGGACTAAGTAATAAAATATGGGGGTGCCATTTAAAAAAATGAAGTTATGGTACTTCCAAGTTTCGAAAAGTTAACGTGACCAAACGTACTCGGCAGATTTTTCTAGAAAAATTGGAATAACTCGAGAACGGCTAAATCAAATTGTAAAAAGTAAAGTTATTCATAAACCTTGAAAGCAGGCAAATCCAAATATGTAAAAATATATAAGGTGTTCCATTTAAAAAAATAAAGTAGGTGGCGACTTCCGGTTATACTGGTGCTAGAAATCTGAAAATATTTTAGTCGAAGAGAACGCAATTAATAATACTTAAATCTGAATTTTCAAATTTTTATTTTGGCCAGAATCCTGTATAGTTCTAATGGATGGTCGTCGTGGATGAACCTGTATAATTTGACATACATTAGAGTAAAACCTCGATATAACGGATTAATTCGGGGAAGGCAGTGTCAGTTATAGCTCATTAAAAATTTACAACAATCTAGCTCTGAATAACAAAACAAAATTAAATTAACACTAGCGCTAGAACTAAGACTAGACCTAGAAACATTCCGTTCAGCAGTACCTCTCTTAAGACGGCTGGTAGGTAGCGCTAGTTAGCATTAAATATCACTATATTGCATATTTTTATTGAACTAAAACTGGAACTAACACTATTCTGAAGACGCACGGCTAAACCCAATACTCTCTAGTTCTAGTTTTACACTAGCACTAACACAAGAATCATTCGTGTTTAGCCGTCTTGAAAGACATGCCGCTAAATCCGAATGTTTTGCACTAGCACTGTCATTAGAACTAAGACAAGACCTAGAATCAGAATCATTCGGGTTTAGCCGTCTTTTGAGACGTGCGGCTAAATCCGAATGTTTCTATACTCTGTTTTTAAACCAGGAGGAGTAAACGCGAAAGTCAGATTTACACTAGGAAAAATCACCAGAAAATATCACTAGATATTTTGGCGGTAAATTTAAATTAATAATTACACTGTTGGAAATAATTCACGAGCACACCCTATATAATCTGAACGCGTGAAGATAAATCCATAATATTTGCGGAGCACAAAGCTTTACTGTAGACGAGTTTATTCAGCGAGTTTCGAGTTGTTCCGTCGCGGCATTGTTGACTGAGCTGCCCTTCCAAGTGGAACGTTCCGTCGCTATGGAGACCGAAGTGGATGGAAAATACCGGTCGTTTTTAGTGTGGTGTGAGGAACCACATTGTTATTGTACTTTGTGCGCAATGGATGAGCGATCGCGTTACTTAAGCGAGTTTGGGCGAGGAATGTTTGTGTTTTGGGTTGGGTTGCGATACAGCGGATTCCAGTAACACCCGAGCACCGCAGCATACGTCACGAGTGGGTCGACGCTAGGCATTAGTAGGTTGCCGAGGAGAGGGACATTTTGTTTTCCGACGAATCAAGATTCGAATTGAGCACCGGTGATGCGCGAATTTTAGTTCGTCGNTTGTACTATGAAGCTATGTTGAACTTTATGTGGAACAGTGCAAGTGCATAATACTTTCGTAACTATGGTTACTGCATTCATATATTGCGAGTAATATGAAAGTCCCGGTATAAGTATTTACCACGGTTGATGACAGCCAATACTGCCAACAGTATTAATAATATATTCGTAGAGACCTCGCTAAAATAACTGATAAAAGTTCAAGTTAATTCTGAGTTATTCCAAAGCAGCTAAAAGTTATCTCATAGTAAGTTCATCAGTCCTAGCAATCTTGAATTTATTCCAGAAACCAGAGTATGATATGATGAGTAGAGTTCAAATTGTATCAGAATTTCTTCTAAATCTAAAATATATGTGTAAATTAATAAATTATTAATACATATTTAGTAAACATCCTGTATATTAAAAAAAACTTGTCTATTAAAAAACATTTTAATCATAAACCATCACTCAAATATATCAATTTAGGTTATAAAATTTTTTTTACAATATTTTTTTTTAAGATGTGTCCACAAATATTTCTTTGTAAACTTATGTGTATATGTTTATCAACAATTCTCCTTTTCATAGGCGGTTTACTAGCGATATACTTTCAGATATCATCAGTATGTGTGGCAATGTTAGTAGTTTTGGTCTCGTTCGTTTTGTATCATCTCTACAAATGTTTGAAGAATAAGCCGGATAAACCGCGACCTGATATCGAATGCGGTTCGAAATCGAATTCGACTCAAAGTGTTAAAACACAAGATACGCCGAAATCAAGGATAACTAAAGACGGCGTTAGCGACCCGAATAAAACGGTTTATTTGGCAACGGAAACGTCGTCTAGAGCTAAATCGGGGGAACGAACGGATACGTTTTCTTCGGATTATTCGAAAGCGTCCAAGATGTCTAAGGAAACTTATCGGTTATCGAATTCGACGGATTCAAATGAGTCGAAGAATACTAGGAGTTCTAGTAAATCGAAATCGCAGAGTACGCAGGGTAGTTCGACCGAAAAAAGTTCAAGGGATTCTTCGATTAAAGCTCGATCATCTGCTAGTACCTTAACAAGAGATAAATGAAAATAAAAAAATTAAATGATGAAGAAATGAGATAAAATGGCTGTTTTATAATTTTAGGATATACTTACTTTATATTAATTTTTTTAGAATATATTATTTTTAAAAATTGAATTAAGTGTACAAATATTTTTTATTTTTTTAACTGTGGGAACCGTTTAAATACATTTATTTATTTCAAAATTAATAATAAATAGTGAGCCCTATTATAAAGTTTAGAATTATATAAAATCTAGATAAATCTAAAAGGAGTACAAACATTTTTCTAAAGGAGTTTTTTAATCAATACATTTACTCCCGTGTAAGTAGATTTGCAACTTCTCTTACTGAAGCCATATTTGCGTACATGTAGGCTTTCGTTTCCCATAACATTTTACATAATCTTTCGTCGGATTTTTCATCCATGGCGACGTCCTCAGACAATTGCGGGCTAAACCTGAAGTAGGGGATTCCCAAAGAAGAGCACCAAGCTCTTGCTCTATCCACAACTCTTCCGTCAGTCGCAGTAGCCTAAATTTTGTATTGTATTATATTGATAAAAATTTGTTTATTTTTATTACCTGATCAACGAGCAAAGATGCTAACGCTGGCAAACCAAAAACCAATTTAGCTCCTTCCCAAATATTTTCAGGTAACATTCTAGAAACGTTTGATTCCGTAACCGGAATAAGACCCGTCCCTAAACTAACAACGATATGTACGGGACATTCTTCGCTTGTACGATGTTTCGCCCTTAACGCCAAGTTGTATTCGTGAATTTCCGTTAGGGCGTCCAACGTTGGATTATTCGCGATTAAACCACCATCTAGGAATCTATCAAAAGCTCTGTGAACAATAATTATTTAATTTTTATTCATCTCGGTTGACATAAAAATTCTAAAACACATTTTTAATAAGGACATGAAGTTTGACATGGTTAACAAATTTAAGGGGAAATAAAATTAAATTAATTTGAAATCTATAATGATATATTCTTTACCACGAGAAACGTAAATGACTCATCGATTTCGAAATATGATCAACCACAAGCAACTTCGGCTTAATTAATGAAAATATCAGCTCTATTTGCTAAAGCCACAATATGATGACCAATTTCATGTTGATGCTGTATCATTGAGCTACGGCCGTAAGCAACCTCGGCTTAATTAGTCTACAAATTCACCTGATAAAGCCGAGGTTGCTTGTGGTCAAACAATTAATATTGTTCAACCCAAAAGTAATCATCATATTGGAACGTCTCGGCTGCAAGCGACTTCGACTAAACTTAGGATGGAGATTTTGACATAGCCTAATTATGCCAATGTCGTTTGCTCCACAATATGATCACCAGTTTCAGGTTGATACGATATTAATTACCGAGTCTCGGCTAATGAGTGAAAAGATCAAAAATTGCAGTTGATCATGCCGAGGCTATACAATTAATATTGGTCAACCCAAAAGTAATCATCATATTGGAACGTCTCGGCTGCAAACAACAGCAATTATTGACAACACACTTTTCATTCTAGGATGAAAAGTTACTTAAAAGATTAGGTTATTTTTAACGATAATTTATATTCTTCTAATATTATGACTTAATGCTATGGTATCAGTTAAAATTTCACAAATTTAGACATATGCCCGTCCGTGAACTATTTTTTATATAAATTGTTACTAATTTTGATTTTAATTTTTCTACGTGGATATTCGTAAACTCAAATCTTTATATTTTGATATTAGTGCATTAGTTTGGAAATGTTTTGTGATTTTCTTTATAAAAAATTACGCTAAACTCGGTGGTGCGTAAATGCACCATTGGCCAGATACGTATATTTCACCTGGGAATACAAGTCCAGACAGTCAGAAATGTTTATAACAGGGAAGCCCGTGCGATTCGAGTTCAAGGTTTGGTGCCTGTCGTCTTCGGATGGATATTTATTTCAATTTGCTCCATATGAAGGGGCAAACACATCAAGAGAAAAATCTGAACTTGGCTTAGGAGGCCAAGTTGTTGTTGATTTGCTAAAGATCGTAAACACCAAACAAAATCATCGGATATATTTTGACAACTTTTTCTCTTCGTACAAGTTATTGAAATTTTTGAATGAAAAGGACTTTTACGCTACGGAAACCATAAGAGATAATCGAACAGCTAAATGTCCTTTAGAAAGTATCAAAGATATTTCGAAAAAGAAACAAGGTAATTATGATTCCGTATTTGACGAAGAGACAAAAATATTCTTGACTAGATGGAACGACAATTCAGTAGTTACCATTATTAGCAATAACTTTAGTGTGCAACCTTTGACCACCGCTAGACGATTGACGACCGAAGAGAGCGGAAAGTCGTTATGATTCCTCAACCAAATATAATCTCTGAGTATAACAAATATATGGGAGGCGTAGACTTACGTGATAATGGAATTTTCAACTATATAATAAATGTGGGAGGCAAAAAGTGGTGGTGGCCGTTGTTTGTAAATTTTCTAGACAAATAATTATAAAATGACGCTCAAGTCATACATTGCCGTACGTCTGATGAAGGCGGAAGATGATAATGCAGGTAATAATATGAATCCATCATTTGGAGGTACCGTTCCTGCAGAAGATCGTATTGATAACGTGGGTCATACCATTAAGGAAGAAGTTAATAAAGCCAGACGTTGTTGTAAATTGTGTAAAACTCATACTATTTATATTTGTGCGAAGTGTAAAGTACATTTACATATTATAAAATGTTTTGAGGATTACCACAAGTAAATATACATATGTTTAGCCAAAGGTTCGTTTACGCACCATCATCTTTTTCATATACCCAATTTTTTTTTTGATTTGATATATGCCGAATCGTCTTAGTTAACATACACTGTTGGAAATAATTCACGAGCATACCCTGTATAATTTGAACGCGTGTGTCTAGCGTAATCAAATTTGGTATGGAAGTAGTACTAAAGTAGTAGGAGAAACATCAATAACAAGAGTATCCCCCGTGAGCTTCGCGTACCATCGCTACACGACGTGGTATGGAGTCTATAAGCCGCTGTATTGTAGCGAGAGGGATGGCCAACCATGCCACCTCAACTCGTCTCCATAACTCCTCAACGTTAGCCTGGGAAGCCGGATAACGTTGAAGTCTCCGACCAGCCATGTCCCAAACATGTTCGATCTGATTCAGATCCGGAAAACAAGCTGGCCATGGAAGCATTCGTATACGGTGCTCTTCCACAAAGATCTGTACAACACGCCCGATGTGCGGTCGGACGTAGTCGTGTATGTTCAGTAGACCTGGGCACCGCCGAACGTAGGGAAGTACAACGGACCGTAGCACCTCATCTAGGTATCGTTAACCCGTCATGGTCTGCTATACACGCAGCAGACGTATACATCCACCATGTGTAATCGCACCTCATACCATAATGCTCGGTTGTTAGTGGATAGGGCGTTCTTGTACGCACTGCTTGAGTAGACAATCACCACGTCTCCGACGAACTAAAATTTGCGCATTACCGGTGCTCAATTCGAATCTTGATTCGTCGGAAAACAAAATGTCCCTCTACTCGGCAACCCACTAATGCCTAGCGTCAACCCGCTCGTGACGTATGCTGCGGTGCTCGGGTGTTACTGGAATTCGCTGTATCGCACAACGCGCGCGCAGTCCACTATCTACCAAACGCCGCCATAAAGTTCGCGTAGTGAGTACGCCTTCCCCTGCCGGTGGCGAAACAGCTCCAAGTTGCCTTGAGGAGGACGCACACGACGCTAAAGCGCTGAGCACAAGAGCGCGATCCTCGTGTGCTGGGGTCGCGCAGGGCCGTCCGGGCCGCGGCTAAAGGTACCTATGTCCTACCTCAGACCATTCTCGCCAAGCCCGTTGCACTGCCGATAACGACCACTCGAGACGACGCACAATTTCACGGAACGATACACCCTGAATGTGCATACCCACATCCATTCCTCGCTCAAACTCGCGAGCAAAGTGTTAAGTAACGCGATCGCCCATCCATTGCGCACAGAGTACGATAACAATGTAGTCGCTCACACCACACTAAAAACGACCGGTATTTTCCACCCACTTCTGTCTCCATAGCGACGGAATGTTCCACTTGGAAGGGCAGCTAAGTCAACAATGCCGCGACAGAACAACTCGAAACTCGCTGAATAAACTCGTCTACAGTAAACCTTTGTGCTCCGCAAATATTATGGATTTATCTTCACGCGTTCAGATTATATAGGGTGTGCTCGTGAATTATTTCCAACAGTGTATTTTTTGCAATAAACAATAATTTTTTTCTAAAGTTTACAATTATTTTCTACCGTGGCCGTAAATGGGTTAATCACTGAGTCTCAGCTAATTAGTGAAAAGATCAATAATTGTATTTGATAATGCCGAGGCTATACAATTAATATTGTTCAACCCAAAAGTAATCATCATATTGGAACGTCTTGGCTGCAAGCGACTTCGACTAATATTAGGATGGAGATTTTATGACATAGCCTGATTATGCCGATGTCGTTTGCTCCACAATATGATGACCAGTTTCAGGTTGATACGATATTAATCCCTGAGTCTCGGCTAATTAGTGAAAAGATCAAAAATTGCATCATGCTGAGGCTATTCAATTAATCAACCCAAAAGTAATCATCATATTAGAACGTCTCGGCTGCAAGCGACATCGACTAAACTTAGGATGGAGGATTTTATGACATAGCCTGATTATGCCTATGTCCTTTGCGGCAGAGGCTCCACAATGTGATGACCAATTTCAGGTTGATGCGATATTAATCATTGAGACTCGGCTTAGTTAGTGAAAAAATCAAAAATTGCAGTTGATGATGCCGAGGCTATACAATTAATATAGTGCAACCCAAAAGTAATCATCATTATGGAACGTTTTGGTTGCAAGCGATTTCGATTAAACTTAGGAAGGAGATTTTACGACATAGCCTGATTATGCCGATGTCGTTTGCTCCACAATATAATGACCAGTTTCAGATTGATACGATATTAATCACTGAGCCTCGGCTTAATTAGTAAAAATATCAAAAATTGTAATTGATAAAGCGCCACAACATGATTCTCGGATTTAGTAATTATATTTGGTTGCCTAGCCTTTAAAAAAATGCTTTAATCTAAGCCCTACGGCCAAAATTTTATTCCATACAATTTCTCGTGGTAAGGAATATACTTTAAATGTATTAATTTCACATGAGTATTTTATGTTATGTATCAATATGAGAAATAACTCAATTACATTATATTTTATGTCAAATAGATGACAAAACATAACACATTTTTACCTAAAATAAGTAGGAGCTGCACCGGTGGCCCTTGCAACATGCCATAATAAAGTTTCTTCAGGTGGTTTAGGTAATTCATAAGGAGAATTATAATTGACGCCCAAAATTTCACTCGGACTCTCATAATTTCTAAATAAATGTAGCTCGACCGGTTTTCGATCGGCTAAAACTCCGGGAATTAAAAGTTTCGGTTGTTTAATATCGGTCATAACCGAGTCAGAACCCAAACATTCCTTTAACATGCTTTCAAGAGGTTCGCTTGGATATGGACGAATGCCGATAAATGTTTGGTCTTTTAATCGAAAATACAAACAGTGACACTCCTTCAAAGTTTTTCCAGCGGCTAAACCCAACGCGAGAATCCCTCCCGTACTAGTTCCAGTGATCCAATCAAAGCAGTTGTTAATTGGTCCCCCGATAGCGGCTTCTAATTCCAAAAGCATTTGAATTAGGATTAACCCACGAATTCCACCTCCATCTAAACAAAGTAAACGTCCTTTTTTTGGGAGATTATCTCCGTGTTTTTCCGAAGCAGTATGCATCGCAGCTACAGATAACATGTCGTTTAATAAATCACGATTTGTGGGGCCAAAAATGCTTGGTGGTGGTTCCCCATTATAATCTCCGTTATGTTTACAACCAATTACGCAATTAGAAACATCGGGGGTACATCTACTCGCCCCAACAGCATGCAAACAATACAATCCCCTTGAATTATTACTTCTTGCAGCTAAATGTCGCGGAGTTTCGCCTTTGTAATTCAACGCGTCTAAATCAGCCCCAAAAATAATTAAACATTGAATAATCGAGTTATTTCCCGTGTTAACAGCCAAATGTAAAGGAGTATTTCCGTCGCAATCTCTAATGTTCGTTTCCGCCCCTCTACTTAATAAAGCAACAACACATTCCAATTTTTTTTGTAAGATCATCACATGTAATGCGGTTCGATTTTGAAAATTCACGGCGTTTATTAAGCAATTAACATCAACTAATGCGTCAATGACTGGTCGAGATATCGCCCAGTGTAGGGGGGTTCCCCCATTTTTCATATCTTGATTCGAAAGTGTATTGGGATTATTTTGCAAATAATGACCGACGTATCCGGGAATATTATTCCCTTCGCCTTCGGGTCCTTCTTGACTGGCTGCTATATTTACATCAGCCCCAGCAAGTAAAAGTGCTTTAACACAATCAGGCTTATCGGCCAAACAAGCCAAATGCAAAGGGGTATAACCCAATTTATTTTTTCCGTTTAAACAACGCGGGGGGGAATCTTGCGAAAGAGCTGTAATAATTTCCTTACAACTATTTGCAGCAAAATGATAAACAGTATTTGAATCATGATCGACATGTTCCAAAGAACATTTTGATTGTATCAAAATTTGTACAGTTTTTAGATTATTTGTGGTTATAGCAACTTGTAAAGGTGACATTCCTGTGGCTGCGTCAGAGCTGTTTAAATAACTATTAATAATATCGTTATTAAAAGTATCGTAAAGCGCGAAATGGGCGGCCATATGTGCCATGGTCCACGATGGATGTTCTGCAATTACATCACAAATTTTTTGTAAACCATGGGAATTTCCCATCTCTTTAGCGATTTCTATAAACTTTGGGAGTTTATCTTTAAGGTAAATGAAACGTTCTTCGGCATCAGCTTGTTCTTCAGCACGAAATAAACTATAACATAACAATTTTTTTAACCCATAAAATAGATTAAACTAAAAATAAAATGTGTTTTACCTAAATGCTTGATGTAAACTTTCTGTGTAAGGTTTATGCAAAACAATCTCAAATTTTGACTTCTCCCCTTTTGTGCTATTTGGTGCGTAAAGAACGAGACTATCCTCACGGCAAATAGGGTGTCTTTCCGCATAAACATCAGGTTTAACATCTAGTACTTTAGTAGGTGGAGATTCAGTGGGAAGTAAACTTCGTAGCACTACAAAAAATAATTTTAAATAAAAAAAACTGTCATAAAAGAGGGGGAATAACCTCAATTTTAATTATGTATTTTCAGATTTACTTACGGTTAAACATTTTATAGTTTAGACCCAATAATAAGGTGTAATAAATGTATTAGGCAAGATTTATTTAAGGGTAGTGTTGTAATAACCAAGAAGTATAAAAAAAGTGTCTCCCTTCTTGCTTTTTACAATTCAAGTCAAGTTTAGCCAAGTTTCAAACCAATCATTCCAGATTGTTATCGTTTTAAATAAAATAAAAAATCCACAAAATTATTAAGTTCAAATAACGTTCACAATACATTAATACATTAAAATAATAACAAATATAATAAAAATAAATTTGAATTATTAAATTTAAAAAAAAATAAGTTTAATTAAAAAACGCCCGCTAGAGTCCGGTTTGTTTCTAGGTTAAGTCAACCATATTGATTGCTAACTTGTCAAAGTAGTTTGTGGTGTAATTTAAGGAAAATTACGGAAATGTACGAAGAAAGCGATTCGGTAAGTGTAATGTCTTACATTTTCGAACACTATTCAATTAATTTCAATTATCCCCGTTTGATTTTTTAACCGCATGTGAAACATAACCTCAAAAAAGCCGACCTTTTTAATTAGATACGTACCGACGTGTTTTGCATGGACTAATCCCATAAAACTTATTATTTTCGCGTTAAAATGTTCTCTTCTGTCGATAAATCTTAATTTCACTTGTCTATTTTGACAATTTTGTACAGAATTACAACTACGACTATGAGAGCGATTATGGGGGCCACGGGGCCGAATCAGCCGGGGATGCCGATTTCAATCGTACGGCGAATTATAAGATGCCCGATGTCGTGAAGAATTTCTTGACTTATTTTCGAAATGCGATCAGCGAGGGATCAGTTTTTGAACTTCAAAATTTGTACGAAGTTCACTGGCCGAAGCTAACAGAAGATTATTTCGAAAAGAGACCATGGCCGGAGGAGAGCGAAGTTTCCGCAGCTATTACAAGCGACCCAGTAAGTATATTTAAACTTACCATCTCCTCCTTTTCTTGATACTTCAGCAACACTCTCCAAAAAAGTTACTTGGATTTTTTTGCTGTACTCTCCAAATTTTTCAAAGTTTTGATTCGACTTCATTGCTTCTTCAGCGGTCTCCTTGAATTTTCCAAACATATTGAGAAATTCCTGGTTCATATTGATTGAAGTGCAACAAATGGTTGCGTTCACTTTGTGTATAATTGATGAGAATTGATTCCATTGAAACCGACGCACCTTATCTTTTTAAACAGTTTCATATCGCGATTTTTTTTTATTAGATTAAATGGTTCATAGTGCATGCCTTTTTTATTTGCAGCATTATTACGTATTTTATCAAAATGATTTTATAACGTAAAATGCTTGTTTGAATTTTAATTAGTTAAACTTGTTTTATGACTCAGATCCGGAACCTGACCTTCAAACATTAAGTAAAAACCAATAAAAATAAAAATTGTACACAAATAAAATTAACAATATCATTATCATTGTTTGTAGATCTTATTGTTATTCAATGAATTTGTTTGGGTTGCTTTAGTTCGTGTTGCCTCTATAATGATTTATGAATTAATTGAATAAATTAATTGAAATTAGTTCTGTTATAAGGGTTGCATACTTTTAATAGAAACTTAATAATATTAAAAATTTTTCAGTAAACAAGGTTTACATGGAAAATTTGTCTTAATATGTATTACAGTGTTTTTAAGGATTGAATTAGAAATTCATGTGAAATTCAGTGTTAGTTGTGAAGACAAATGACTCAAAATATATTTATATCAATGTTTTTATTCTTAACAGGTAAATATTTTTACTTCCTTTTTCTAATGAATATTTAAAACCTTAATATTTATAGATTTATGCCGCCGAGACTTTGCAGTATGTCTTAACCAGTTTTTCTTAGTATTAATTTGCTGTTTGTGTTTTTGGCTCTATCAGGCGAGGTTCTAAGTTCACCACATTAGTTTAGCCAAGATAGATTGCGACTGAGACGCAGCAATACGTGTTTACAAATTTTGGTTGATGTGGTATTAATCCTAAACGTCGACTTAATCAGGCGAAATCACACTCTTTACTTTAAGTTTAACCGAAATCGCTAGCGACTGAAGCACTGCAATATATTGATTGCACCTTTTCAAGTTTAACATCAGAAAACGAAACTTTAATTTCAAAACATGAAATTTCAATTTCAGAGTTTAGTTTCAGAACATGAGGTTACATAGGATACATAACAACATAAACAAAGGTCAAAAGATGATGACCAAGCCAAGTGTTAAGACAAGAAAAGATGATTGGGTTTATGGAAAGAGTTAGAAATGGTAACAAAGTAATTAAAGAATAATAATAGCTCCTGGAGAAGGTAGATTAATCACAGATATCATAAAATATATGAGTCCACAAGGAAGAGAAGTGTTGAAGAGATGAAGAGACCACTTGTCTCTGGAGGAGCCATAGTTATGCTTTTATACACGTTTGTTTGTCTCAAAATTAGACATATACATCCAAGTTACTCTGTTCTTAGAGAAAAGTTGTAGGAAATTGTTGCAGAGTGCACTTTAGGTTAATTAAAATAAAAAGGCTAGGAGAAACTTAAGATGTAACAAAAACGTTTTTATTATTTAATAACAACTTTTACTATTGTATAGTTCAAAAACTGTTAAAACCAAAACTCAACTTTATCTTCCCCACAATACAATCTGATACAATTAACACACAGACACTGACACACAAGGTTCAAGATTGCCAGCTTGGTCTCTTATAAAAACCCTATTTCAAAATTAAGTTATTTAAAAAATTGATAACATTAAAAATGATAAAATATGTTATCTTGAAAATTTTTTTTAATTAAAAATTTTATATTAACCACATTAAGGCTAATATTTTGGCATTTATAAACATACTTCTTTATGTAATTATTGTAAAGAATTTACCAGTAAACAATTCTCATGGTCGAAATTTAAATTTTGTTGAGGGATATAAGGTGTAGTGAGCTGATGTATAATTCCATATTCTGCTATTATTCTTTTCCATTATCATTTCTAACGATTTTTATATCCCTTCCAATTTGGTTCTTTAATTCAATTATGAACTGTTTTAATTTTTTACACCTCATCTTTACTTTTTAAGAAATAAGCAGTCTTATAATTAGAACAATCATCCTTTAAGAGAAACATATGTTTTGAATCACCAATCGAAAACTCCTGCATTGGAACACAAATCTGCAGAACTTTGAGCTTTCTTTTACGACAATATTGTTCTGCTCTAAAACCTTTTTAATTTGTCTAAAGTTTTGATGAGCCATTGCTCTGAGCCACCAGATTAAATTATGTTCTACCTTTGCCAAGCAACTATCTCTCTCCAATAAATTTTTATTTATTTTAAAAATCATTTTAAACAGTTTACCGCTTCGTTTAGCAATCGCACATGTGTTTCCGTTCTTCAATATTAATTCTACCTTGTTAGAGTCTGACTGTAGAGTAATTCGCTTATCTAGCGCACATCCTCGCGAGAATCAGTTTATCTTCAAATCAGGAACATATAACACATCTTGAAGTGTAACTGGTTAAAAGCTTTTACCATTATAAGCTAACATACTGACAGTTCCCATTCCGCACTCTTCATTGTTGTCCCATCACCAATTTTTATTGTTCTGTGACTTTGTAGTGATACATATCGATCAAATAAATTCAACTTATTACACATATGATATGACGCACCATTGTCTAAGTACCAATCAGTGTTAATTAATGCTTCGGACAATGCAATCAACGCTAAACCGTTTTGTTTCTCATCTTGTTTTTGTTTTCTTTCTTTGGTTTCACTTTCTCTTTTTTCCTTTGGTAACAATCCTTCATTCTGTGCCCTTTTTTCTTGCAATAGAAACATTCAATTGCTCTTTACCACAGGAAAACATTTTTTTCCTTCTTTGTTCGCTACTAAAGCAACAGAGTTATCTTCTCTTCCTACTCTTTGTTCTTCTGTTAGTAAATGTATGTATTTCTCTGGCAACGCCATTATTACCTTCGTCATTACCATCTTTTCTGGAACTTCTTCTCCTTGCTGGTTCATGTTTGCACAAAGGTTAGTAACTTTTGTTACAAAGTCATTTATATTTTCTTCTTCAAATTTTAAATTATGAAACTGCTCAGTTAACAAATGCTAATTATCGATATTCTGTCATAGATTTCTTCCAGTTTTTTCCACATCTCGTAAGCGGTTGAACATTGCATAATGTACCAAAGTGGAGTTACCAAAACCTCCTATGCTTTTGCCATAAACAACTTTTATTTGAAATTTCCATACATTCCACTTTTTATCGTTTCCAACACCACCCTGAGATGACTACATATTTTAATTTTTTCTTTTTTTTATTTAATTAAATACGCTAACCCAACGTTGCTATTCTTTCTAACCTCATTTCTCAAAAACACATCCAACACGTCTTCTTAACCTCTCAATTTCTTCCGTCCACCTGGGTCCATAACTTGTTACAGAGTGCACTTTAGGTTATTAAACAATAAAAACGTTGTTTTTCGAAATTTTTGTTACATTTTAATTTTCTACTGGCCTTTTTATTTTAATTAACCTAAAGCGCACTTCGCAACAGAAATGTACCACATTATAAACGGAAAATGTTACATACAGTGTGTTCCATAACAAAATACGGTAAATATATGTGGTGTATATATAACATTCGGTGTTTATCAGTGGGATGGTTATTAACGTGTTATGGCATGTCCAGAGAGACGCGAAGCGAACGACTTTTCAGAACGTTGGTTACTGCATATATTAAAACAATCATGACAAGAAGAAACTTATACAGTTTGTGTCAAATGTCTGGAATATAGCCAATAACTTCGCCATTTGTGGTTTTAAAGAAAAATGTTTCAAATACAAGTTTCTTTATTAATCATGGCGCATTTTTTGGCGATATTTGCTTGTTTGTATTGTTTTTTGTTTCGTTGCTATGGCAACCAACATTGTTATTTTAAATGGGATGTATATATTTTTTTTTGCATACTTTGATAGAGGGTAAGTCCCTCTATGCGATGAGCATATCAAATCATATGGTTGTATAAGAAAAAAATCGAGAAAAAATGCGTTTTTTGAAAGTCTTAAATCAGCTAATTACAATTAAAGTAGGCGCCGAAATAACGCCGCTGACAGCTTTAAATGTCAAAAAAATTACAGTTTCAACAATTATGAATAATTAATAATGTATGGTCATTGGTAACTGTCTTTGGCCATCAACTTTTTGGAAGGTTTTTAACACTTCCTGTAAATTTTTTGACATTTAAAGCTGTCAACGGCGTTATTTCGACGCCTACTTCGATTGTAATTTGTTGAATTAAAACTTTCAAAAACGCAAATTTTCTCGATTTTTTTCTAATATAACCATATGGTTTGATATGTTCATCGCGTAGAGGGATTTATCCTCCATTAAAATGTGCAAAAAAATATGCATCCCATTTAAAATAACAATGTTGGTTGCCATAGCAACGAAACAAAGAACAATGTAAACAAGCAAGTATGGCCAAAAAATGCCCCACAATTAATAAAGTATTTTTTATTTGAAACATTTTTCTTTAAAACCACAAATGGCGAAATTATTGGCTATATTCCAGACATTTGACACACCTGTATATAGACAAAAAAATTGTAATAATTATAGAGGTACACCGCTGCTAAGTACTGCCATGAAAATTTTAGAAGATTATCNGCAGTATGTCTTAACCAGTTTTTCTTAGTATTAATTTGCTGTTTGTGTTTTTGGCTCTATCAGGCGAGGTTCTAAGTTCACCACATTAGTTTAGCCAAGATAGATTGCGACTGAGACGCAGCAATACGTGTTTACAAATTTTGGTTGATGTGATATTAATCCTAAACCTCGACTTAAGCTTGCGCTTGAGCCACTGCAATATATTGATTGTACCTTTTCAAGTTTAACATCAGAAAACGAAAGTTTAATTTCAAAACATGAAATTTCAATTTCAGAGTTTTGATATAAATGTCTTGCCAACATCGACCGAAGGGTTTAAAGTAACCTTCTTTTTTTTTTGCTCTGTGGCCCAGATATAGATATTTTAGATTCATGATTTTCTTGGTGATCGACGTTATGGCGACCACTGATTTAGAGCTTATAAATAAAAAATGGTAATAATCGAGTTCAATCTTTTTATGGATCTAGTCTTTATGGTCCATTACTAAGGTTTTATGTATAAAAAATATTTCCCCATCGCTTTTATTTTATGAGTTATGATTGAGTTAATTTTCGAAAATCAACAATTTTGATGTTTAATCGGTTTAGAGCTTATAAATAAAAAATGGTAGTAATTGGGTTCAATCTTGTTATGGATCTAGCCTTTATCGCGCATTACTAAGGTTTTATGTATAAAAAGTATTTCCCCATCGCTTTTAGTTTATGAGTTATGATTGAGTTAATTTTCGAAAATCAACAATTTGAATGTTTAATCGGTTTAGAGCTTATAAATAAAAAATGGTAATAATTAGGTTCAATCTTGTTATGGATCTAATCTTTATCGCTCATTACTAAGGTTTTATGTATAAAAAATATTTCCCCATCGCTTTTAGTTTATGAGTTATGATTGAGTTAATTTTCGAAAATCAACAATGTTGATGTTTAGTCGATTTAAAGCTAGTAAATAAAGAACGGTTATAATTGGGTTCAATCTTTTTATAGATCTAGTCTTTATGGTCCATTACTAAGGTCTTATGTATAAAAAGTATTTCTCCATCGTTTTTAGTTTTTGAGTTATGAGTTATGATTGAGTTAATTTTCGAAAATCAACAATTTTGACGTTTAATTGACTTTTTAGATAAATGTCTTGCCAAGATCGACCGAAGGGTTTAAAGTAACCTTCCTTTTTATTTGCTTTGAAGCCCAGATATAGAGGCCAGATATATTTCTGATTCATGATTTTCTTGGCGATCGACTCAAAACTGCTTTGCGATTGACCGGTCGATCGCGATCGACGTTATGGACACCACTGCTGTATAGAATACTTAACAACATAAACAAAGGTCGAAAGTTTATGACCAAGCCAAGTGTTAACATATCTTGCGCGGGCACTTTGCCGCCGAAGTCTTACCATTTAGCGGGCATAACGACTTTAGTCGCTTCCCGCGCAAAATGTGTTAGGACAAGAAAGGATGATTGAGTTTATGGAAATTGGGATCTATGGAAAAGTTAGAAATGGTAATAAAGAATAATAATAGCACCTGGAAAAGGTAGATTAATCACAGAAATGATAAAATATATGAGTCCACAAGAAAGAGAAGTGTTGAAGACCACTTGTCTTGGATGAGCCATAGCTATGCTTTTATACACGTTTGTCTCTCAATGAGACATATACATCCGAGTTACGCAGTTCTTCTTTAGAGAAAAATTGTAGGAAATTTACCACATTATAAACGGAAAATATTTTTATATATACAGGTGTTCCATAATGAAAATACATAATGAAATACAGGGTATTAAAAATTTCTGTTTTATAATCTTTCAAATGAGATATTAACCAGGGCTAAATGTCTTTCCAATTAGCTAATAACATGGTAAAGTTAGGAGGATATAGAGAATTGAATGTCAACCTCAGGATTTATTGTAATCAGGAATTAACAATAATCATGTTTCTAAATTGATGTGAAAGATTTCAAAGTAACGGGTGTCTTTCATATAACTTTTTGTTCAAAACCCATTTCATGACTAATAAATTCAGTTCATTTCTTTGACTAATAGTAACCGATCTCTGAACTAATTCACTTGAGCCTGTGTATTATTTTATTTTTTTGTAATCAAACTAATAATTTTAGGAGAAAATGTCAAGAGACAAAAAAGTTGCGTATTGAATCCCTCTATTTAAATCAAGTTTTTAAATAGAAAAATGTGGACGCATTAAAAAGTTCTGATACAAAGTATTGTAGGGGTTGATTGTTTCACCTCCTTGTAATAACACTTTAGGATTACAAAAATCGTCAAAAGGTGTCATTTCATTAGCAACAGTTATCTGTCAAATTTCATTCTTCTAAATTCCTCTATAGTGGATTTATTAATTAAAAACCATTTTTTCCCCTAACTTTAGAGGGCTCTATCTCGGCGAGGAAGTGGTTTTGAACAAAAAGTTATATGAAACACCCCTTTAATTTTTGATGAAAAATCACCCCTACAAATCTTTCGCATCAATTTAGAAAGACCTGTATAAGAAAGGAGATAAAAAATTGTAATAATTATAGAGGTACAACACTTCTAAGTACAGCCATGAAAATTTTAGAAGATTATCTTTTCTATAATAAGATAGAAAAATAAAACTCGCAATAGAACAAATACTGGATGAACCACAAAGGTTTTAAAAAAGTGCAGAAGTATTCAGGACCATGTAGTATATGTAATTTGATTGTATTGGATATTGCAGAGAATAGACCTTATTGAATATTAATTACGTTTATTCAATTACGAAATCAGTTTTTAATGTGTCATCATGGAGGTAACAATGTCTTCGTAGTTCGATGCAGAAATGGAAGAAGAAAAGGACTCCACATGATATTTTTCTGCCCTAGAAGAGAGAGGTTTCCAAAATATATTGGCCAACTGATGTCTTTTGTAAGACGAAACAAGTTTCAACATTTTTTTACATAGAGAGGTTGGTAGACGCAGTAGATGATGGTCGTTGCAGTTCCATCAATTCCAACTCACTAGTTATCTTCCAAATATCCATGTGTGGTTTTATTTGGGTAGAACTCCCAAAGAAAGCATCAATACCAATTTCTTCGAATTTCTTGTGTTTTGACAGCATTGAGTAATCTCGTGTATTGTTCAGATCTTGCACTACTGTTGCTCTCAATAATGTCAAAAATTTGGCTTGCAGTTTTTTGTAGCGTTGGACAATTAATTGAGACGTATTTGCTGGACGTTTATGATCCTTTTCAGTTACTCCGGATGATTTACCTCCAATGGGGTAAACCCACCTTCCTTCTTGATTTTGGACTAATTCCGATAGCTCATTATCACAATCAATTTGATACCTAGTAGTGATATGGTCTTAGACAGAACTAATGTGCAGCGCATGTGAACTAGATCCAACGCCTTTAATTTGATCTCTGGCTTCTAAACTGCTATTTTTGCAGCTACATCGCTGCAGGCGCCATTCAATAGAAATCAGTGATTGACGCAAAATAGCCAAAGTTGCGAATCTGTAGCTACGCGGCTATAGCCGTTGCAGTCATGAGGTTGACATTGCACCTTAAAAGGTAATTCGTGTGGTGGAATATCATAAACGTTCACTATCTTCTCTATAAATACGCTGGATTGGAATCAAGTGTTTTTTTTATAAGTTAGAATTAAGCAGTTACAACTAATTATCATCTTAAATCAATGTTCAGCTGTTTCACTGAATGAACCTAAAATAATAAATCATTAAGTTATTATATACGAACTAAATAATTATTGAATTGAATAATGTTAAGATCTATAAACAAACTCATTGTATTACAATTTGTATAAATAAAAAAAACATTAAGCAATTTTTTTTACTTGTTTAGGTATTCATGATTTTATACAAAGAACTCTATTTCCGTCATATTTACGCTCGAGTTCCAGGAGGTCCAACATTAGAACAACGTTTCAACTCGTTCTACAATTACTGCGATCTTTTCAATTACATCTTAAACTCCGAGGAACCGGTTCCATTGGAATTGCCCGATTTATGGCTTTGGGAATTAATTGACGAATTTGTTTATCAATTTCAATCGTTCGCTCAATACAGAGCTCGTTTGCAAAAGAAATCTCTTCAAGAATTGGAGATTTTGAATAATCATAATAAAGTGTGGAACGTTTTGTGCATTTTAAATGTTCTTCACTCGCTAGCGGATAAAAGTAACATTAAACAACAATTAGATGTTTATGCAACTGGTGGAGATCCCGATAGTGTTGCTGGGATGTTTGGGAGACATTCCCTTTATAAAATGTTGGGGTACTTCTCGTTGGTTGGTTTGTTAAGATTACATTCTTTATTGGGCGATTATTACCAAGCGATTAAAGTATTAGATAACATTGAGGTGCACCTTAAATCTCAATTTGCTCACGTCCCTGCGTGTCAAATCTCCACATCTTATTACGTTGGGTTTGCTTATATGATGATGCGAAGATACTCAGATGCTATTAGAATATTTTCATCGATTTTACTTTACATACAAAGAACGAAACAACTTTTCGCCACAAAAAGTTATCAACACGATCAAATCAACAAACAAACCGACCAAATGTATCATTTATTAGCGATTTGTTTGGTGTTGCATCCCCAGTGTATCGACGAATCAATCCAACAAACTTTACGTGAGAAATTGTACCACGAAAAAATGTACAAAATGCAATACGGTGATTTACAAGAATTCGAAAATTGTTTCTTGTTCGCTTGCCCGAAATTTTTATCACCATGTCCACCCCCGGTAGATGCACCACCAGAGGATTATTCTAAAGACGAAATTAAATTGCAAACTCAAGTTTTTGTGGATGAAGTCCAACAACAACGTACTTTACCCACGATTAGGAGTTATTTAAAACTTTACACCACACTTCCTTTAGCTAAATTAGCCACGTTTATGGCTCAAAATCAACGTAGGGATGAGAATCCCATTGACATTGATAAGGAAATTGAAAGTTTGATTATTCATTTATTGTGTTTTAAGCATAAGATGAAAAATTTGGTTTGGAGTAAAGGATCATCTGGGTTGGAGGGGAAATTTCAAAGTGGATCGGAGGTAAATTATTTTAAATAGGTTGTGTTTTAGTTTAAATAAATTTGTTTTAGTTGGATTTCTACATCGATAATGACATGATTCATATCGCTGATACTAAAGTGGCTCATCGCTACGGGGACTTCTTTATTAGAAAAATCTTGAAATTCGAAGAGTTGAACAGGAAGCTACATCACTTGAAGATGTAGCTTAATTGTTGACGCTTTGGACTAAAGTTTTACGTCGATAAATAAGTCCTTTTTATAAGAAAAAATTATTCAATAAAATAAAACAATTCTAAATAAAATTAATTCATTTTTATTCAATAAATTTTTGTTTTTCAACTTGAATCGCTTCAATTTTTTTATTTTCACCTTTAATTAATTTTCCTTTATCATTTTTTTTAGTGATAAAGGCACCTTTTTTTTGTCGATACAACGATAGATGTCTCGGTTTAAACCTCGAAGATTTTTCTTTATCTTTGACGTGTTTAACATTCGTTTCGCTGTTTTGCCGAAATTGTTGCCAAGGATGTTCTTCATCTTCTAGAATAGGATCAACTTGGGTTTTCCAAACGTTGTGTCTCGTTTTAAAGACTTGGAAGTTGTTGATAAAAGTTTTGGATTGACCCAAATTGCTCGTCTGCAAAATAATATTTTTACGTCATAGTATTGTTATCTATTTAAAACATTGGTTTACATATTTAAATGTTAATGTTAGCGCTTATAGATAGAATCCAACTCGGGTATTCCCCAAGTTGCTCTATTCCATGTTCATAGATAAATTCAGGGAATTCCCCGAGTTGTCTATACGATATATCAATTAAGGACTCTAGTTCTACCTTTAATTGTTATGCAGCGCTAGATAGTTGTATATTTTTATTGAACTAAAAGTAGAATTAACACTACACTTTTAGGTCTAGTGTTAGTTCTACTGCTAGTGTTAGTTCTTGTTTTAGTTGTCGTTCAGCGTCAAATTGTGGTATATTATGTTTCATTGAAATAAAACTAGAACTAACACTAGACCTAAAACTAGAAAGTTTTAATTGTTGTGCAGCATTAGACCAAAAACTAGAATCATTCGGATTCATCCGTCTTAAGAAACGTATGGCTAAACCCAAATGATTCTAGTTCTAGGTATAGTGTTAGTTGTATACAGTGTGTCCGTAAAGTAACGAATATAGGCGATAAAATCATTATAAACGGTTTATGGAAAAATCCCTGAAACGGGTCTTAAGATTTAAATTTTTTGCTCGATTGGCAGACTGTTTTTGCTGGGATGGGCGTGGAGAGCATGGTTGAAGTTTTCTATGACCGCGTTAATAAAGCGCTTTCTGCCTAAGCAACGTTTTCCTTACTGGTACAAACGTTCAACTATTCGTGTCATTAAAGAAAAGCTACTTTACCATAAAAAATGGAAATCTACTCGCCATAATAGTGATTACTTGGCTTTCTCTATCTTGCGCTCCAGGTCTAAGAGGCTTATTGCGGCTGATTATAGAGATTACTTAAACTCGATTCAGGCGGGGGTTATGGAAAATCCCAAAGGAATCTGGTCCTTTGTTAAGTCCAGGAAAGGGGATGTGTCTGGCTTGCCGGCCGCTATGTTTTCTGTTGATGGGTCAATGGTGACCTCAGGTCATGATATCTCTTGTGCATTTGCAGAGTATTTCGCCTCGGTTTTCGTAGATGGTAGTATTGACCGCTCAATGGTCTTCGGTGGCCAGGGTGTTTCACCTTGGTTCTCTGCTGACGCAGTCCTCAATGTTTTGACCCATCTTGACAAGTCCTCTGGCTCTGGTCCGGATGGTATTCCATCTTCCTTTTTGAGGGAGTTTGCTGCCGAACTGTCGACCCCACTTTTTCTTATTTTTTCAAAATCCTTACTCGAAGGTACTTTTCCGCGCGCGTGGAAGACAGCTTTTGTCGTTCCAATATTTAAATCAGGGAATAGACAGTTGATATCTAATTACCGTCCAATTTCTATTATCTCGTCTATTCCAAAGGTTTTTGAAAAAATTGTTTGCGATTACTTTAACCACTCTATTGCTCACTCTCTCATTACTGAACAACATGGATTCTTGTCTGGCCGATCGGTTGAGTCTAACTTAGTGTCTTATGTTAATTTTATTCATTCTACCTTAAATGAGGACTCACAGGTTGACGCAATTTATACCGATTTCTCTAAAGCCTTCGACAAGATTGACCATGGAATTCTTATACAAAAGCTGTCCTCCTTTAACATTCCTGCCGGCATTGTGCGCTGGATAATGTCATATCTTTCTGACAGAAGTCAGGCAGTTAGGATGGGTAGCTTTTTGTCGGACTACAAACCCATCTCATCTGGTGTGCCTCAGGGAAGTCACCTTGGGCCCACATTATTTCTAATTTACATAAACGACATTTCTTCTTGCTTTAAATTTTCCAAATTCCTGCTCTATGCGGATGATAATAAAATATTTACTAGAGTCAGCTCTAGTCATGACTGCCTAAGGCTCCAGGAGGACCTTGATCGTCTACATGATTACTGTCGCGTTAACAAACTTTATTTGAACTATGACAAATGCCAAAAAATAACGTTTACATGGAAACGCTATCCTATTAATTTTAATTACAACTTTAATGGTAGACCTATTATCTCTACTGACAGAGTGAAGGATCTTGGCATTATACTTGATGCCAAATTGAGATATCACCTTCACATCGAAGTCATGGTGGCGAAAGCCCTGCGTAACCTAGGGTTTGTTATCAGAATAAGTAGACAGTTTACCAATTTTACAAGCATTAAATCCCTTTATATGGCATTTGTTAATAGCGTATTATCCTATGGTTCCATAGTGTGGAATCCTATGTACGCGGTCTATCGTGATCGCATCGAAGCGGTTCAACGACGCTTTGTACGCTATCTGGCTTACAAATATCATCTTCCCTATTGCGATTACGATAGACGCTGTGTGGTTTTTAACTTATTATCCCTGCGGCAGCGTCGGCTAGTCTCAGACTTAATTTTTCTTTTCAAACTGGTCAATGGCTTGCTGGACGCACCTGATCTTCTGTCTGTGTTGAACTTTAATGTACCACAGCGTTTCACGCGGCGGAATACTACATTCCTTTTAGGCACATCGAACACGAACGCTCATCTAAACTCGCCTATCGTTCGGCTTTTGAATACTTACAATCAGGACTTCAACCATGTTACTCTATTTGGACTCTCGTTGCGCTCATTTAGAGAATTACTATTACGTAACGTTTAGTTGTTAACTTCTGTATTGTAGTACAATTATATAATATTTTTCGCTTTTTTTTGTAATTTTTTTTTAATTATCAATGCTGTTATTATTATTTTCATAGTTAATGTTATAATTATTGTTATTTTTTTTTTCTCGTTTTTTTGCTTGGTATGTAGTTAAGTGCTTTGTTTTTATGAGGATGCTTCACTGGGGATATCCTCCCTGTTTGTGTCCTAATAATAAATAAATAAATAAATAAATGATGAAAATAGCAGTAGCCATGAGTAACTATGGTAACCATTTATTTTAAACAATTTCCTAAGTGTCAAAAACTGATTTACTAAGTAGTTGACCTCTTTAATACAACATATCCTGATCGCCAACTCATTAGCCAAAGAATGGTGAGCCTAGCTGTGACTAAATTTAAACAGCATGGCCATCTCTCGAAGCATTTCTCGACGTCTGGCCTACTAAATGTTGCAAGGGAAGTTCAACAAATCGTGGTTTTGGCTGGGCAAGTAAACCCTCATGTTACTTGTAAGGAGTAGGTATTGGGTCTAATTTGGACATTAGTAAATCAACGGTTCATAAAATTTTAAAACCCGCAAAATATCATTCCCAGAAGTAAACCTGATTCACGAGCAATGAATCGTAGTGTTTGCAACGATGACGAAGACTTTGTCAAAAACATAATTTTTTCGACGAAGGGACATTTACATTGAGTGGACAAGTAAATAGACAAAGTTGTCGGTATTGCGCTACCCAAAATCCCAACCCAACCCAATATCCGCAAAAGATTTGAGGAAACCTTAAGTGGAAAGAGATATTTAAATTTTTTCAAATCGATGTCATTTCTTCCATCCCGATAATGTTGACACAACTCAATTCCAACGGCAGTTATTCCAACAAGATGGCGCGCCACCACACTTCAAGAAGCTTTACTAAATCAGTTTTTGACACTCAGAGGATTGTTTAGAATAATTGGTTACCATAGTTACTCATGGCTACTGCTATTTTTATCATTATATAAATTTGAAGTAATTAACCTTTAAAGTAATTTTTCTCGAAAATTTTCTTATGTAACCAATATTTACATTGACTGTAATAGATTCAGAAAAAAATCCTCTTTCATATTCCGCAATAAAAATGGGGGATTGCCATTTAAAAAAAATATCGATGACGCCATAACTCGTTTAAAAATGGCGGAAAAAATTTGAAATCTACACCAAAAAATTGCAAAAAATTTATATCTTTAGACTCGTTTCAGGGATTTTTCCATAAACCGTTTATTATGATTTTATCGCCTATATCCGTTACTTTACGGACATACTGTATAGTAACAGTGCTAGTGTAAAACTAGAACTAACACTAGACCTAGAACTAGAAACAGTTCGAATTTGTATGCATTAAATAATTACATTATCATTGCTGAGACGTTTACATTTCTTTTTAAACTCTTCTAAACACCCCATAAATTTTGAATTTGGCCGTATTTCTTCTTTAATACAAATTTCCATTATTTTAAAAATGTATTTAAAGTTGCAATGGTAACAGGCTTGATGAAGCATCGCCCCTAATATTTCCGTGTTCATTCTAAAAGCATGTTTGTCTTTAATAATTATAAATTAAACTAAATACTATTTAAATTAATAATGATCAAAATTAATATCAGTCAAAATTTTTAATCGTAATTAACATAAACACTTTACACAACATTTTTTGGCAATTTTCCAAATTGTTTGACTTAGTTTTATTTCTATCTTCAGTATGTAAGGAGGTAAAATTTTCCAAGCGTTTCCACATAAAATCAATACCGAATTTGACATGGAACCCAACCAAACTAAACGTAAGTTCTATAAATAACTGTAACGAATAAATTCATTTATGGAAAATGTTTTTTATTAACTCGATAGTGAATCACTTTAAAAATTAAATCGTTTAAATGCATTTTATTATCATTGTGATAATAAAATAAACAAATATGAAGTATTTCAATAAAAATTCGTTATCAACATTATCAATCAATTGAAAATAAATAAAACTTAACATTATTTAAGTCGCCCTTCTTATTCATTACTGACAACGCACTCAACAATCATAAGTAAAGAATTCTAACAAAAGCATAAAGATTATAAATAAAATTTTGCATTTATAATGGAACAAGGGGATCACATTCAAGGTAAGTAACTTCCTTATGTAATTTTCTTTTAACAATAATGACTGCTTGTGAATAATGTCATGTCATTTGAGTGTTTATTTTAATTTACCAACAATAAATTTAATATGAAAATTTTTTTTACCTAAAACCACCTTCATTCATTCTAGCCATAAATTCTTCAGCTTCTTCTTTCGTTTTACACCCTAAAGCTAATATTCCATAAGTCATTATATTTGGTTTAGTATTTGAATGACTCATTGCTTCTAAAACTTCCTAATAATATAAATTTAAGTAAATTATTTATCTATAACAACGGTTTGATATAAACAAATTGAATTATTTAAAACTTTTAGAGTAGAGCTTGCAATTGCATTTTTTGGACAAAAACTAGTGTCTTAATTTCTGTGGTTTATTAAGGTCATTCCATTTAAGTCAATATTATGAATTCCAAAATATCTGTAAACTTTGAAAAATCCCTGAATGTGATTCCATGAAAAAATGTCCCAATGATTGTTACCATAATCATTGGATGGCGTAGTTGATACACTTTATTCCTATTTCGCAAATATTTCGGTGAGGATTAGGTTAATTTGAAATTGAATTACAAAAAATTTAAAAACAAGTATGGATTTAGATAAGAATCAGATAAGCTAGAAAGAAGAGAAAAAGGAAATTAGGATAAAGAGAAAAAATGTCCCAGAGTTGATGATGTAAAAGACAGCGAATAAATTCGAAACTTTAAAGGAGGTAAAAAGTTGTCAGAAAAAAGTAAAACACCGAATAAAACAGGAAATTAGCTAGATGCTCAGAAATAAAGCAAAAGCTATAGGAAACTATCAAATAAAAGGAGAGTAAAGAGCAACAAGCTTAATAAAAATTCAGAAAAACAGCAAAATTTAAGAAGATTAAAGAAAAAAGAGAGGAGAACAGTCTGAATGAAAGACAGCAATAAGCCTGTCTTATCCACTCATGTTGGGTTACTTTTTACAGGTTTGCATTTGCGTTTTGATCAAGTTGAAACTTGCACGCATTTTAGATGCTCTAAAAAGGGATGCAGACTGGAACGAGACTGGTAATAAAGATTGAACAGAGATTAGAAAAACTAGAAGGACACTGAATAGAGTTTGGTAACACAATAACGAATTTGGTTATAGAAAACAGAAACAGAAAAGAGAAGAAAATCGCTGAACAGAAGGAAATTGACTGGAAGCAGAGTGGTAATAGAAGAAACAGGCTAAACAGAGACTGAAAGGAGAATAATGAGAGTGTTCAAAAAAAGATAGAGTCTGGAAAGAGATATTCTATAAGAAAAGCTGCGTCAAATATTTACTGCATAAGTGGTTATTGTCTTTGTCTTAGGTTCAGTACAACGTGTGTAGTGACAGCCACACAATGTCATTTCTGATCAAAACATACTCCAAGTGTGAAAACGACCATCAACAGCGATATTTATTGTCAAACGTTCGGAAAACTACACAAAGCCATTCGACAGAAACGAAGAGGAATGCTGACGAAAGGAATCAGAGTGTTGCATGACTTCTTCTACAGCCAAAAAGATGGCAAAAAGTATTGGACTATTGCTACCCTGTGCTCCACCAGGAGTGACAGAAAATAAGTCAAGTCAATTGGAGGTAATAATAATGAGAGCCACTAATATGTACATGATTTGAACATTGAAATAAATTTCATCTCATCATGCTGCCAGATTTTGTGGCTTCAATGGTCATTATCATTCTGGCATAATCTGTCTTTAAATTGTAGCTTTTTAAGCAATAAGTCAAACTCATACAGAAGAAAGACAGAAACCAAAAAGATAAGACTGGAACACTGGAAACATGCTAGTAATGGAAGAATTATTTATATAAGACAGAGGCTGAAAAGAGAAGACTGGAAAGTGACTGGTAATAGAAAAGATTGAACAGAGATTGGAAAGAGTAGAAAAAGTCTGAATAGAATTTGGTAACACAATAACGAATTTGGTCATAGAACACAGAAACGGGAAAGAGAAGAAAATCGCTTGACAGAAGGAAATTGACTAGAAGCAGAGTGGTAATAGAAGAAACAGGCTAAACAGATACTGAAAGGACAATAATGAGAGTGTTCAAAAAAGATAGAGGCCGGAAAGAGATATTCTATAGGAAAACCTGCGTCAAATATGTACTGCATAAGTAGTTATTGTCTTTGCCTTAGATTCAATACAACGTGTGTAGTGACAGCCACACAATGTTATTTCTGATCAAAACATACTCCAAGTATGAAAACGACCATCAACAGCGATATTTATTGCCACACGTTCGAAAAACTACACAAAGCCATTCGACAGAAACAAAGAGGAATGTTGACGAAAGGAATCAGATTGTTGCATGACTTCTGCTATAGCCAGAAATATGGCAAAAAGTATTGGACTATTACTGCCCTATGCTCCACCAGGAGTGACAGAAAATAAGTCAAGTCAATTGGAGGTAATAATAATGAGAGCCACTAATATGTACATGATTTGAACATGGAAATAAATTTCATCTCATCATGCTGCCAGATTTTGTGGCTTCAATGGTCATTATCATTCTCGCATCATCTGCTTTTAAATTATGGCTTTTTAAGCAATAAATCAAACTCATAGAAAAGAAGACAGAAACCGAAAAAATAAGACTGGAACACTGGAAACAGGCTAGTAATGGAGGAATTATTTATATAAGAGAGAGGATGAAAAGAGAAAAGAAAAGACTGGAAAGTGACTGGTAATAGAAAAGATTGAACAGAGATTGGAGAGAGTAGAAAAAGACTGAATAGAGTTTGGTAACACAATAATGAATTTGGTCATAAAAAATTAACTGGAAGCAAAGTGGTAATAGAAGAAACAGGCTAAACAGAGACTGAAAGGAATTGTCCTTTTAGTGTTGACAGTGTTCAAGGAAGACAGAGGCTGGAAAGAGATATTCCATTGGAAAAGTTGCGTCGAATATTTACTGCATAAGTGGTTATTGTCTTTGACTTACATTAGATTCAATACAACGTGTGTAGTGACAACCACACAATGTTAATTCTGATCAAAACATACTCTAAGTTTGAAAACGACCATCAACAGTGATATTTATTGTCAAACGTTCGAAAAACTACACAAAGCCATTCGATAGAAACGAAGAGGAACGTTGATGAAAGGAATCAGATTGTTGCATGACTTCTGCAACAGCCAGAAAGATGGCAAAAACTATTGGACTACTGCTGCCCTATGCTCCACCAGGAGTGACAGAAAATAAGTCAAGTCAATTGGAGGTAATAATAATGAGAACCACTAATATGTACATGATTTGAACATTAAAAATAAATTTCATCTGTTCATGCTGCCAGATTTTGTGGCTTCAATGGTCATTATCATTCTGGCATCATCTGCCTTTAAATTATGGTTTTTAAGCAATAAATCAAACTCATAGAAAAGCTCATAGTGACTTAATCAGCTGAAATTTACTATTTCCAAGCAACTCAAGTCTCATTCAACAAATTAATTAAGTCTAGCTAGGAATAATTCAATCTCTTCTGTAGAAAGAAGCAATATGTAACTGATTGCTTTATGAGTTGCTTCAAGTAAATCAATTTGCATGTGATCCCAGTTCAAAGTCAATATCATGGAATTGCAAGCCCTATTAAAAAAATAAACATATTTTTAATAAATAAATCACCACAATATTAAACAAAAATATATTAATACAAAAAAAAATACCTTTGCACTCTCATAATCAAACCTAATACTCCTCTTCTTCATTAACATATTATAAAAGTCAGCATCTGGCTTAACATTTGCCTTTTTCATAGCTCCAATTAATTCTTTTTCAGCTGCTAAAGTTCCAGGTATTAAATTCAATAATTGCGTAAATGTTTTAATGTTAGGTACACAACGATTTTGAGCCATCGTTTGTAAAAATCCGGAAATACCGCCAAGAAGTAAAAATCTATCCTCAGGACTTTTAACTTCACTTAAAGAAACGATATTCCCCAAATGAGGAATTCTTGCGATTAAATTTGGTCGATAATCAGTTATGCTTGAATCTATTGGTGCCAAAGAATTATTTGATGTGTTTTGCAGATTTGTTTGAGGTTCATTTAAAAGTAATTGAGAACTTGGTTCATTTAAATAAACATTTTTCTTTAAAATGTTATCAATAACATCTTTAGTAACTTCTAAATCACCTAAATTACAATCATTAGTACATTTTAGTAATAAATTAAAGCTGTATATATCTGGGTTAAGTAGTTTTTGATAAAATTTCCTCCAAACTAACAAAGCATGTCTAAATCCAGCATCTTTATCAGAAACGCAAGATTGTAATAAAAAATTTATAGTATCTTCTTTAACAGGTATTTTCTTTGAAGACATTTCATCTACTAATTCAAAGGCGGTGTTTAAATCACCACATCTTCCAAAAGCTTTTATCATAGAATTATAATTAGTATCGTTTGGTTCGTAGCCTTTTTCGATCATAATTTCTCTTAAATGTTTAGCTCTTGTTAAACCATCTTCAAGCCAAGGACTATTTGCACAAGCATTAAATAAAGCCGTGTAAGTTCCAGGGTGAATATTCAAACCACGTTGTTTCATTTTATTGTATAACGAAAAAGCTTTTTTTGTATAACCAACCCTCCCACATGCTCCTAATACAAGATTAAATATATAACTTTGAGGTTTTACTCTATCTTCCTGAATCATTCTTATTTCCACCAAATCTATAGCCTCTTTAATTTTCTTTTTCCTAATTAAATCCTTAATCATATCGGCGTACTGTTTCGTACGTAGTTTTTGAGAAGGATCTGGTTTGATTTTTAAAAATTTCTCCTCCTTTTCATCATCTAAATCAAAAATCTTCTTTTCTGCACTATCACCAAAAGTATCGGGGTCATCTTTCACTTTAACAAGATATTGTTCCTCTTTTTGTAAATCAGAGGTCACCGGTTTTGAGGTTATGCACTTACAACACAGATTATTCACTTTGTTGGGGGTTAATTTTAACGGAATTATAGAATTTTGTGTTTGGGACGTTACAAATTGTTTATTTACGATGGTTGTTCTTAATAATTTAATTAAATTTGAACGATACATGCTTATTTTTGGTTTGTTGAGGTTATGTATTCACATCAATTCAGTTTTATGTAAATGGATCAGATGAGATAAGGTGTGAAGTTGTATTCAAGTGAGATGGAAAATATGTGTTTGTCAATTATAGAAAGAGATAGATATAATAATATATGACTTCTCTATTCGTTTATGGAATATTTATCTATGATATTATTATTAATGGTTTTCGATTATTCTGGAATTAATTATTTGTATATTAATTTCTAATTTAGTACAATGTATTGGAAGGCACATCGATGCTGTAGAAAACTAATGAAGAATTTTTGGTTACTTCCTCCTATGCAAAAAAGTGGAAATTTTAAAAATCCCTAAAAACTTATTTAGAGGATTTAGAAAATGATATATATCTCAAATTAACGCTAAGGAACATTATTTTAAGATAATGTATTAAAATAATGGGGTTCTATATTATAAAATTTGAGAAAGAATTATTTACAGTAAAACGTGTTCATTTATGATATGTAAGAATTAGTATAATTTTCATAAAAGTACTCAGATCATATTTGTGGGAGTTAGAAGGTGATTTATATCTTAAATTAAAGCTAAGAAGCTCTATTTTTACATATTGTAGGAAAACAATGGGCTTAATACAAAAAGTTTCGAGGAAAAAGTGTTTGTAGCTCAACTGTATGCCAAAAAAATGGAAACTTAAAAAGATCATTAAAAAATTATTTGGAGGAGTTAGAAAATGATATATACCGTAAATTAACACTAAATGGCGTTGTTTTAATATAATTATTGAAATGATGATACAAGAAAATTCCATAAAAAATTATTTACAGCAAAACTTCTTCATTTTCATTGTCAGAAATAGCATAATTTTTGTAAAATCATTTAGGGCATATTTATAGGAATTAGGAAGTGATTTATGTCTTAAATTAAAGCTAACAAGCTCTATTTTTAGGTAATGTATGAAAGTAGCGAGACTTAATATAAAAAGTTTCCAGAAAAAAGTGTTTGTAGCACATGTTCAATGTGTCAAAAAAGTGGAAATTCAAAATATCACCATAAACTTAATTTGAGGAGTTACAAAATGATATATATCTTAAATTAATGCTAAAGGGCGTTATTTTAAGATAATGTATTCAAATGATGGGGTTCCATATAAGAAAATTCGAGAAAAATGTATTTACAGCAAAAGTCTTCATTTTAATTATGTGAGAAATAGTGTAATTGTTGTAAAATCACTTTGACCATATTTATAGGAATTAGGAAGTGATTTATGTCTTAAATTAAAGCTAAGAAGTTCTATTTTTAGATAATGTATAAAAGTAATTAGACTTATTGTTAATATAAAAAGTTTCCAGAAAAAAGTGTTTGTAGCACATGTTCAATGTGTCAAAAAAGTGGAATTTCAAAAAATCACTAATAATTTATTTGAAGGGGTTAGAAAATGATATATATCTTAAATTAACGCTAAAGGGTTTTATTTTAAGATAGTTTATTGAAATGGTAGGGTTACATATAATAAAAGTTGAGAAAAAATTGTTTACATTAAAACGTATTCATTTGAGTTACATATGTCAGAAATAGTTTAATATTTGTTAAATCACTCCGTCCGTATTTCTAGGAGTTAAGAAGTGATTTATGATTTAAATTAAAGCTAAGAAGCTCTATTTTTAGATATTGTAGGAAAACAATGAGGCTTAATATGAAAAATTTCGAGAAAAAAGTGTTTGTAGCACAACATGTTCAGTATGCCAAAAAAGTAGAAATTTAAAAAATCGCTATAAACTTATTTTGAGGAGTTAGAAAATGATATATACCATAAGTTAAAACACTAAAGGGCGTTATTTGAAGATAATGTATTGAAATGATGAGGTTCTATACAAGAAATATCGAGAAAAATGTATTTACAGCAAAACGTCTTCATTTTCATTATGTCAGAAATAGTATAATTTTTGTTAAATCATTCAAACCGTATTTCTACGAGCTAAGAAGTGATTTATGTCTTTAATTAAAGTTAAGAATCTCTATTTTTTGATAATGTATGAAAATAATTAGACTTATTGTTAATATAAAAAGTTTCCAGAAAAAAGTGTTTGTAGCACATGTTCAATGTGTCAAAAAAGTGGAAATTCAAAAAATCACCATAAACTCAATTTGAGGAGTTACAAAATGATATATATCTTAAATTAATGCTAAAGGGCGTTATTTGAAGATAATGTATTGAAATGATGAGGTTCTATACAAGAAATATCGAGAAAAATGTATTTACAGCAAAACGTCTTCATTTTCATTATGTCAGAAATAGTAAAATTTTTGTAAAATCACTTAGACCATATTTATAGGAATTAGGAAGTGATTTATGTCTTAAATTAAAGCTAAGAAGCTTTATTTTTAGATAGTGTATAAAAGTAATCAGACTTAATATAAAAAGTTTCGAGAAAATAGTGTTTGTAGCACAACATGTTTAGTATGCCAAAAAGTTGAAATTTAAAATATCGCTATAAACTTATTTCCAGGAGTTATAAAATGATATATATCTTAAATTAACGCTAAAGGGCTTTATTTTAAGATAATCTATTGAAATGGTGGGGTTACATATAATAAAATTTGACAAAAAGTTATTTACAGCAAAACGTATTCATTTGCATTATGTCAGAAATAGTATAATTTTTGTTAAATCACTCAAACCGTATTTCTACAAGTTAAAAACTGATTTATGATTTAAATTAAAGCTAAGAAGCTCTATTTTTAGATATTGTACGAAAACAATGAGGCTTAATATAAAAAATTTCGAGAAAAAAATGTTTGTAGCACAACATGTTCAGTATGCCAAAATAGTAGAAATTTAAAAAATCGCTATAAACTTATTTTTGAGGAGTTAGAAAATGATATATACCATAACTAAACGCTGAAGGGCATTATTTTAAGATAATCTATTGAAATGATGAGGTTCCATACAAGAAATAACGAGAAAAATTTATTTACAGCAAAACGTCTTCATTTTCATTATGTCAGAAATAGTAAAGTTTTTGTAAAATCACTTAGACCATATTTATAGGAATTAGGAAGTGATTTATATCTTAAATTAAAGCTAAGAAGCTTTATTTTTAGATAGTGTATAAAAGTAATCAGACTTAATATAAAAAGTTTCGACAAAATAGTGTTTGTAGCACAACATGTTTAGTATGCCAAAAAGTTGAAATTTAAAATATCGCTATAAACTTATTTCCAGGAGTTATAAAATGATACATATCTTAAATTAACGCTAAAGGGCTTTATTTTAAGATAATCTATTGAAATGGTGGGGTTACATATAATAAAATATGACAAAAAGTTATTTACAGCAAAACGTATTCATTTGCATTATGTCAGAAATAGTATAATTTTTGTTAAGTCACTCAAACCGTATTTCTACAAGTTAAGAACTGATTTATGATTTAAATTAAAGCTAAGAAGCTCTATTTTTAGATATTGTAGGAAAACAATGGGAGTTAATATAAAAAATTTCGAGAAAAAGGTGTTTTTAGCACAACATGTTCAGTATGCCAAAAAAGTAGAAATTTAAAAAATCGCTATGAACTTATTTTGAGGAGTTAGAAAATGATATATAACATAAGTTAAAACACTAAAGGGTGTTATTTTAAGATAATGTATTGAAATGATGAGGTTCCATACAAGAAATATCGAGAAAAATTTATTTACAGCAAAACGTCTTCATTTTCATTATGTCAGAAATAGTAAAATTTTTGTAAAATCACTTAGACCATATTTATAGGAATTAGGAAGTGATTTATGTCTTAAATTAAAGCTAAGAAGCTCTATTTTTAGATAGTGTATAAAAGTAATCAGACTTAATATAAAAAGTTTCGACAAAATAGTGTTTGTAGCACAACATGTTTAGTATGCCAAAAAGTTGAAATTTAAAATATCGCTATAAACTTATTTCCAGGAGTTATAAAATGATACATATCTTAAATTAACGCTAAAGGGCTTTATTTTAAGATAATCTATTGAAATGGTGGGGTTACATATAATAAAATATGACAAAAAGTTATTTACAGCAAAACGTATTCATTTGCATTATGTCAGAAATAGTATAATTTTTGTTAAGTCACTCAAACCGTATTTCTACAAGTTAAGAACTGATTTATGATTTAAATTAAAGCTAAGAAGCTCTATTTTTAGATATTGTAGGAAAACAATGGAGGTTAATATAAAAAATTTCGAGAAAAAGGTGTTTTTAGCACAACATGTTCAGTATGCCAAAAAAGTAGAAATTTAAAAAATCGCTATGAACTTATTTTGAGGAGTTAGAAAATGATATATAACATAAGTTAAAACACTAAAGGGTGTTATTTTAAGATAATGTATTGAAATGATGAGGTTCCATACAAGAAATATCGAGAAAAATTTATTTACAGCAAAACGTCTTCATTTTCATTATGTCAGAAATAGTAAATTTTTTGTAAAATCACTTAGACCATATTTATAGGAATTAGGGGAAGTGATTTATGTCTTAAATTAAAGCTAATAGGCTCTATTTTTAGATAGTGTATAAAAGTAATCAGACTTAATATAAAAAGTTACGAGAAAATAGTGTTTGTAGCACAACATGTTTAGTATGCCAAAAAGTTGAAATTTAAAATATCGCTATAAACTTATTTTCAGGAGTTAGAAAATGATATATATCTTAAATTAATGCTAAAGGGCTTTGTTTTAAGATAATCTATTGAAATGGTGGAGTTACATATAATAAAATTTGAGAAAAAGTTATTTACAGCAAAACGTATTCATTTGCATTATGTCAGAAATAGTATAATTTTTGTGAAATCGGTAAAACCGTATTTCTACGAGTTAAGAACTGATTTATGATTTAAATTAAAGCTAAGAAGCTCTATTTTTAGATATTGTAGGAAAACAATGAGGCTTAATATAAAAAATTTCGAGAAAAAAGTGTTTGTAGCACAACATGTTCAGTATGCCAAAAAAGTAGAAATTTAAAAAATCGCTATTAACTTATTTTTGAGGAGTTAGAAAATGATATATACCATAACTTAACGCTGAAGGGCATTATTTTAAGATAATCTATTGAAATGATAAGGTTCCATACAAGAAATATCGAGAAAAATTTATTTACAGCAAAACGTCTTCATTTTCATTATGTCAGAAATAGTAAAAT